ACACCGCCTTCATTATTGATTTCGGTATCGCGAAGGCATTCTGGAATATGTCAACCAGTGTCCATATACCATTTCGCCAAGGTCAACGTCTCACTGGCACTCCTGCATTTGCGTCAATCAACAATCACTTGGGAGTCGAACCAGGTCGTCGTGACGATCTCGAGTCACTTACGTACATGTTGATATACTTCTTGCAGGGATCCCTTCCATGGTTAACCAGTGACCAAGAGAAACTTTCCAGCGCTTCCATACTCGAGCGCAAAGTGAACACTACCATCGAAGACTTATGTCGTGGAATTCCTGTCGAGTTTGCAACAATTCTCATTTACACGCGCTCACTCGCATTCTCAGAGGATCCCGACTATAACCACCTTCGCTCATTGCTTCATATACTTCGTTCTACACCACCTTCACCAGCTGCATGCTTGCTGGATATAAGCCAGCCTGAAGTAATACATATCACGCATTCCCCTCCATTCTTCGACAAACCCTGTGTAATTGAGGCAGTGTCTCCATGCCCGCCGCTTCGCAGATCGACTCGTGTGTGAGTAGTTCATTTATCTTAGTACTTACAAACTAATGTGATTCCAAGTTTGTGCCCACGTAATGGCTCCCCATCACATGCAACATCTTCAACTCCACGCCGGAAAAAAACTAGATCATGATGCTGTTGGATACATGTACGGAGTAGTTTGTACAAGCACTGTATGCGTACTTTATGATATAGTATGATTGCCCGCACCTACAATTTCTCACAACGAGTTTTGCAGCATGTATATGACGTGGCGGATGCAATATATATTAATAACCACTGAACCAGATATATTGATATCTGAAAATCTCTTCAACTCTCACACAGCGCCTCTTATCTATCAACATCCTGCAGGCTGCAGGCTGCAGCCCTGCCTGGAAATGACCTTCGCAGCTCGTGAGGGACTCATCATGACATCCTGAACCATTAATATTGGCAATCCAGCCACACCACATAATAACAACGACTCACTGAGTGCTTATCGATGGAGATCTAGTTTTGATTTCATCGATCATTCAACTGCACCTGAGGATGAAGACGTGCTCGACTTCAACCCTTTGGGCCCTCTGGAATCTGGAGTTTCAAGTCGGAGTTGATTCTCTCCAGGTACGCACAGTTGCACGAGTTTTTTTCACCTCCCACTCACCGCTGAATCAGATTTGACTTGCATGAAGCATGCATGAGTTGCGGAGTCATGCCTCATGACAATCGTTCATTGGGTTTTCCATCAGGGACTCAGGATCACTGCATATTGGCATGTTCTGGGGTTTCCCCAGATGCCACGATATATCTAGACCAGCAATTCTGCTGTTGGATTATCTTCACCACCATCGCCACCAACATGCCTCCTCGACGGAAGAACGCTGCCCGGGCTACTACCAGAATCGCTGTTGCTGTTCCAACTGTTGTTCCCATTCCTCCCACTCCTGTTGCTGCTCCCATTGCTGCTCCCATCACTCCCACTGCTGCTCCCACTCCAAACGCTGCTGCTCCCGCTCCAATCGCTGCTGCAGTGAATGCGAATATCCTTCGTAACCCTCAAAGGCATCGTCAGCGTCCAGTGCGATTTCGAGAAAATGGCGCAGACGAAGGAGAATCCTTCCATCTTGAGAACGTCTCTGGGGATGAGGGGGACGAAATGGTCAACTTACCTGCGCCAGCAGTTGGGCCTGCTGCAGGCCATAGTCCGCTGCAAACTGCAATGAATACTGCTACAACTGACCCTCTGGCGACTGGTGGCCGATCAAAACCGCCTAAATCCTCTGCCGATATTCATTTCTTCTTCAGACAGGACCCCACCACTCTTTCAAATATCTGCAAAGCCTGCGAGTGAGTGTTGTGTATGGAGTCTATAGTTTTTTCTGACATCCTTCACCAGAGCAATCCATGATGTCGACAATACTCACCACGTTATGTCGTACCTTCCTAGTACAGGCACTTCAGCTCGTCGTACACACGCCTTCGCCGACCATACCGATGCCTACCTGGAGGAGGCAGAGCGTCAGAACTGGCATGTTCTCCATAAGTCATCACGTTTGAAGACTTTTTTGGATGAAGGCTGGACGGTCGTGACCATGCATCAAGGGCTGAAGGACCCGGCTTGCACCTTAGACTCACTCGGTACTCCCCCTAGTCCTGGCCCACTCCCCGGAACTAGCCTCTCAGTTCCAGACGATATACTGCCTGCGTTTTCTCTGGATGAGATGCATAAACATATTGTCAAATTTATTATCGCCGACGATCAGGTGAGTCTATGTACACTTTCTACACATTATATTTAATAATCGTCTTCAGGCGATTAACATCATAGAATGTCCGGAATTTCGTCGTCTGATCCGTCTTCTGCGGCCATCGGTGAACGAGACCGACATCTTTCACCGTACCAAAATTCGTGAGTTGGTCATCAACGCTTTCCATGAATACTTCAATGCTTTGAAGAAGGACCTTGCGGTAAGTCTACAGCTGTCAAGAGCCCTACCAAGTATCTTATATCTTTTAGGCTGCCCAGGGAAAGGTCTCATTCACATCTGACCTCTGGACAGATTCTAACCTTCGCCCATTCATGGCACTTACTGCTCATTGGATTGCCAAGGCCGACCATAGTTCCATGCTCATTTTGAGGGCTGCGCTTATCGGCTTCCACAATGTTCCAGGCAGTCACACCGGTGAATTGCTGGCAGGAGTCCTCATGCATCTTACTGATCGCGCCGGTGTGACTGAAAAGGTCAGTGTTTAATTGTACCATGTAACACGCTCTGACTTTTTTTAGACTGGTCACTTTACCTTGGATAACGCTGCGAACAATCAGGTTTCCATGCGAGAGCTTTCGTATAAACTGGAGTGCCGAGGCATTGATTTCGACCCCATCGAACACCGAATCCCATGCTTCCCGCATATTATCAACATCTGTGTGAAGCATATTCTTAACGATTACCACCAGGCCGACTTTTCGCTCGTGCCCGAACAATGGGTAAGTGGTGATCGCACCATCATCAAGGTGGATTATCTCGAAGCAGTGACCGGGCTAGCTATCAGCAGAGCTAGGGACCTTGTGCGCACAGTTCGCGCATCAAACCAGCGACGTATTTCTTTCAGGGACACCATCATCACAGGTAACGAGAAGGAGTGGTTCCAAGATGACGCGGGCACAAAACTACGCCTCCCTGTTGTCGAACTCCTGCTTGATGAGGCAACCCGTTGGGATTCAGCCTACATCATGCTCAACCGTTTACGAACCCTTCGCCAGGTAAGGCATCACGCATGAAACATTTGTCATAAACTAATATTCATCCAGGCAGTAGATTTATTCTTCGACTCTCCCACTCAACGCTCCATCAGCAAGTTCAAGTTGAGTCCGATGGATTGGCAGTTCTTACAGGATGTTGAAGTAATCTTAGAGGTTAGTTTTCTAATCTTCGAAATGTTTCATCTTATCGTTATATACTAGGCGCCCCACGCTGTCCAACAAAGCATGTCGGGCGAACGCACTCCCATGCTGAGTGGTACATATCCGGCATTCGAAATGTTGATAGAGCGGTGGAATTCTTTGGCCGATCACGTCCCACACTGTGACCCTCTTGTTCAGATAGGTCTGACTTGGGCAGATAAGTATGACGACAGGCTGGGTGCCACAAATGCCTATGCAGTCGCTATGCGTGAGTCCGGTATCTTTTTCAAATAATTGGTTGCTCACAATTGCATTTATAGTTGTTGATCCTGCGGTCCGGATGTCATGGGTTCGGAGTCGTTGGGCGGAACAACTGGTTCAAGATGTAGAGAAACATATAATCAATTTGGTACGTTGTGTTAAACTATAACAACGCAACTTTGAACTAATATTAGCACACGCAGATGCGTCAAAAACGAACCACGAACAGCTCAGCATCTGGCGAGTCTCCAGCTTATGAAGTAAGACCTCGGCAACAATCACGCACGCTAGGCTCCCGTCTTTATAATCTTCCTGACATTGGCGTCCTGCCATGTCACAACAGCGGCGCCCAAACAGTCGAGCAAGAATTCGAGGCCTACACCACGGGTAATCTCAGCACCAAAGGAACAGATATACTTGGGTTCTGGTCGGTAAGTGTCCCATATCTCTACAATTCAAATCTTTATTGACCATGTGTTCACCAGGTCTCGGAGACCTTATTTCCGACACTCTATGGTATCGCGATGGACTACCTCCCTATCCAGGCCTCTGCCGTTCCATGCGAGCGAGTATTTTCGTCCAGCAGTGAGACGGACACGAAGAAACGTAATCGCATGAGCCCGGTCCTGATGGAGGCCCTGCAGGTGGTAAAGTTTCTCGTGAAAAAAGAACGACTTAACTTTACGAAAGGTTGGGCAGCGTCGCAAAAGGCTATGGAGTATCAGGCATTGGGCGAGGGAGGAGAGGAGACTAACACTCTTTTGACATTTTCCAGCAGCGGAATGACAGGTGATGTTTATGACACCCTCCTCAGAGCTATTGCAGAGGAGGAGTGTGATGATATCGATGATACTCCTATTACCTACGACATGTGATGTTCGCTTTTACTCTTCGTTTCTTCTTTGCGCTACTTTGCAATGCCTCTCACATATTATGATTTCAATTTTCAACCATTCTCTCTTTGCTTGACTTTCACCGCTTTCATTTGCTGAGTGTCACCTCGCTCTGATGATCTATGAGTCTATGACATCGTGAAGGTGACGGTATCTTCTGCGCTACAATCCTCTCAGTACCAGGTGCGCCTTTTTTTCTCCCATCTTTATGATTGCTAAACCATTGCTATTAGAGTCGAACGGCTGATACAAGTGTAAGTCCCTCACCACTGGGAGAGTCGATGCGTGTTGCTCACCATACTCAGCCTGATCTATGGCGGCATTGGATATTTCTTCATGTTGTCCAGTCTTGTTGTCTTCTTTCGTGCCGTCCTACAAAACCCTTTCCCAGAGACCAGCCTCTGAGGAGGATTTGGAGTGATGGCTCATGTACTGGTCGGTGCTTGGATGTATTGTTGGCGTCGAGTACATTGCAGAGTGGCTTGTTTCATGGTCAGTCGATTTTCATCCATGGTATCAGTGCTAGGGTTTTGAAACGCCCCTTGCGCGTGTTAATAGGGTACCATTCTACTACCTCATGAAGACCCTGTTTCTTCTCTATATCGCGCTACCACAAACTCGTGGCTCATCCTACCTCTACACCAACCATCTTCAACCATTCTTTCATACGCATGAATCCCAGATCGATGCGACACTCGCATCTTTCAAAATTCGTATCTATGCCTTCATCCAAGAAAGATTTCGCAGCTTGTGGGATGCTCTCGCTGCAACAATTGGTCAACAGCAACAGGCCAACCTTTCCCCTGCAAGCGGGGTGACAGACACCGGCGTACCCCCAACTTTGGCTGACCCGGCATCAGGGCCCACTCGACTTGCTATGGGGCTCTGCCACTCGTACAGCCCTTCAATTGTTGCTTCTGGTACAGCACTACTGCGTCAAGGTACCGTCGATGATCTGCAAGTGTAACACCACAAGTATGAGGACTCCGAGGAGTTCTTTAAGTCGCTGGTTGCCGTATCACACGAGGACGAGCATTAAAAGGTAATATAGTAGTGTTAACAAAATATTTGTCATCTAAGTGCGTTCTTTTTCGCCTCTACGCTGATATTTACAGGTTGCTTCACCACTAGCACGTTGTCAAGCATTTTCGCTCTTTTCTTTTTACATTCATTGACCCCCACCGCTTCTGGTCTGTCTATTTTTTTCTTAGATAGATGCGGATTTTCGCGCTGCTGTCAGTGCTTGGTATAGCACTGCAGGTGCCAGTGCTGACCGCTCAAGACGGCTCCATATCTGGTCCAACCAGCAGCTCATCTGCTGCTGGGTACTCATGCGATCCCAGCCAATGCCAGTTGGCCAACTGCGATTGTGCTAGCACGAGTCCCCCAGGTGGTCTTTCTCCTGTGAGTGTTTGAATTATTCTTTTGCCATGCGCCATTTCTGACGGGCAACTTTTCAGTCGGACATACGTGCAATTCAGTCCTATACTATCGACTCCATTAATCAGTTCCTCGCTCAACGGAGAAGTATGGCGCAGCTCCTGACCAACACCTTATTCGTCCACCCACCGGCGAAGACGACCTCCTATGGACCCAGGAGATCGTTAACGGCGGACACGACGTCCCCCTCACCAGTATGTAACTGCCGTAGCCTCTCTTACTGACGTACTCACATTTCTCAGACTTCATGAACGCTCAGTATCACACTGAGATCCTCGTCGGTACGCCCCCTCAGTCATTTAAAGTTATCCTTGACACTGGGTAGGGAATCCCCCTTTTATTTTTCACACACCCTCAATGCTCACTCTTTCCTAGCTCGAGCAACCTCTGGGTCCCAAGCTCCAAGTGCACATCTATTGCGTGCTTTCTTTACGCCAAATACGAGTCTAGCGCTTCCTCTACGTACAAGGCCAACAGATCTGAGTTCTCCATTCATCCGCAATGCATGCGGCCGCGCGGTGAACGTCCAACTTTTATCGCAGTGTAGAGCTATTGAAGAGCATATGTTGCAAAGGGAGAGTGAGAGTGAGGATGCAGGGGACTCATGACGAGTGGATGGATGGATGGCGTGTCCACGGCTGAAGCAGAGGATCGGGGAGAGGATGTGGAACGGCAGATAGAAGAGAACGATCATTTGGAAAAGAAGGCGAGGAACGACGGCGCTACAAGAAGAACTCTCCGCTACCGCCTTCTGTCTGCATCTCTCCTACCCCCTACATCAAAATCTCTGAACCCGGTTCTACCACCTGGCCTCTCGCCGCCGACTCCCGCCCTTCCCGACCAAGCATCTTCAACACCCAACCCCGCCACCTCGATCTCCACGGGACCCGCACTCTTTTGCAGTGTTTCTTCATCACGGATGACTCGTGTAGCTGCCGTGGGGGAGAAACGCAGTATAATTCCTGATTGACCTTAGTTTTAGATCAAACGCTAACGAAATAATGACTCACTGGATCTTGGGGGGCCATTAGCGCTCGTGTGCTTATCGATCGTGCGTAGGTAGTTTGATCTTCGATAGTTCTAAATTAAAATCTATTTTTAATTAATTTGTAATCTATTTTTAATCTATAGTTTAAAATAAATATTTAAGCCCCCAAATTGACTTGGCTGTGGTTCCTGAGCTGAGTCAAAGCTTAAATTAAATAAGCCCGAAGTCACATGTATGGCCCCAGCTTAAACCGGCAATAAGCCGGAGCCACGACAACACTAGGCTCAAATGACCGGACCGAGCCATATATTATGTAAGCTTAATTTTGTACACAGCTAGCCTAATTGTAGCTCCGCTCTCGGCTAAAGCCAGCCTCAAGCCAGAGCTGCGGCAACACTACCCAAGACGGTCCATCTTCTCTGATCGTGGCCCTCATATCGTCGACGTTCCTACAGTACAGGACAGAAAGGTACGTATTTGTTCGCGCGTATTTCTCATCGCCGTAGTTCAATAATTGATCTGCAGTCATTGGTTGTTGCTCCACGGCCGCGGCCGCAGCAGCAAAGCCAATTGCACGGCCAAACCCAGGCGTCATCATCACAAACTCAGCCTGCCACAGCCTCGACCTCCACGACACCTCCTGCTCCAGGTACTCATACTACCACAGCTGCGCAGTCGCCACCTATCCCGTGGTGGGGTCGTCTTGTACTTTTCCTTTGTTGCGCATCTCCCCCACATGCTAATGGGCATTAATACTGCAGTATGTGGGCAATTATTTTATCTTTGTTCCTCTCTTGATATCTTTTCCTGCTCCATCAAGCTTGTTTCCTTGTTGTTACACTCATGCAATGCATCGCACTCGATAATGCTAACTGTTGCGAGAGCAGCATTATACTCGAATAGAATGAAAGCCCAGGACAACAAGTCCAGGCTCCTCCATTCATCCATGGACATCCGCAGTACTGCATATTTAGGCGTCGGCGAGCTCGCCTGAACATGGCCGCAAACCTATGTGTGTTTAACATACCCCGACCCATTCAGAGTGAAAGCAACAGATGTGATGCAAAGTCTGATTGTATGACCTCGCGTTGTCAATGTATGGTGGATGTTTGGTTACAGTTCGACTTCCCGAGATGCCGCACGGATTTCCAATGTCCGATCGGTGTTTGGTTTCAGTAATATTGTTTCTTCGATTTTATTCAATGTATATCCCTCAAATATCCCTAGCGACTTTGTAAGGAAAGGCAATCTACATTCTTCAGCAGTCCAGAGGGGGTTGTAAGTCGTGAATCTGTGGTTCATTGTATCAATATATACTCATTGAACCACTGACGCTTCAAGCCCTGCTCTAATGCCCAACTCGCAAGGCAAAAATGGGAGAGGTGTTGTTGGTCGTAAGTACATTTGAAACTGGGTTTAGTCAACTCAAATTGTAGCGAACACACGAGATTCAGCACTCGGACTCAGGAGGCAAGAGGAAGAATACGGATCACCCTAGGCTCCTCCATAATGTCTATTCAATAAGGGTTTCCGTTTTAAACACTCTGCACTTCAAGTGGTCTGTCACGAACCAAGATCCAGAAACCATCCGTTTTCATCTCTTGATCAAGGTAGGTTAAGTTCGTCTCACATGCTCTCTGCCCATTCCGTATTTCAGGCCATTGCCCTCTTCAATGCAAATAACATGACGAGGCAATGCTGCTCATCAAAGAGCTAGCTGTTGCTCGTCCGAATGCTGATACCCTCGGATGTCGCATCGTGTGAAGTAAGTATCATGCGGCTATGCTCGGTTATCAACACTGATGTTTGCAACTCGCACATTAGGCATATCTACGTGTTCAGCTCGGAACCAAGGCCTTGGATGGTTTATTCCAGGGCATGCATGGTGTGGGTGCATCAGCGTATCCTTCATTTCTCTTTGACACATCATTCATTACAGCATTCTCAAATTTCCAGACCACTACCTCAGCAGCGCCCGGGGCGCTTCAAGAAACTCAGGCTCGCTGTGACAAGGCGCTCTCTTCCTCCTCCTGCGCATGCACCCACATTAACATCGCCTACCGCGCTACCACCTGTCGCTGCTCCTGTTAATACGAAAAGAGTTGATCAACGGCCAATAACTAAGGTCGTCTGAGACTAGTGTCATACTGTTAGAGGATGGATGTGAGGGAGCGGGGAACTTGGTGGACATACGACGATGATATTTGTGCTGGATATACCACCACCATCCAGTGCTTGCATGACCAAAATGAGATCGAGGGATGATATTCGTTCCTGTCAATAGATATGATGTCACGTTCGAAGTGATGTAGCGGGCCTTGAATGAAATGCCGGTGATGCGAAAGTGATCTGAATGTTCAATGCCAGCGATCATCGCACCCCGCGCCAACGGCAGAATTGTTTAGTGTTGGTGCAGCAGTGTCTTCCCTTCTATAGAGGTCATTCACTACAGGTACCAGTAGATCTCTTATATCGATCTTCATTCTAATAGCCAGTGTTGCCAGCCTGTACTTAATCAGCGAATAAATAGTTTCACCACTCCAGGGCCTGTGCGCAGTTGGACATTCAAATGTTGATCTATTTAAAGTGTTTAGAATAAGTTTCGAGGGATACAGCATAGTATTTGAACAAGCTATACGCCGTTAATAACGCAGGAAAGCGGGATTCACATTCAGCTGGGGCAATCTCCTCGAACGAAGTCGGAGATAAGTTCATCGAGCAGGCACTGAGATCGATAGTTTCGCCTCCGGCATCAACAACGATGACTCCCTGGCTGTCAGATTGATCTTCCTCCTCGTCCGAGTAATCTGACACATCTATAAGGTTTTTAGAGAACATATCCGACGCAATCATGCTGGTAAAACAGAAATGATTACTTCGCCATTGGTCAAGAGGTGCACGTAAGATTGCTCCTCCTTAGATTAGATGAGACCGGCGATCTCGACAGCGCGTCTAACCTGTTACCTGTTGTTGTTGTTGTTGTTGTTGTTGACCTTCCCAACCGTTCGGACGCGTGATCACGAACTCGATAGAGTTCTCGACCGAACTCCAGAAATTCGAATGTGATTCCTGGATGTCAGTCCGAGCGCATTGGAAGAGGTAGCGGCACTTCACGTCACCCGCATTCCCAATTAGCCTGGGTTCGCTGCCTGTTCGAGAGGAGAGAAGATAGACTGTTGAAGGTCCACGAGTCCTTGACTGCTGGAGACAGAGATCTAGAGGGCTCAATTAGAATCTGGGACCGAGAGAGGCAAGATGGTTACTCTTGGAGGACACAGACAAAGTGCTGGTGCCTTCAGAATTTAAATGTCGAACATCTGGCTAAGACTTGCATACCAACAGTTGGAATGGAGTGTCAATGAGGTACCGGCAAAAACAACACATGTAGCCCAACCAAGCAAGAGAGTAAGCGTAAATTGCATATCCAAAGATCACTCATCAAAATATTCGTCAGGTACTAAGTCCTCGTTCCCAGGAGCATCCACTGCATTATTGCGCTATAGATGTATATATGAGACAAGACATGGTGATGAAAATGGACCGGGCGCACCTCTTTGCCCTTCGCGAAAGGAACATCGACAACGGGTGGTGCTGCGGCATGATCGGGTCGCCAGGTGAATAAGTATCGTATCGTTTGTTGTGATATCTATGTTGACTTGAGGCAGTATTTTATCACTATATCCTTCAGGTTTCTCCTTGTTCCTATTCATAGCTAACAATCCCGAGCCTTACCTGAGTCTCCAAGCTGTCGGGAAACCTCCAAGATGATATCACTATCACTACGCTATGTATGAGTCCTCGAACGGGTTTAAACAGGTATAGGGTAAACCTGTGGGTGTATATTGAAATTAGACATTGTACATACTGACTCCAGAGAGGCATGATGTAGGATGCCAGTGAGTTGAGTTGAGGGAACTCAGGGAAGACGAACACAGACGCAGAATATATGCAAGGTATACATCGAATAAAATCGAATAAATGAAATAAATGATAATACTCGAAGCAAACACTAATCGGACATTGAAAATTTGTCCGGCTTAGCGGCAAAGTCGAAGTGTAACCAAACATCCACCATATCAATGTGACCAAGGCCAGATTTTCTTATGTGCTTTTACTTGCGGGACAGCAGAGACCACGGAGCGAGATATTCTTGCCCTTCATTATGCTGCCCGCGGCTTCATTCCCTCCGTCTGCTCCGCTACAACTTCCATTCTGCTGCCCTGCTCCATATATGTACTGTACTTGATGAACTGATACCCATGTTTACGCCCACGTATATGCCGTTAACATTTGATCTTCCACCCACCATCGAACACATCTCTTTCAGCAATTGCCAAGACTCATTCCAGCCAATTTTTTAAGCGATAGCCGTGATTCCCAAGCATAAGGTCCTGACGTGTGACAAGTATCTGAAGCAGCAGGGCGTGAATTATGATATTCAATCCTCGGGTACCGATAGCAAGTATTTAAAACCTTAAGATCACTCAACGCTGATTCGGAGCTTACATTATCAATGATGGATAGCTATATCGAAGAAGTTAACACGAGTTAAAGGAACGAAGAGCTTGGACACTACCTTCATCCCGGCCCGACGCACCATAGCGCTCGAAAATAAACGCTCGCACCACAACAACGCAAGAGCTTACTTGCAGTGGAAGAAAATACGATCGTGCTTGGATGTAACTACCATCAATCTCGTGCAGTTGTGTTTGAGGATCACTATCGATCAGTCTTGATGCTACAGAAAATACGCACTTTAGAGCGCTTACCATGTTTACCCTGCTGGGCCAAAACTTTGGATGGACGCTTCTATGGCGCATCATGAGTACGATGTTCCTGGGTAGGTAGCCACGAACTACAGCAGTGAATCAATTCATTGAACGTAAGATTTCAGTCATTAAATGTACATACACTTACTAAGGAATTCTCGCATTCTCACAACATCTATGTGCGCTTGAGGAAGGGCGGGGAAACCGCTCACTTTTTACACGCTGTAGCACCGCCTGTGCGATGTCGAGTGCAATGGCAAAGAGCCAGACGCTCCTGGTATATCTTCTGGACATGCTTCAAGCTTCAAGGCCGCTTCATAGAAATGTGCTCTTTGTGGTAGTATGCTTGTGCAAATACTGAGGCGGATGCCTCAGGACTAGCAGACATGATTGACTAGTTCAATGCCAGTGCTCCGAGAGTCAGAGACCATGATGACATGCATTTGGGAAACCGGGTATGAATCTGACGCGGCAGGAGTCCATAGTTGAAGTGTTAATACTAACGCTCTGAAAGATGACTGTTCTGTAGGCCGATGCGAAGACAGAGTATGCTCAGCATTTGTGGCATCCTCGACAAGCAAAACATTCAATGAAGGCGTCGTACCGTGTGTTGGCAGATAAGCTGTGAATAATGCGAAAGAAAAAGTAGACCTCAGAAGTCACCTCATAATTGGACTGGAAATCGACATTCATTTCTTGACCACATGTGAGCAAGCTCCAAGGGATTGAACCAGTGCGTGGACTGTGGACTACTCACGTGTTAAATAGGGCGGGGAGGCCAAACATGTGTAAATACTCTCCTCCTCGTCTCTGGCATTGGCGCCAGTCAGCACGTTTTCGAGACCTTGTCCATCTTTCGATTCCTTGTTCTGTGACCAGTAACTTGACAGTATTTGGTATCGTAACAATTACACCTCTGAGATTTCCTCTCAACGTTACAGGACTCCGGCGGTCACTCCGCGTCGCACGGCACAACAACTAGCGCGTTCTTCCACTTCTGTCGCCGACGACGCGCGTGCCCTTCGTTTTTGGCAGAGAGCTGAGATACAACTTAATTGTACGTTCTCTCGCGATGATGGGTTTACCTTTGCGCTAAACAGTTTCAGATCGCGAGCTCAAAGCTCCATCGTCACGGTCTTTTGAGCTCCGGTACCTTAGGCTTTTCCATCCCTTCCTTCTGGGATGACCGTCTCCCATAGAAAGCGACAACACCAGCCGGATGAAATCCAAAGTACGTGGTTCCTTCCACCCCTTCCATTGGTTATCTATCTGTTTCAATGATGAAATACCTTTCTCACGCTTCATTTACGTAAATTGTGCAGCTGTCAACGAGCCAGGCTTGCAGATTCAATGTGATTGCTGTCAATGCGACTTGACGCATTCAGCTCGTATCAAGTGCGCCGATCCTATCTGTGAGCCAGGAGATGGTGTGGATATCTGCCCCACCTGCTTTTGCGCTGGCAAAGAGTTCGCCAAACATAAAGCAGGTCATGCATACCGAGTTATTGTACGACATATTCACGTTTGATGCACGTTCTTGCGTTGATTGACATGTTAGGAACTTCACTCGTATCCGATTTTCTCTGCTGACTGGGGAGCAGATGAGTAAGTAATCAATGCCTTCGTCGTCGTTCCGTCTGAAACGTATCTATAGGGAGCTCTTACTCATCGAGGGAATATCTCAGGAAGGCCTTGGAAACTGGCAGATGATCGCAGAACACGTTGGCACTCGCACCAAGGAAGATGTCGAAGAACACTACAACAGCGTATATGTTGATTCCCGCGATTGGCCACTTCCTGTACGTTAATGTGGATTCAAGTCTGCCCCTTCACTAAGTAAAATATGCTACAGCGGATGGATGTCGAATTCAACATCGACCCCGACGAATTCCAGGCTCGCAAACGCAGGCGAATGTCATCCATGACTACTTCTTTACCTCCACCACCCAAGGTAGCCCCAACCTCCGCTCCTGGGGTACACGAAATTGCCACTTTCCTTCCTGGTAGACTCGAGTTTGAACACGAGCTCGATAATGAAGCGGAGGATCTTGTGAAGGATTTGGAATTCGGAATTTGCCATGCATGGGGTGGGGATCAGATTATGGAAGATGAAAACGACGCGGATGTGCGCGCTAGGGCACGTATGCAGGAAGAGCGCAAGACAGTTGATGGTTCCAGGAACAGCAGTCAGCCACCCGTGAACGGTGTCAATGGCACCGCGAACGGCAATGGACATCTTCCAATGAACGGCGATTCGCATGTCAAGTCAGAGGAACCGTCTGGCGAGCAGCAGGCTTCAACGGAGGACGACGCAAATACGGACGAAGCAACGCTGCCTCCTCCATATGAGACAGACGAATCACTCGCTTTCAAGCTGACTTTGATGGAGATGTACAACCAGCGTCTTGATAAACGACGAGAAGCCAAGGCGATCATGTATGACCGAGGTCTCTTGGAATACAAGAAGGTATGTCGGCCCGTGTATGCACAGCATAATCTCACACTTTGTTCAGATGCAAGCTGCCGAGAAGAAGCGACCGAAGGAAGAGAAGGACATCGTTCAGCGGCTCCGGCCGTTTGCTCGACTTCAGACTGCCGAAGATTTCGAAGTGTTCGCAGCTGATATTCTGTGTAGGGACTTCTAGCATTTATGGGGATAGGCGCTAATGATGTTGTTGCGACAGACGAAGCCATGCTAAGGAAGAGAATACAAGAATTGCAGCATTATCGACGAATGGGACTTACTACTTCCGCCGACATCGATAAGTTTGAATTAGACTCCATTCGCCGGGTAAGAAATGTACCGCAACTGGTTTATCGAGTCAGGCAGCTCACTTGTACGGTTAGGCTCAAGCGAAAGCGAATTTGTCTCGCGACTATTATTCTTCAGAACGTCTGGCACAGCTTCGTGCAGGAGGCAGCGGGAGTATGTCATTTATTCGTTCCTGGAATGTCTTCCTGACCAAATTAACACTGTTATAGGAGAATCGGAAGGTCGCAAAAGTCATGAGAGAGAATCGACTCCGAAACTTGGAACCCCTGCAGGAACGGGCCCTCCAATCCGCAGACCACGTTCGTTTATTCTAACCAAAAATATCGTGCATTGGCTCACCTTACCCTCTAGCCGCCCCTCTCAATCTTGCCAATAGCCCGTCCTTGCACTTGCTTACTCCAGCCGAGCAAACCCTCTGCTCGCAGCTCCGAATCTTACCCAAACCATATCTTGTCATCAAGGAGACCCTTGTTCGCGAGTACGCTCGTCGTGGAGGCAAGCTCCGCCGCAGGGAAGCGCGGGATCTCGTCAAGATTGATGTGAACAAGACGAGTCGAGTTTGGGACTTCTTGGTACAAGCTGGTTTTCTCAAAATCACACCTGACCCCCCTGCTGCTGCTGCTCAGGATACCCCGTATGTGTATCTATCTTTTCCCCCATAGCCTAGACACTAACGAGTTTCTCTAGTATGAACGGCATCTCCCACACAGCGCTAAGTGTATCTCCATCCAAGGAGACATCGCGCATTTCACCACATCCTCCCGCGACAGGGGCTCTTTCTATCAATCAAAACGGATTTGGTCACAGACCAATACCCAATCACTCACCACCTAGCATACCTGCCCAACTATGGCCTTCGATTTGATGTCCTTGCTATCTTTATCCCGCCGTTTGCTTCATCAAGTAGCATTTGTACCATAGCACTCGCATACATTGTTTATCCCATGCAACTTATGGATTCATTATTGAGATTTGTTAAACTCCAGAACCAGGTTGGGCGATTAGATCGTCGATTATACTGCGGTCGACAGGGATATTAGCTTTACGCAAGTATTCATCATTCCTATACACAAATGTCAACGTTTCTCCGACCACATGTGATGTTGTCTTACCAGAACTGATGATAGGCACAGGCACAAAAGCGTTAGAGATCATTCAGTCTTCCCGGATACCACACACTGACCTTGGAATAATGTCTATTGCCAGAGTCGCATCTAGGAAAACAGTGAATCCACAAGTATCCATGTCCAGAGGGAAAACCTACAAGATCGTGACGAGTGTTTGACCTTCCCGCCATCCCTTTTTCTTTACGAATTTGACGCATGCCACCAAATTGCAGGCGCTGCTGGAGCCCAGAAATAGACCGTCGTTTTGGACGAGGTATCGGGACATGGCAACCGCTTCCACGTCAGTTATCCTTGCGTTATCGATGAGATGAGGCTCCTGTTGAGGATTGAAGATGGAACATTTGACGTACCGGAATGCGTCGTCTATGATTGGGATCGCTAGGTCGATGTTGTTTGTCATGCGGTTGATTCCTCTAGAGAGATCGATCGATAGGTGGGTTAGATGGGGAATTGGAGGTGGTGGTTGTAGACGCACATTCCCTCGACTACTGTGTCAACTTGATGCCTTCGTTTGGTCCCTTCGGCTTCTTTGCGGTCGTACATGACGCCGTGCTTGACCTGGAGGTGTGTGAGGGAATGTCGGGCAGCCAAAAAGATAGGATTTGACCTTGTTATAAAGCCCACTGCCTTCTGGGTCCGCTAGGACGACCTGCACCTCTTCATTCATTGTTTTAAGAAATTGTCCAGTGCCTGCGATCGTCCCGCCTGTCCCTAGCCATCATAGTATTAAAAAGCCAGACAAATCGAACATAACACGCACACACCTGCTCCAGATACAAACGCATCGATATGACTGTTAGTTTGACGCCATATTTCTGGACCAGTCCCATCATAATGGGCTTCAAAATTACTGCGATTCTATGCATGATGTGAGTTTAGTTTAGCCACCAATTATGTATGTATCAAGGCGAGCACCTCGAATTGGTCGGCGAAGAAGCCCCTTGGTTTGATTAACAGATCTTGATCCAGCGGGTCGTCGATGGTGCCTTCTGCATGGACATGCGACGACGTAGTGGTGACTACCACAGATGCAGAACCTGTCTGAAGCTCGTGGCTGATATGGGCGTTCGTCAAGCCTTTCACTACGTCTGAACGTCCGAATTCGATGGCTGCTCGCCTAGCGATGTTCTTTTCCCCAAGTGAATATTGATTGTGTGAGTTTATTTGACACAGAGATTGCTCACCACATACTGCGATTATGATGTAGTAAATATATAGCGTGCAACTACGATATAAGCTCGCACCTGTTTTTTGTCGACGATGCTCGCAGGACGAACACGCATGACCTCGGCTCCAAGGGCCTGCAACGCATTCACCTTCTCCTGGGCCACATCGTCCGGCATGATGATCGCTGAGAAACGTGAGATGGATTTCAACAGCTGGGGAAAACGGCCTACTTGTATCATATCCCCTGCAACATCGTACTATCAGATGGCGACGATCTCACACCAGAACTGGGGTCACTTGCCTTGCCTTTGCTATGGTCGCTATTGAGATGCCGGTAGATCCAACAGTGCCTTCGAAAATGCGGGATCCAGTGTGAGGGTGCAGCAAACCTTGCCGCTCTGCGTCTTCAATTACTTCATGTTCACAAAGTGAGCTCTAGGTCGATTCAACTGCCCGACGAACTTACTGCGCAGAGCAACTCGGTCCTTGACGCTCCCTCCGGGATTCATCAACTATAAATTGCCAAACGTTGGAGACCTTGAATGGGGAAGGATCTAGCTCGAAACACACCTCTGCCTTTCCAAGAATCTCGACTCCCAAAACATCGCTCAACGAGTTGATCCTCACCAAAGGTGTATTCCCTGGACGTCCAAAGTTAACTTGGATACCCTCAACGAACGCTAAACCGGCTGAGTCACGTACCTATCAACCCAGTGACACCATGCAGGACCTCGTCACTTCTCAACTCAATTGGCCGAGACTCGAATGGTTCATGCGAGAGGCTTTGACGTCGTCGAGAACGCCAATATGATGATATGGACTTGGATGTTATAGACAAGGTAAATCCGATGAGAATGCCGTATGTGATATTGCGGACAGCTGCATTGGAAAACGGAAGTAACGTCGACTCAAAAAGTTTCATGGCATGAATTGAACAACGTCGAGTACGGGCTTAGGGCTACATATAGTCGGGCGACTGGCATACGCACGGCTCCAACGCACGTATTCAAGTTCGTGCATGATCGGGATAGCTCCATACAGTATTCAACCATACGTACAGGGACATGTTCCTCTCCAAAATGAACTGTAAGACAATCTGACCGCCATCACATGTTTTCATAAAGGCAAATAAAATTGTATATTCAACCAAAGACAGCTTGTAGATATGATACCAATAGAAATCCATCAGACAGACGCTCAACTCGCTGGCTCCGTCTCGCTAAACTGCAAGCAGTCGCACGAAGAACAGAACCAAACGTCCTCGAGACCCCGCGTTAAACGCGAAGGCCATATTCTCTGTCGAACGAGAGAGCGCGGTTGTCATCGAGTGGATTTGAAGGATGTGGCATGTGTAAACATGCGAGACTCGAGTTAGTTTCTATAAAATAGATCCTAGCTGAGTATGTTCTGAAGAACCAACAAACTTGGAGCACAAGCTTATATATCTTTTCCATCTGGCCCGTGCGCAATATTCCCACGGCTCGCTCTGTAGTGACTTACTGCACGGTTCCGATGGCACTACTATTACTGTTGATTGACATCCTTTCATGGCGCGATGCATGCGATATCTGACCATCTCTGAAATTTATGACAGGTCTTTTTGCCTTCCCTGTCAAGCCTTCCACCTTCGTCAGCAACTCGTCAGCGCACTTGTTTGGGTTTCGTAATTGACAGTGAATTCCGAAGTAATAGATTGGGGGACTTCACGCAAGTGTCACAACATACACCATGCGCTCTACCCACAACGTCCTGAATGGATCCTTGGCACGGGACAATTGCTTTTGTATGGTCCACGCCCGATTTTCTTTACTCTGGTCTCGCGTTTGCTGCTGATCCAGAACATGCCATAAGTGGGAGTATACCCTCTTTCAGGCCACCCAATGCACACAAATTGCTAGGGGCGAACGGTGTCAAGAAGCGGTGCGAGCCTCTTTTTCTAGATATACCACACCCAAGATGAATTCGCGACATCACCACAAGTACTCTTCTCTGGCTGACTTTTCGCTCACAGCAGTAAAGATTTTCCACACGACGCCCACGGTGCCCTCATCTACTGCAAAAATTCCACCATTGCCTCCCAGAATTCGATGGCTTTCCGCACCCATTAAAGCTAGAATCTCCCTTTCTGTTGACCAAGATATGTCGACGATGGAGGGAGGTAGTTGTGGGCATGCCCAGTCTATGGTGCAAGCTGCATTTCGGGACTGCAAATATATGTTCCCGTGCTACGCCAATGATCACTCGACACCTTCAGCCTTACATCAATACAATCACATTTCTACCTCAACGTTTTCCACAGTCCCGACGCTCCTAAACCTATGTTACCAAGCTTCGTGACACTTGAACAGCCGGCCAAATAAGCGCACATTTCTGATTAGGCTATTATGCCAGCTATCGCACACGATATCTCGCAACTGCCGTTCACTTTGTGCGGTCTTCATGTCAAGGGGCCATCATTCCACCCCAATGACTTGTCCTCTTTCAGGCCCGTATGCGCCCACCCACCATCTACATGCGCTGTGTGCACTCCGCTCACTTGTTAGTCGATCAATGTGGCAATTCGTCGTGATTTTTTATTTTTGAGTCTGACGAGGGTGACATATTATTATCTTGCTGATTTAGTATGTGACAGGCAGCTGACATGGACAGGTGACATTTCGTCGTGTTGTGGCCCATTCCCCGCTTGCAACGCATGTACGTGCACATCTAGTCATTACCCTTTCAACCTTGCTGATATTCATTCGACAGAAATAAAACCAATAAACATGTGTATCTTACACCTTTCCTCGCCAACCCTCCGCTCCACTGATTAGTATATGATAATGATTCTCTCTGACTAAGTATCACCCACCTCCTACTAGTTGTATGACATTCGTATGATTGATCATCGTCCGTCTGTTTCGCGTCTTCAGCTATGAGCTACCATTCAATGGATGTCATCATGACTTTTGACGGTGAGTCATTCCGTCGTGGCGGCGTCACCCGAGATGACGCCAGCACTATGAGACGCACGATCTTCGGTATTTCCTCGCGTCGGAGACCTATCTCCGCTATCACGGGCACAGATGCGTCAGTGAGCCGTTCATCTGGTAACACGTTAAATCACTTACTCCTTCAATTCAGTCTTTGCAGAGAGCAGTCACCGCCACTCAGTACTCAGCCTCAACCTCAGCCCCAATAGGGGTGAACCTGCACCCATACCCGCCGAGAGCAGGTATCCCCATCTATCCCCGTCCACGAGTACGGGTTGGCTGGGGGTAGTACAGTAATGGTGTTCGACAGGCTTTTGATATATTTGCGTCCCCTGCCACGTGAATCAGTCTTTCCTAGGCACCGAATAGAAGGAAGACGCCTAAGCCTACAAAAGTTTAAGAGTATATGTCAGCGCAATAAAAGCAAGGATCTTCACAAGCTTTACTGCGGCTAAATGGAGAATGTTCTTGAAGCGGGGAAAACGCAACGTCATTTCGAAGGTCTTTCAATTCACACGGTCTCACACACTGACACACAGTAGTATTTGCCGGTTTCTTTCTTCCATGATGGCAAACGCTATTCAAAAGCAAAAACACTTTCTATCATTTCCGCACTACGCCGTGGTCGGTGCTTCTACAGACCAGTCAAAGTTTGGTACGAAGGTAGCCCTGGATTCAAGTTTTGCCATAGACATTACAATATCATAGTCCGTAGGTTCTGCAATGGTACATCCAGCGGAACAGGCCAGTAACACCGGTTCACCCATCGAAAGACGAATTGGAGGGCATAAAGACAATTAGGTCGTTGGCTGACCTTCCGAACCCAACCGAAACGTCAGTGAGTATCATAACATCCGCCAAGGTCAGTAGTATGTTGCCACGTTCGCAGCTTTGCTGCTGAATACGTGACAAGATCACCATCGATCTCCTCAAACAAATCGAGGAGCTTTCAATTCCCGCTGTCTGGTGCCAGCCGGGAGCAACTGACGCTGCTTGCGTTCAGTACATCAAAGCCAACGAGATGTCCGACCGTGTACTTTTCGAGGGAGAGTGTATACTAAGAGATGGTGACGGGGTCTTGAGGGCGATGTTATGAGATGGACCGATCGGTATTGTCATCACCAAATTGTTATTGCCCTATAAATTGCTATTTCCCGGATCCTCGCAGATCCTCGCGTGCTACGCCATGTTGTCGTCCTCTCGACAATACAGACATTGCGATGATCGGGAAGTCCGAGCGATCGCTTCCATGATACTGGAGTTACTCCTACCGCAAGATCATTGATGACAGTATGAGCCCGACTCAAGTCTTGCAACCGGATAGATCACCTTTTATCTCCGAGCGCGACGGCCTAGAATGAGGATGGCGGAAAACCTATAAGAAGTTGTCGCTAGGATCACAATCTCTCTCAGACCTCCCTTAGCTATCGAGTTCCCTCGTCATGCTATCCACCTTCCTTTTACCTATTCTTGCGCTGTCCGCTGTAAGCGCGACCCCGCTCGCCGCCCCTTCCATTGCCACCCGTTCCACTAAACCCGTCGTAGGAGCTTGGTACGCCGGATGGCGCGCTGAGGATGGGTTCCCGCTCTCTTACGTTAGCTGGGAAAAGTACACTACGCTGTACTACTCATTTGCGTAAGTTGCCTGTATTGGCATAAACGTAGATCGCTTTGATTAACGCGATAATGTGTGTTTCTTTTAGAGAGCCCACCCAGAACATCTCCACTTTGAGCCTGGCAGGCTCGGATGGCGAGATGCTCCCTCAGTTCGTCACTACGGCCCATGCAAATGTGAGCATATCAGAATTTACCTTCTACAATTGATGTCTAACACACACACAGGATGTTGAGGCCCATATTGCTGTCGGAGGCTGGACTGGGAGTGTCTGGTTCTCTTCTCACCTTTCCACTGCCGCAAACCGGACGGCATTTGTGCAGACCGTGGCCGATTTTGCTTTACAATACAACCTTGATGGCGTCCAATTCGAGTACGTTGATTGCTGTCACTCCGACATCACGCACTGACATCAGTCATCCAACAGCTGGGAGTACCCGAACCATCAGGGAATTGGCTGTAACACCATTAGCGTGAACGACACCGCAAATTTCCTCGCATTTCTCCAGGAGCTTCGCGCAAACCCAGTAGCAGAGAGGCTCACCCTCTCAGCCGCCGTAACTCTGACGCCCTTCAATGACGCTACCGGAAGTCCTTCTGCTGACGTTTCTGGGTTCGCGAAGGTCCTCGATTACGTCTCCGTGATGAATTACGATGTTTGGGGCTCTTGGTCCTCGACTGTGGGGCCCAACGCACCGTTGAACGACACCTGCGCTGCGCCAGCGAACCAACAGGGCTCTGCTGTTTCTGCAGTTAAGGCTTGGACGGACGCAGGGATGCCTGCCAACCAGATTGTGCTCGGCGTTGCTGCATACGGTCACTCGTTCAGCGTCTCTCCTTCTAACGCATTCATGCCCGATGCGCCAGAGACGCTGGTTGGATACCCCGCCTTCAACGCCTCGAACCAGCCCTTGGGTGATGCATGGGACGACACTGGTAGCGTTGATGTCTGTGGCGTTTACGAGGGCCCAGGTGGCACTTACAACTTCTGGGGCCTCATTGACGACGGTTTCCTCACCGAAACTGGCGCGCCTGCCAACGGCATTTTCTACAGATATGACAATTGTAGTCAGACGGTAAATATTATTTCCAACCCTGAAGCAGGAGTACTTATTCCGCTACTTTTACAGACGTATGTGTACAATGAAACCTCGCAAGTTATGGTCTCCTTCGACAACATTCCATCGTTTGCTGCCAAGGGCGAGTATATCAAGGACGCAGGGCTGCGCGGTTTCTCGATGTGGCAGGCGGGTGGTGATCACAATGATTTGCTCCTTGACTCTATCATCGATGCTTTTGGGTGTAATTAAATGCATTTCCAATATTTACTATTAACTCTCGCACTCGTTTACATTACTTTATTGCAATCACGCTCGTTGCCAGTCTACTAGTACTTATTACATAGCTGTCTCAAGACATTCCCAAAGTTCACTGCCGCTGCATCCTTGGCTACGACGCCTTTATATATGTTCTCGTTCATAGTTGCAACCACCTTACAGTTTGAGTATATAGTCGTGTAACTCATAGCGTCGTTCTCGGGCTATAGTATTAGATTAATAGCATCTTAAATGGATGATTAGCCATAAACCCTCGTACAGTCCTCGTGTTAGTTTATGAATCAATGATATCGATGTGCAGTGCCAGTACGGCAACAGACCTTTTTCTTTTTTTTGGTGGAACGATATTATCAACTAGCAACTGACAAGGTCAATCCTAGGAGATACGTTTGGGAGACGGGGGTTTCACCCATGTAGATAATAGAGATAGTCACCCAGAGAAAATACTTTAAGTACGCAAATAGATTACTTATAGCGGTGTGACACGGTCTCTACTTTGAGAGCTTTCTTCCTGTATCTCATGGAGTCGGTGAGCAGCCGGTCGAATTTCAACCTCGTATTGATGAATGGATCCATTTGTTTAGGATTTCTGTTTCGGAGTGGTACTTTTCCTTGTCTCCGCCGGGGGTTGGTGGTTTCGCAGCGGAGCTTCCGTATGGGGGCGGTAGCGGAATTTGCCGGCCCGGCAAAGTGAGGAAGTAAAGCACGTGACAAATTGACAGGCTCGCAGGTCCCTGCAGATTCTCGCATGCTGCACCATACTGTCGTTTTCTCTCTCCAACACCGGGAAACTAAAACGCGATGTTCGGGAAGTATGAGCAACCGCTCCCTTGGTACTGGAGGAGTCCCTCATACCGCAAGATCATTGATGCCAGACTTCTTCAAATTTGCACCCGGATGGACGTGACGGCCTAGTAGAAATGAGGAAAACGAAAAGCTATAAGAAATTGTTGCCACGGTTAAACCACGATCACAATTTCCCTTAGCCCCCTTCAGCCGTCGAGTTCCCTCGACATGCTATCCACCATCATTTTACCTCTTCTTTCCCTGTCCGCTGCAGTAAGCGCGAACCCGCTCGCCGCCCGTTCCACCACACCTGTCGTAGCAACGTGGTACGCCGGATGGCACGCTACTGAAGGATTCCCGCTCTCTTCAGTTAGCTGGGACAAGTACAACACGCTATATTATTCATTTGCGTATGTTGCATGTATTATTAGCATCAACTTAGATAGCTTCGATTAACGTGGTCACATTTGTTTTTCTTAGAGAGACCACCCAGAACGTCACCAGTCTGAGCCTGGCAGACTCTGATGGTGAAATGCTCCCTCAGTTCGTCTCCGAGGCCCATGCACATGTGAGCAAATAAGAGTTTACCGCTTCTACAATTGATGTCTAACGCACACGCAGGGTGTTGAGGCCCACATTGCTGTTGGAGGCTGGACTGGGAGTGTTTGGTTCTCTTCCAACCTTGCCACTGCCGAAAACCGGACGGCATTTGTCCAGACTGTGGCAGATTTTGTATTACAATACAACCTTGATGGCATCCAATTCGAGTAGGTTGATTCTTGGGACTGTGACATCACGCGCTAACCTCAGATTTTCTTTTTTTTTTCCAACAGCTGGGAGTCTCCGAATAATCAGGGAATCGGCTGTAATACCATTAGCGTGAACGATACGGCAAATTTCCTCGCATTCCTCCAGGAACTTCGCCAAAACCCAGTAGCAGCAAAGCTCACCCTCTCAGCCGCCGTAGGACTGTCACCCTTCTTTGACGCTACCGGAAGTCCTTCTACTGACGCCACTGGATTCGCGAAGGTCCTCGATTACGTCGCCGTGATGAATTATGACGTTTGGGGTCCTTGGTTCTCGACTGTGGGACCCAACGCACCGTTGAACGACACCTGCGCCGCATCTGCGAATCAACAGGGCTCTGCTGTTTCTGCAGTCAAGTCTTGGACGGACGCAGGGATGCCGGTCAACCAGATCGTGCTCGGCGTTGCTTCCTACGGCCACTCGTTTAACGTCTCTCCCTCTAACACCTTCACATCCGACGCAAAGAACCTGGCTGCATACCCCGCCTACAATGCTTCGAACCAGCCCTTGGGTGATGCATGGGACAACACTGGTTATGTTGATGTCTGTGGCGTTTACGAGGGCTCAGGTGGTACCTTCAACTTCTGGGGCCTCATTGACAACGGTTTCCTCACAGAGGATGGCACGCCTGCTGATGGCATTTACTATAGATATGACAACTGCAGTCAGACGGTAATATAATTTCCCCGCTCTGAAGGAGGAGTGCTTATGTCGCTGCTTTTACAGCCGTATGTGTACAACGAGACCTCCCAAGTTATGATCTCCTTCGACAACGTCAAATCGTTTGCTGCCAAGGGCGAGTATATCAAGAACACCGGGCTACGCGGTTTCTCGATGTGGGAGGCGGGTGGTGATTACAAGGATATGCTCCTTAACTCTATCATCGATGCTTTTGAGTACCGTTAAAAACGACTCCACTAGGCTTAGAACGACCGTGCCGAATCGCACTCGTTTACATAGATCACGTACTTCATCGCAATCACTCTCGTTTCCAGTGTATTGGTACTTATTAGCTGTCTCAGGGCCTTCCCTATGTACATTATGCCGCTGCCGTGCATTCTTGTCCGTGACGTCTTTATCTTCTCATTTCATAGTTGCAACCACCACAGTGTAAGTCGAATCGCTATCTATTCCTATATTCGAAACTCGTATTATACTGTGGATCCACTAAGCACTTTGGTACAAAAACATTTGTATCGCGGAGTCTCACACTGATATACTCCTGCACGAGCTCTTGCAGCCGCTACTGAGACGGACTGTACGTCGTGCTTCTGCAGAATTTACTTATTCACTATTCGAATGCCTTTGCTGTAGTCGCGCTCGCACCCGCATCTAATTGTATCTTTCCCTTTCCTTCTGCCCAGTGCTGAATGAGGACGCCCGCGATTGCGGTTGGCGAGGGAATCTTGAAGGGCGGCTCGCTGTCGTTATTGATAGTTCCCCTAGCATGTCTCAAGACAGCAAGCACTTCTTCTCTGGTGTACCACCGAGCATCTATGTGTGACACATCCCTGAGTCAAACTGCAACATTAACATTTCAGCAGAAGACGACTGACCTTCGAGTTCGTTATCCAGATCAGTACGGATTGGCGCAGAAGAATCAGCGGTCGCGTAATAGCCGATCATCAAGTTGGCTGGATATGGCTAACATGTCGGGGTTGATAGGTTGGAGTTCTGTCACGCAGAAACAACGTACCCAAGGTTGTCCAGAGTGATATCGGATGTCCCAGACCTTCACTCCAGCTTCCTCCCACATCTCCCGCTTGACGGCATCCTCGAAGGACTCGCCTGGCTCGACGAAGCCAGCAAGCGCGGAGTAGAACCGGCCGGGGAATTTTTTCTGTTGCAGGCCACATCAGAAAAGATAACTCGTATATATTGAAGGTGTGTGCGAACATTTCTCCCGAGAAGGATTTTCTCTCCTGATTCATCAATGGCGAGCATGATTACAACGGGATCCGTTCGAGGATGAGAAAAATTGTTTAGCCCTCGCCTTCATATCATATCAGTGGTTGTTTCCAACACAATGTTTGAACGAACCCAGAGGGACAAGGTTTCCTGTCCGTGTTATCAGCCCAGGGAAGTAGAGATGTGCAGCCCAACTTCCATCCAGCCCACAAAGAATATACGGGCGAACCGCAAGCGGGACAGAACTGGAACATCACATTTCAGCAGAAGCCTTCCATTCTGCATATACTAGCGCATGCCTTGTTCCTTTGATTCCAATCCACCATGCTCCGAGCCTCCGCAAAGATCGCTGCGAAACGAACATCAAGGCTTGACATCGCCGCACGTGGCTCCAGAAAAGTCAGTGTCGAGCCATCCTTTGCAAGCCCAGTGTTCTCTACAGCTGCATTAACCTTATTCTCGTCAAGGTCCGCGACATCCACGGAAAAGTAAGAGGATCCATCGAGTTTTTCGACAGCAGAATGGGGATCTTTGAAGTCGGAAGATGGGAGAGCACTTTCTGACGTTTCAGCCTCTTGTAAACCCAGGAAGACTATCGTTGGACCACGGACTCGGGCAGCCTCAAGAGCAGGTACATCGGGTGTGGAGTTTTCTCCTTCCTGCTCGCATTGCCCAAAGAATGGTCCTGCGCCGACCAAAGGCATAACGTCCTCAGTAGTCAACAGCGCCAGACTTCGCTTCTGTGTACCCGGATGAGAAGCGACAAGTGGCTGTCCTCCATTGAATAAGATCCACCTCGTCGCTGGTGAAACAATGACAGCATTGAGGAATGAATGAGATGGCCTCAGCCATGATAGACGATTGAGGGGCGATCCCGCCATAAAATTAGTGAATCTGGGAGTCAAAGACGATCAGAGATGTGTCACGTATGTAAATCATTGCACTGACGCTTCGCTCATCTTGATGGCGCGTGTTGCTCGGAAGGCTATGATTGCGGCAGACAAAAGAAAGGGATCTCCTCTGTCTCTAGAGTATATAAGTACGTGGGTTCTGCTTGCTCACACCGATTAGCTTTAGATTAGCTTACTTAGTAGTGAGGTGACCCACGAGAACTCACGAGGCCGCACCAGGTGCCAGCTAGCCGGTCATGCGTAATTTCATGATTGGTTGACACTACCGGTGTCTATTTCTGACAGTCTACTTCCGGCGTGCTCTCAAGGACACACCAGGGGCACACATCAAAGACCCACAGGCAGCGACTCAGACCGAAAATCTCGACAGACCATAAAGTTGTCATACCTTGTTGTCGTTGCGGCTCTAGGGTCGATTTACCCCACATCCCATGATTCCCACCACCTCCATTCCCCGGATCTAAGGCTAGTGACCGCCCATCATGATGGCAGTCATATCGAACCTTACCAGTAGGTTCTATTCGGGCTTCCGCAACTGCGAGCGCGTGAATAAGTTCTTTGTGTCTACTGGAACAGTTGAAGGTACTCGTTAATCTTATTCATCTTTCTTCACAGCTCACGCATATGTTCCGCCGAAGACGACTCGGTCGTACAATGTACATTGATCTTCCCATTCTTGGGTTACAATGCATGTGAGTCACTTCTTACCACCAGATTTGAGGTGATTTCGAAGGGCTTCTTCTCCGTGCTTCCCGTGCCTATAATACGGTCAAAGCTTCGTGGCTGGCACTCCAATCAGAACGAAGAACAGTGCCTTGTTGGCTGAGCAATATGTCCCTGACACACCCAGGCTATTCATCACTATGCCGCGTTTGCCACACCCGTGGGTCTGGCTGATCCCCTGACTCACTCTCCTCCAATGTGATTTAAACTCACATTGAACATGAGGCGAGCCATTCTGTCACGGACATTTGTCCTGTGAACTTCAGACAATGGGACGCCATTTCAGCTATGACATGTCTTGATGCTATTTGCACGAGGCGTTCTAACACAGCGCTCGATCCATGAAAGTTACGTGCGCCGTCCGCCTTGAAACTGCCTTATACGGCAATTCGTTTGTTCACTGCCCATTTTCGGCTACTACGCGAAGTCCTGCGCTCATCGCAGAAGGCCTAGATATACCGTCCGGTGGTCTATCCGCCCGCTTTGATCCTTCCATTTAGGGCGAACAACAATGGAGAGCCTGTCCTGGTCTGTCTCGAGAATCGACGCGCTCCCGCAGACGGAAAGAATTAAGATTTGGTCCAGTAACCAAACCTTGTATAAAAGTCCAATCACCCGGTCCCTGTCCATGTCCCACCTGTGTTTGAACCTTGAGCTGCCGTACGCCAATTTTGCTACATCGGTTTCTCTGGTATTTCGGAATCCTGAATTCGTATGTTTTCTGAACTCTAGAATGCGATGACGTCCGACCCCCGCCCAAAACAAGATGGGAAGAAAGGGTCAATATATCGCGCAAACTTATCGCCCGCTCAAGTCATTGCGGAGGCGTGGCGACGCGAATCTCCAGAAAGCCAAGATTTTTGGCGGCAAGCAGAGGCAAAACGCAAAGAACTCTACGCAGTACCCATATCACCTAAACCACGGGGGAAAATGTAGGGTCCGTATCTTGATGACATGACCAGTAAGCGATGATCTCCACAAATCCAGTTCATTACTCAAGTTGTGCCATCGCTATTCAGGTTATTCGCATTCCATGTACATACTTATATTCATTATTTTGGACGATATCAACAATTGTACGATTAGTTGCATTACAGATGGGCTGAAGGGCTGCTGGACATGCCTAGGAGGCGGCAGAAAGCTATTGTACTAATTGTCAGAGATTGATACGTACTTGGCACACTCGCAATACATAGACAAGATTATGGTCCTAACGTTGAAGGGACTTCGGTCCCCACAGTCGACCCTATCCCCACGCCATTGTCACCATCGTCCGGTTCGTCGTAATCCTCTTCATAGTCCTCATCCTGTTCTTCCAACGCTGCCTCTGCCTCTGCCTGTGCTTGAGCTGCAGACGCAGCATTAGCAATTGCTTGCTCCAAAAGTCGCGCTTGTTCTTCTGAAAGACCATATAGAGAGAACGGCGGTGCAGAAACCGTTGCACTTTCCGCAGTTGGAACAGCGTAATCGTTTGTCGGAGGGTAACTTCCATCGTCCAATGGGAACAATGGCGATTCGGTCATGCTCGGATTGGCAGCGCTCACCGCTGGATTATCTTGTTCAGTTTGCGAAGAAGGCCTATTTTGCAACTGCGCCCTAGCGATGACGCTAGCCAAGGTCGCTTGGCCTCCAGCCGGATCAACATGCAATGGAGGAACATTATGATCCGCGGCTGTTCCTAGCGCGCTGGACACATGTGCTTGTAACGTCTTGTGGAGACTAAGCACAGCCTCTTGTGCATGGCCGATGACGCTACCATCCATTTCCCCTTCCTCCGGACCCCAATCATCACCAAACGTTCCGTAACTTGCTGTAGACGCTACGGAATTCGTCACGATATCAGCCCACATCCGTGTTCGTCGACCTTCCCGCTGAGCGTCTTCCCCATCCTCCTTGTCCAGTTCAACTTCTTTGATTGCCGCGTTGACACATGCCTCCGCTTTGCCGCCACGAGTTGCGCTACTGTTTTTGTGCCTTTTTATTGCATCACGCCGCGAGAACAACTTGTAGCAGCCAGCGCACTGGAACCCCGTCTTGTCGTGTAGTTTGGCATGACGTTTCAGGTCATGATTTCGGGCAAACGAGGCAGGACACGCGGCGCAACGATACGGCCTGTGCACTGCGTGCACTTGTTGGTGCGCTCGTAGGTTAAACAACCGCGCGAAAATCTTGCGGCAGCTTGGTACTAGGCAGGGATATACTGCGGTACCAATGTCGCTAAAAGGGACGGGCTGAGGGCCCGTTCCTGGCGGTATCCATGGGCGGGGAGGATACATCGATACGTCAGGGGGTTGGATATTTGGCATCGGGGCATTCGGTGGGACAGCAGTGGGGCCAATGGGACTACCACTCAGGACTCCAACCACCTGAATGAGCCCACTGATCTCCTGTAAGGCGTTTGTCTCTGGTCCTCCTCTTGCAGAAGAAGTGACCGCAAAAAGAAATATTTGATGTAACTGTAACTGAATTGAGGATATGATCGACGGATCTGGCGGGCCGTTGGAAGGTGGATGGGAAGCTAGAGTTTCTGAAACGACGCGAACTGCGTCTGTTATCTGGCTCTGTAGATGACCATATGCAAAAGCTGGCCGTTTGAAGGCTCGTGGCTCATTCCTCTGCCGTTCTTCTTCGGTCTCGTCGCGTTTCCTCTTGCCTTTGTCCAGCTGCAGCGAAGGCGCATTAGAGTGACGCATTGCGGCAAAGAGTGCGTCGGAGCGAGCCAAAGTTACAAGTGTCAGACTGAGTGATTTTGCAAGGTCTTTGGAAATTGTCCCAGCGGCAACTGTGCGATTGAGGATTTCCAAAACGCTATTGCCTGCACCAGGAACGAATGCAGAGGCCAGAGTTGAGTGAACCAGAGGATCCTTTCCTGCAATGTTGAGCACGTTCCCCATTGTCTTCAAGGCGGCCTCTTCCTTCTTGGATGACGGTTGTAGAGGTGGGTGGGTGATCGGAACTGGAGAAGCAACCGCAGACACACCATCATGTAGGGGTACACCAGGAGTTGATGTCGTTGCAGTGACGTTTACGCGGTCTGCCTGCGCTTTGCTAATGTCCGCCCATAGCTGTTCCTTCAACCGACGGGCAATTTCCTCTGCTTCTTCCTCTCCGTCATCATAGTCATCGTCATCATAATTTTCATCCTCTTCAACCCATTCATCTGCTTCCTCATCTCCGACATGCTCAGTGGTCGAATTCGTTGTCGCGTCGATTTCGTTGGATCCAGGCTCAGTCATGATGCATGAGTGCTGAGATGAGATGCTTATGTAGTGGAAGCTGTGGTTACAGTTACAAGTATAGTCTTGGTCAGGTACAGACCGGTACTTCGATTCATCTTCAATGTACCCAACCGTCCTTGAATCTTATTGACTTGGTGGGACTAAGTATCACAGTTGGTACTCTTTCTACGTATTGGCATGTTCGCGGCAATGAGCTGGCTGTAGGTTCGAGTTACATCCGTAAGTAGTCAGCAAATGCTCTTTTTTGTGAAACTCCGCGATTTGTATAACTGCCAGCAGCTTGGTTATCTCAAGTTTCAACTTTTCAAAGGTTAAATTTCTCTCAGGAATAGCCAGTCGCAAATGTCGAACGCGATAAAGGACCTGGTGGCTGGAACGGCTGGAGGAATAGCTCAGGTGTGTATGAAATTGGCTCAGTGCTACGTGTCGACTCAGTTCGCGTGTTTTAGGTCCTTGTCGGACAACCCTTCGACATCGTGAAAGTGGTGAGAGTGGCTATAAAATCTGTGCAAGGATACTTGCGTACCCATTATGACTCTCCCTCAGCGCATGCAAACCTCGGCAAAGGGCACTTACACCGGCATGCTGCATTGCGCTGGCGGTATCTTGAAAAACGAAGGGCCTCTGGCATTCTATAAGGTGATGCTCTTGTCACTCTACGCTATGTTCTATCTCATTTTATGTCAGGGCACGTTGACACCTTTGCTGGGAATTGGTGTCTGCGTATCAATACAATTTGGAGTACTCGAGTATGCAAAACGGATATTCACGGCTCAGAATCTAGCTAGAGGTGAAGGCGGAGTAGAAGGAAAGATGCTTGGTGGAGGCCAGCTCGTTATCGCTGGAGTAGCGGCAGGGCTTGCTAACGGCATAGTATCTGGTCCAGTGGAACACATTCGCATTCGTGAGCCCTCCCTCTGTACGACTAGTCTCTGACGTTCAACCTTTTCTTTAGGTCTGCAGACGCAATCAAATACGAACCCAATATATAAAGGTCCATTTAACGCAATGAAGAAAATTGCCTCACAACACGGCATCGCCGGAATATTTAAAGGACAAGGTGTCACATTCCTACGTGAAGCCACAGGCTACGGCGTCTACTTTTTGGCGTACGAAAAGCTTGTACAACGTGAAATGACCCAGAAGGGCATACGACGGGACCAGATTAACCCTATGAACTCCGTTCTGTACGGTGCGACAGCTGGATACGCCGTAAGTCCCCATCCCTCTGCCCAGTCGCATTTCCATGTACACGTTGAGCTAATTCCGCGACAGCTTTGGGCAGTGATATACCCTATAGACATGATCAAATCTAGAATGCAAACTGACGGATTTAGTCCTTCTACTGGACAAAAATACACTTCAGCACGGGATTGCGTGAGGAAGGTTTGGAGGACCGAGGGAATCGGTGCATTTACACGTGGTCTGGGGCCCACTTTAATTCGGTACGTTTCTTATTCCTCAGGAATGTTTCATTAGCTCATTGCTCGCTAGTTCACCATTTGCAAATGGGGCAACATTCCTTGGATTTGAGATGGCTAGTAGACTGCTGTATTCATAATTCTCAAGGATACTTGCCCTTCCCTTAAAATGACGGAATGTCAATACGAAACACTCCGCTCAACGCCGGCAGTGGACCGATCCACTTATATCCTCGCTGTTGGGTCACACTAGATCAGTAATGTGTGCAAGGACGAGTTTCCCTGTGTCCATATCTGCTATGATGTAGCACACGGATAAAAATTAATTCATGATCACTCCGGCCGATGCTCAGGTTAATGCAACGAAACATAGTGCACGTAGTGCACGCGAATATCGTGAGTAAAGGTGCAATGGAGGCACCCGTTCGCAGCTCGGGGAGCTCAGTCTAAAGTTTAAACTTCCCGATAACTCCAAAATTGATCGAATATGGTGTTCAGCCTTGACATAGAAGGAACGACTATCTTCATTCTATCAAGGTCTGACGGGAGACTAGTGTTCAACAAGTGCGAACTCCTCGACAAGCTGTAAAAGTGTTCTTGTGATGCCTACGATACACGAGACAACACCGAAACTACTGGGTTGTTGAACCATCAAGTCAAGATCTAGGTCGGCCAACTACCTTGACCCATGTCCTCCATGGTATTACCGCACGTACGGGATCAGAGAGGGTATTGCAGTCCCGCGGCAAATTTTCAAGCCCTTCAACTGCGTACTAGAGGATTTAGTCTTCTGCATGATCCTCCGTTCATAAATCTCGCATAACAGCGTCAGATACTGCTCAGTGACTCCTGTATGACTCAACATCGATCTGCTCCAGATTGTGTTGCCACGTAGAAAAACCACTAACCCACGCGATCCCTTGGTCAATTTTGAAATAATTTGTTATAGTGAGTAAGATTTCAATAATTACCTCCACACTCTATCACTAGCACACTCAGAGGTCGAAATTAGATTCTTCATCTTCATGAGAACGGACAGATCTAGACGAGTGTGTGGAGAAATCACAAATTGGAATTGACTGTCACTGAGCACGAGCGTCTTACTTCTCGTGTCATTGTGCACACAGCCATTCGGAATATCTGAAAAACAAGACTCGCGTTCACTTTGATGTGTGGCCCGCCAAAACACTCCACTCATCAGGGAAATAAGCATGAGAAACTATCCACTGTCATTAAGCGTTGTTTATGTTCATCAATATCATTACGAACAGAATTCCGCGCGCGCCTCGCGTAAAATAGGCTTATTCCTCCGTTTTGAATCCAACGTAATAGTGCCATGTTACCATGCGATGATTGCCATTTTGGAAGTCAATGTCTCGTCAGCGGGCCAGCAACTAAAAATATATTATGAGTGGATTGCACGATACATGAAAATGTAGATCCTACGAACATGACCCTCGGTTATGCGACCCGCCACTGTTCAGAGTTGGTGTTTGTATTGCAGATCTCGAAGCAACACAGCTATTTTGAAAGATGAAATAGTTGTTGCTACCTGGCCTCGATGACGGAGAGCCAAGGGGCGATGCTTCAGAAAGACGAAAATCTGGACTGGTGGGTAATGTGACTCCATCATCGGCCGATGGGTTTGAAGCTGAACCGTCTTCTGGGACGGGAGCAGTTCCCACTGATCATATGAGTGTAGGACGGTTCTAGTGTGCGCGATGTTGTACTTACTGTCTTCCGCTTCATACTCGTCCGCGAAGGGATTTCCATCAGGTAGTAAATCCACGAAATTGGCTGCTTCGGTGAAAAATGAGGCGGTGGTATCATTCGGCTGTGTGGTTGCCTCTGTTGACAACACAATCGCGCTAATGCGAGCGTCGGGCGGCAGATCATTATCTGCATCAACTATGAGTTCCACAGCTGTAGACACGAGCAGGAATTGAACAAACAATCTACAGGCTGCACATCCTGTGCGTCAACAGAGAGTAATTGCCGTCTCATCCTCTCTGACGCGGACTGGGAGACAGCATCAGATATATAACAATAATCGAGGCCTCACTATACGGTTATAACTTACCCTGGTTTGGATCCACAAGGCTCTTCCTGCTTCCGCAAGCAAGCGGATCGAGCGATAGGTAGAGAATAACTTGACCGGATTTAAGGACTTCTTGCTTTGTTCCAATTTCATTTTTTCTGCGTTTAGGCTTAAGCGCTATTCAGTAAAATAGGGCATTTGAATGTACGGAGAGACGCACACATCATACTCGTCTTTGGCATGAAGAATAAGTTGTTGAAGCTCATCCTTATTCCCTGCCATAGAACGCATCCTGAAGATCTCGTCCAGTGTTGCCTCAAGGACGAAATCCACTTCCTGAAGAGAGTTGCTTTTGCTGTTGACTCTCATCAAAGGAAAGATAGATCGATCAAATCATTCGGGAGAGCCAAGGCCAACAGGTATAAGGAGTGTCTGACGTTCTTGCTGGGAAGACATGCTTTGCAGATTATCGAGCTAGGAGCCATTAGTATCGCAGTGTTGCCACACTATATATGTGCCACACGTGCAAAGATTTTGGAGATCCAAATATTCAGAATTAAGTGGGAGAGGTATTTGGCTGTGGCTGATTGATCATCGGGTGCATTTGACACGATGTCGGGGGGTCGATCATCGCATGAGAATAATAAGTGATTACTTAATCACCCAGTAAAAACGCTCTACTGACGTAGAACTTTGTCAGAAAGCTTTCGATATGTTTTTTTAATGTAGGTCCCGTCAATATACCACCCCGTATGATCAAGACTACGTTCAACTCACTGCGGAGCAAGACCAGGGCCGATACCAAGACTGAGGAAGCTGCGGAGCTTGAGAAACTTAAAGTTCTCAGAGCTCAAAAGGAGCTCGCAGCTTTCGGAACAGAGGCCAAACGCAGACCTGGAGCTTTGTCTACGCGGGGAACTTGGTGGTGCCAACAGTATCAATGTCTCAAAGGTCAAGGGTACTTACTTCGGCCGCGATATGCTCCGGATTGGATCCCATCTTGGGGGGTTCCAGACGTGATCCCTTAGATTGTGAAGATGGGTAGGTCATACGCGTGAGGCAACAACCCCAGCTGCACTTTTGACCAACTGATGGTTTCACAGTTCGGTCGAATAATGGATGGAACCCGTTTTTCTGACGGCTTGTATGTTTCTCTGAGCTCTCAAAGTGATCAAAAGGTCAGAACATCCTCATGAGGCAGAGATTGGGCGATATTTCATGGAGGACAAGCTTACTTCTGACTCGGATGTCCTCTCATCCGACTGAAGAACAGCGACTGCATGTGGATGAACGTTATGATGGATGCCAAAGACATCTACGTTGAACCATATCACCCTGTCAAGCTGCACATGAAGCGGGATTTCAGTGGTCGTGCCAGCCATTGCACACGCACTCAGCGGCCAAAGTATTACTTTATTGACTTCGGCTTATGCAACTGAACACCACGCTCCTGATTACCTGGTTTATCAATGGTATTCACGATGACTTGAGACAAGCGTAAATCCTAGGCTGCAAATCGGATTCGGATGGGTCGAAGTTGCAAGACGTAGGTCCGCCACCGGCGTCACGGTATTTGGCCTTATTTATGTGTATATTTGATACGCAAGGAAACTCCTTCAACACATGCCGACCATGGCGTCTCAGACACTGGAACTGATGCTTGATCCTGATGGATTTCTTCCAACAGACGGGGAAGGACCAGAGAAGTTTACTAAAACTGAACAACGATGGGCGAACAACTATGAATGGTTGAAAACACGTGGATATCTTTTGCGTCCCCGATACGCTCCCAACTGGGTGCCGTCGTGGAAGGGCGAGAAGAAACCAAAACCCTCTTTATTTTATGAAGATGGGCAGATGCCTTTCGTGAGTCTCTCTAATGCTCATTCCTACCACATAATCAAACAGCTTCATTACCAACAGCGAAGCAGCATAATGGACGCAACTCGTCTTAGCGACAATACATACGTCATTCTGAAACTGATTCAAAAATCTGTACACCCGTATGAGGTAGAGATAGGCCAACATCTGTGCTCAGAAGCCCTCGCCGCCGACCCAGCGAATCATTGCGTCCCGACGCTTGACGTTTTACAATTACCGGATGAAGAGGATCTCTTCATTCTGATCATTCCATTGCTGCGGTATTATATAAATCCACCGTTTAAAACGTTTGGGGAGGCTGTGGAGTGTTTTCGCCAGTTGTTTGAGGTATGTTGCTCATCTCTTGTCATTATAGCGACCTACTGACATCGTGCAGGGCTTACAATTCATGCATTCTCATCGAGTTGCTCATCGGTATGCTCGTCTTTCAAGAGAAAGGATTGATTCCTGAGACTGACACTTTATCAGCGACTGCATGAGTTTGAATATAATGATGGACGCAGATCTACTGTACAAGGGTCCATTTCATCCCATGCAACCTGTCATGAGGCGCGACTTTAAAGGCTACGCAAAGCATTACACTCGGACACAGCGTCCCGTAAAATACCTATATATCGACTTTGGCATATCTCGCCGATACGATCCTTCAGAGGCTAAACCCACGGAAATTCCCATCTTTGGAGGGGACAAACGTGTACCCGAATTTCAGAACTCGAATGAACCTCGAGACCCGTTTCCTACTGACGTATGGTACCTTGGGAGGGCCATTCAGCAAGACTTTTTACTAGTAAGTACTTCCTAGGCTTATTTCTGTCATCCGTTGATCAAGCATTGCACTAGCCTCGCAAAGGATTTGAGTTCATGAAGGAATTAATAGATGATATGGTACAAGATGATCCTGCCAAACGGCCCAGCATGGATGAGGTGGTTTCGCGGTATGAAGTCATCTCTAAGGGTCTCAGCACATGGAAGCTACGATCACGGGTGAAGTCTGTTAACGAGAATTCCTTAACAGCTATATTCCGAGGTGTTGTCCATTGGAGCCTTCATCTTCAGTATTTGTTACGGCGCCTGCCCGCAATACCTACATATCGTCCAGATGTGTAGGGGCCTGACAGGCTGCACCCACTCACTTTGTCTTTGCCTGTGTATGCCTTGTGCCGGCGCCGTACACAAGGTGGACGACTCTGACACCTCTGGAGGAGATTCAGGCTTCGATGCAAGCTGAAAACACGCGGAAGGGTTTGTTTGTATGGATTGTATATATTACTCGTACAACGCCCATGGTTGCAAAGAAGGAATACGCCTCATAGATGGGCCGTGTTTACTACAGCCGTTTTTGTAGTTTTTGTCGCTTCCACAGATTTATACACGATGCACAATACATGAATCGATATCGGTGACTGGCAGAACTTAATATTGTTTCTTTCGACCGCAGTTGGATGACCAAGCGAACCTGTTGATCCAACGATTATTGTGGATAACTCAAGGACGCAGCTTGCGCAGATTGTTTGGCGTTGTTCCCAGGATAAATCGCTTATGGCCGACAACCATCCGCTCGGCGGCTGACGCGGACGGATTGTCACGGACAACTCAACATTAGCACTTCGTTCTTGTGTATGCTTAACTGACGGATCTTGTCCTAACTCAGTACTCTGTCTTTATTCAAAACAGCACAGCACACAAATTGATATATATTGTTGAGTGTTAAAAAGACCGGCTTAACCACAGGTTCAACCAACTTCTTACCGTGTACCCTATCCCTCGTTCCCAAACCTTTCCGCATGGACCGTGGCAACACCGCGACCTCGAACAAGAGTTGTCCAAAGACGAAGACGGAGCGTAAAGTTGCAGAGGCGGCTGAAAATGAGAGACGAAGGGCTCAAAAGGAGTTGGAAGCCTTTGGAGCAGAACGCGAACGGAGACCAGGAGCTTTGTCTCCATCCGAAATTTGGTGGAGTCAACAATATCGATGGCTAAAGGCCCAAGGGTACTTACTCCGTCCTCGATATGCACCGGAATGGGTACCATCCTGGGATGGCTCACAGCGCGACCCTTTTTCTTGCGAAGATGGTCAGGGTTTGGAAGTGAGGCCACAAAAGTTTGGCCGCACCGCTCATGACTGACAATCCCACAGTTTGGTCGGATCATCGATGCGACTCGCATGTCTGATGGCTTATACCTTTCTCTCAAAGTGCTGAACAAGTCGGAATTCCCTTACGAGGTAGATATCGGGCAATATTTTATGATGGAACGATTTGCCTCCCATCCCAAGAATCACTGTGTCCCGTTTCTCGACGTACTACCAGTCCCAAACGAGGCAGATAAGGAAATCATCGTGATGCCTTTATTACTTGATTTTGACAGACCTCAATTCGACACTTTCGGCGAGGTGGTGGAATGTATCAGACAGTTATTCGAAGTAAGCACCACCACTCCTGATGTTGATATCGTCCCAGTAAATCATTACAGGGCTTGTTGTTCATGCACAGCAACCGTGTAGCTCACCGGTAGGTGGGGTGACACTGCTATCACAGGTTCTCGACTCATTATAGGACAGCGACTGCATGTTCAGAAATATTATGATGGACGCGAAAGACCTCTTTGTTGAGCCATATCATCCCGTTGACCCTCGCATGAAGCGTGACTACAGTGGTCATGCGAGGCATTATACTCGCACTCGACGGCCCCAAAAATACTACTTCATCGACTTTGGCTTATCACATCGATACGATCCTCGCGAGGCCACTCCCCTGGAGTACCCAATTAGAATTTCAAAATAATGCAGACGTTCCCGTGGGCCCATTCCCTAGTGATGTCTACTATCTCGGCAACGTCATTAGAGAAGAGTTGTAAGTGCTTACACGAAACTCCTTCGGTTGATTGCTTATCACCATGCTCTGAGACAAAGACTGGGTTCGAGTTCCTGAAACCTCTCGTAGACATGGTTCAGAATGATCCCAATGCGAGACCTACTATGAACGTGGTAGCTGAGCGTTTTGACTTAATTCGACAGCAACTCAGCACATGGAAACTACGCTCTCGTGTCATTGCGAGAGACGAAGATATCTTCGAGACTCTGTACCGTGGTGCTACCCATTGGAGGCGACGGATAGTGTTCATTGTCACGCGCGCACAAGCCGTACCTCGCCTTCATGAATGACACCTCTGCGGTGTTGCCATGTACACTTAATGTCATTCGTATGATGTGTTAATGCAATAAGACGGTGCGATCGATCTAGAAGCTGGATTCAAACATTTGCCTGTGCAGCACTCTGTCCTCGTTGCTTCGCCAGTAGACGATGTATGCTTCTTCTTTCTCCTGCCTTCAATGCGGAGACAGACCTGAGGTCATGTGGTTTTCCGAATATGTAACAGCGATCATGGTTACCGCGACTCGCGGAGTTTGGATTGAGGGGGGGTCGTGTTAAGTGCATGTTTAGTTTGTTGAATTTAATGATGGGTTAGAAGTTTCTAGCCAGGGATCACCCAAAAGGAACTCGACCATGAATTCAACGTGGGGTGTACCCTGTGGGCCCGCATCAAAAGGTGTCCGAGGTGCTTGCGTTCAGTGACGCACCAGATGTCTTCGCTTTACAAGAAAATAGGTCCCCGCCTTGTGGTCAACGCCCACACAGTAGGCAATGCATCGCAAGCGGTGTACAAGGGTTCTGACAGCCGCAACTTTGTTTTAGAACTTTATTCAGTACGGCACTGTTCCTATGTCCATGCCTCCCGTGATGGTAGTAAGTGCAGTATGACATCGATCCTGTCCGTCACTCAAGGACTCATAGCCACAAGCCCCTTGTAAATGGCGTTACTCGTTGCTGACAATGATTCATCTTCAGATCTTGTTGATCATCGCGCAGAACATTGTTGGCGAATACACACCAGATTTAATTCAATAGTGCAACTGGGGATATGCCATCTGATAAGTCCCTCCATGCAGGAATCTTCCATCCATCATGATATCAAGGAGAACAATGAGATTGACAGCGATGTCACGGATGCGTCGATGCGATCACATGGGGAACGCGGGGCTATCTTGTCCTTTCGTGTCACTTGATGCGTGGATAGCATAACTTCCAGTTCTAGCACATGAAAAGACGTAATTTTGACTATCGTATCGACCGCCAGGGCTGCCCTTTTACTCATCTATTAGCTAAAGGTGGGCTTTCGAAAGTCTAAGACCGCGTTTTTGTGTCATGATAAGACAATTCTTGTTGATGTTACACTAATTACATAGATTTATGGCATACCGGAATGTCCTGGAAACGTTACAGTACGGAACGGGCCACTACTCTCCTGCGATAAGAAAACCAATTGTGAAGATTCTATGCCATTACCCATATTAAGGCTAAAATATATTGATGATAGCGGTTGAACATATCATTGACCAGGACCAGGTCTTTGGTGCCCCCCATATGGATTGATCATCATCGCCATCCTTCTTATTCATCAAGCTCTCGTGGGATGAGCACCACGGTGAAAAACTGCCGTCGTGTAACATGTTTTCAGCTGATGCGACATGTGGCTAGACAGAAGTACTTACCAGCTCCAGACGAATTTGTGGCGTTGACATTCAACGTAGCGCCCATCACGCTGGAATCGCAGAGAATCATAGAACCATTGCACGTATATCCTCCGTTCGCCATGAAGTTACGGGGTTGCCGTTGTGCACGCCTACCGACGGCTCGCCGAGGGAGAGCGGGCAGGGGTACCTGCGGAGCAACTTGTGGCCCGTGCGAGATGATTTCTGTGGTTGAAGTTATCAATACTGTCAAAAGCGAAGATTGAGATTCGTACTAGCACCGGTACAATCCGAGGAATCGATATTCAGAGTTGGGCACTTCGCGCTGGTGCCAGTCATGACCATCGAATCCACTTCATACGACATTCCCGACGTGACTTGCGAAATTGCCTGCTTCAAGTTAGCGTGTCCAGGCATACGAGGGGCTTATTAACATGTTCAGCATATAACTTTTGGAACGCAAGGTTGCTCACTTTGAGGAAGGCCAGAACGAGGGTTAAGCGAAGGGACGCCTGACTGGGGTTTGAAATGAGCCTTATCAGCGGCCAGCGTGCCTGCCGATGTTGTGGAGAGCGACGCTCTGGTCTCGACCTTCGGTGGTTGATTTGAGTGGCTAGGCCTTGTCCCTACTGAGTCTCTAGCAGGCGGTGGGTTTAACTTCTGGTGGCCTCCGAGTCCACCTACGCCAATGGATGCTGAAACTTCTCCTCCCACAATTACTGTACGATCATTGATCGTCTTCTACAACCTGATATCAGCACATATATGCGAAAGACGAGAAGCAGGGTAATAACTTTAACTCTGCATTTGAGGGCTCTGCAGTCATTCAAAATTACATTCACATTCCTCAGTTTTGCAACTTTTGCTGTTGACTCCCCTGCTTTGTACAAGCGAATTTCGCCCTGAAGTCTGCAAAAGATGTCATCAATATGAAAAGGAATAACTCGGTATAAAAGACGTACCTCTCATACTCGTTCCTGTCAGTCTCTACCAGGTACAAAGGGTATTTGGAGAAAAGGCCCATGACTTCAGCGAGTTCCTTCTCTGCGTCTTCATGATTGTGAGGCTTGGTGGTTAATCCAAGGAGTGACCGAAGCATGCTGAACCGAACCGTGCGGAACCGTTGGTATCATTGAACATATCATATTTATTCTGGAATGGGTCCAAAGGAGTATACAACACGAGCCTGGTCAGGAACGCTCGCTGAAAGGCCAGTGTTCGGCCTCGAGTTCCCCTCGCGACGATGTTGAAGGGCGTTGAACAATAACACAGCCGCTAGAAGAAGAAGATTGAAGAACTCACGGTGATGTGGCAATTCTGGGAAGGTGTCCCAACACCCACAAACGCCCATAATTTTGCCCACACAACAATGTTACAGCCTTACATGGTTGAACGTTGAACGTTGAACTGTTAAGCACATGCTCTCAAAATTAATATTGCCAGCCGCATGGCTTCAACAAACCTCAAGCCCCTCCGGATATTTAACTGTCAATATTCAACATACTTCCTGGGTTTACATCGCTCGCGGAGTAGAATGGGAAGAGGGTTGTGGCGGTGCTGTAGACCCCGGGAACTGGGACATAAATAATTATAAAATGAGAGAAAGCATGCTTGGTGACGGAGACGTGACTGGATTTACCTCAGACTAAGTACTTGTATGTCGCAACAACAGAACAATGTTGATGATAATTTTTCAAGCGGTGGACAAGTGGACAATCGCGATTCTGGCATGGATCAACGAGCAACCTTGATATTTCCATTTCGTCTGGCGAAGCATCAGGGTTAGTGCTTGGCTCGCGTTTCCCTCCCACGGATCGGAGAACAATATTTACCACAGCCGCTAGAACAAGAAAACTCAGTGAATAGTTTCAGGTTGATATAATGATGGACAAGATACTATACTTGCAGAGGCTCATACTTATGGTGGGAACTCACTAGGGTCGCTGAGTTCGAATGATTGCGCTGACTCTGCTGTGCTCATCAAATTTCCTTTAGGCAAGCGTAACAGATGGAATTCCTTGTTGAATTATCCGAACATAAAATACAGAACACGTAAATCATGAATTACATAAATTGATATCCATTGAGGCTTGGGTCATCGTCCAAAGTATGCAAACTGTTTCTATCGGCTTCTGACGTCGGACTTGGATCAACGGCTAGTGGATTGAGGTTAACAATGACTCAATATTCTATAAACCCAAGGTACTCGCCCTCTCCTCCATTGTCCGTCCCTCCGAAACTCACGGTTCCCGTGGAGGATAAAACGGCTAGTAGCTTGAGTTGAGCAACAATTGAATAACCAAAAACGTGCAGCGCTCGCCTGCTCCTTTGTTATTTTTCCCTCCGAAATTTACTGTGTGTGCAGCCCTTCCGCGGGGTCTAACAATGCATCCGTTGTAGGTGTTGGTAATTGGCGGGCTACCAGGCAATTCACCATGAAGTGTGAACAGTTCCAATGTCTTTGCGGCGCTCATCTCAGCGATTTGTTGTATTGTCTCCTGCTGGAGCGTATTAGCGTTTATATTGTTTTCACTCGAGCTCGATGCGACTGGTCTAGCGTCGGGAGATGTAGATCTTGTCATACCGTCACGATGTTGATTGTGTCGCTGAATGGGGTCGGAATCAGCTTGGACTAATCCGTCGAGAGATCTGCGTCGTTGGATGGACACTACAAACAGTGTTGGAGCCCGAGGGAAAAAACAATTCGACGTAATGATTTACCTCGGGGGAATACTTCCGGGCTGTCCGCCCGTGCATGGACGTCAAAGGACGTTTTCTGGTAGTAATATCAGTGTTGAGATGGGTTATGAATGAAATAAGCCCATACATGAGAGGGTGGTTTGTCAGATGGGAATGATCTGGATTCGCTGATGTCGGGTGGCGATCTAGTTTCCGTTGTAGCATAAGCTTCCATACCCCAATAATGAAAGGAGTAGGTTGATAAGTCGCTCTTTCTCGATCTTAAAACACGGACTACCGTAAGCACCAATCAGTAACTACTTTCCAGAACAATGATGATTCTTACCGCTCTCCGACTCAGATTCATCCATGGTGTCATCGTCGTAGTACAGCTGTGGACCGACAAGGCGAATTACGCTCTCAATTTTCTTGGTGTCCTCCTCGGTAGTCTTTCTATTAAACGAGAAATCTATACCACAGACGTTTGTCTGTGCCGTCAACTCATCGCCTAGTGTAAGTATACCGTAAGAATTTCGGTGGTATTTTTTAACACCGCTACACTCACCAGTGTACTCCGAAGATTCGGGGGCGATTTGGGAGACGGTGTTCATCTTAAAGGATTTGTCTTTTGCGGACACTCTGTTGCTGGTGTGCTACATGAATTTTAAAATTGGACATATTTCGAAGATGAATCGATGACCTCACTGATGCTTTTTCAGAAAGTTCGCGCGCAGCATCTAGGACATCCACAGTCGCACTATGCTTGCTGAGCCCGTAAACACGTTTGCTGAGCGCAGATTGGCTGCTTCTGGCTGTTTTGACAGCATGTAAAAATGAATTCACTCTATGACGGATGTGAACACTGAAGACAGGAGCACTGGCACACTTTGACTTCCGAGAAAAGATCTTACTCGTTAAAATCATCCCGAATCAACATGATTTCTGTGCCAAACGCCTTGGTTGCTTCTTGCGAGGCATTGTAAATCACGTCTAATTGCTCCTCTGTTACCTGAATATAGTACTCTGCCTGTTGAAGATTTTCGTCGCCGCGCTGAGAGAGTTTACGAGATGTGAAGGTGAGGGAAGGAAAAAGCTGTCGGATGAAGGAGAAATTAATGCCCGGTGGGGTATGCACCACCACTGACGACTTGTCAGGCATCATGATGGCTGACACAGTGAATAGAAAATGAGGCGCTTTGGGAGTAAAGGTGGAGCAGATGGTTATTATACCATCTTATTGGGTGAGAATACCGCCCCCTTGTATCACATTTGGAAACACATCTTGGCATCAACCTGGATTCAGTATATAGATCATGAGCACGTACTTACTTATTCCAGGTTATTGATACATAGTATACGTTTCTGACACAATATTGTAACAACATTGTAAGTAAATAATTATTGGTTACCTCCTGCTTATTATGTAATTAGTACTTATACTATGGGGTCCATGTTTACGTGTGATTTGATTTGTTCAGTTTGAGCACGGAAGCCTGGTTCTTGTCGAGTTTGACCAATGACGCCTCCGGAAACAACAGCACATACTGAATCCCACAGTACGGAGGCACAACCTTCGAGGCTCAGACAAGATGAGGTGTGGTGGTCTGGTCATTACAAATGGTTGGAGAATTGTGGCTACTTGCTGCGTCCTCGGTATAAACCAGATTGGATTCCGTCCTGGCAGGGAACTTCCAATAGTCCGTTTTTATGTGAAGACGGGATCAAACCTCGGGTGTGTGTGTCTATGTAACGTATTGCATAAGTTTGACGCTCATACAATGCCGCACAGTATGCTAGTGTGTTGGATGCAACTCGGATTTCGGATGGTGAATTTGTTATGTTCAAGGCGGTCCTTCGAAACGACCACCCATACGAGGTTGAGGTTGCTCGTTACCTCGTGTCAGAGCCTCTTCAATCGGATCCTATGAACCATTGCGTTCCCATCCTGGATGTCCTCCGTCCTCCAGATGAAGAATATGACATCATTGTCATGCCACTACTACGGCGCTACTCTGACCCTTCCTTTGAAACTTTCGGGGAAGCCGTCGAGTGTTTTCGCCAGCTCTTCGAAGTACCCGGTCCCGCTTTGCATCCTTCAGCATCTGACTTCTCCATTTCAGGGTCTTTATTTCATGCACAAGCACCATGTTGCTCACCGGTATGTCCGCGTCTCTACTTGTGTTCAAACTTGGCGCTCAGCTCTACACACTTAGCGACTGCATGAACTTGAATATTATGATGGACCCAAAGCCTCTTTTTATCGACGCATTTCATCCCTTTCGTTCGCGTAGAACCCGCGATCTGAAAGGTGATGCAAGACACTATAGTCGCACGCAGCGTCCCACCAAGTACTTTTTAATCGATTTTGGATTGTCTCGTCGGTATGATCCCTCTGTCACAAACCCCCTGGAACCGGTCATCCTTGGAGGTGATAAAACGGTGCCAGAATTCAAATCCCTCAAACCACAAAATCCATTTCCTACCGATGTTTATTACATTGGTCACGCTATTCAGGAAACTTTTTTGGACGTACGATGCGCCGCGTCATTTCCAAATACTACTCTAATGACACCTTTGCAGGAATACAACGGCTTTGACTTCATAGAGCCATTGATACTGGACATGGTTCAGGAGAACCCGTCTCTGAGACCGACTATGGAGCAAGTTATCGGTCGTCTTGCGATCATATGCCAAGGTCTTAGCACGCGGAAACTCCGGTCCCGATTGACCGCAAAGCAGGAGGGTCGTTTCCAAAGCCTTTTGAAAGACATTGATCATTGGCAACGTCAATTTCTGTTTATTATTCGACGCCTTCCCGCGATTCCCCGTCCTAGAGAATGAATGGCCTAGAAATATCCCATACAAATCCGCTATCAGAAGGAAGACTGTCTTTATTACATTGGGTCTGATCACAGGAGGCTAGGTCTGAGTACGGGAGATCAATCTGAAATGTCCAACGCGGGTCGCTAATACATGCAATATCCACAGCTCTATTATAATAGATTCTATGCTCACATTCCCAAGTGTCAAGGATGAGCAACTGAACACTGCTTGTTCAATAGTGTTAAGTCCACGATACTGAGTGGCGAGTAACGACTTGTTCGACTGCATAAATCCAGTCAACGACAAGCTCATCAGACGATCACAATTACGAGTCAACTCACTGGTACCAGTAGCACGCGCAGACCGGATGTTCAAGGTCGGGCTATCCACCTCCGTGCCAGGTTCGAAATACATGACATTTTGACGCCTCGCGGTGTAAGTCGCCTGCGGCTGGTAAGCACCTGCGAACGGCCGTCGCTGTCTTGGCAGTCTGGCAGACGATTTATTAACCATGTATCTGTGTGCTAAAGAACTGATCAGTATGGAGGATTAGCATGCTCGGAATCATGCAGCTTACTTGCTCCAGTTGCGTCCTCGGAGTCGATTTTGAATGTCGGTGACCCAGCAAACGAGCCTCAGCCAAATATCATGCAGTCTTTGTCGTTGGCAGGCGGTACATAACTTTCCTCCGTGGACGCTGATTTATGGTGTCATTAAACATGAAGATTGAAATGTGGTGTACGTACCTGCAGAACTGCTCGAGGTCGTTTGACGGGGTACATAATTATTGAAGGAGACGAAACTGTTTGTGCTAGTTGAAGGATAACCGTTACCATTTGTCATAGCGGAGTTAGATTGAGGGGTCCGAGGTGCTTGCGTTCAGTGACGCACCAGATGTCTTCGCTTTACAAGAAAAATAGGCTTCCGCCTGTGGTCAACACCCACACAGTAGATAATGCATCGCAAGCGGTGTACAAGGGTTCTGACAGCCGCAACTTTGTTTTAGAACTTTATTCAGTACGGCACTGTTCCTATGTCCATGCCTCCCGTGATGGTAGTAAGTGCAGTATGACATCGATCCTGTCCGTCACTCAAGGACTCATAGCCACAAGCCCCTTGTAAATGGCGTTACTCGTTGCTGACAATGATTCATCTTCAGATCTTGTTGATCATCGCGCAGAACATTGTTGGCGAATACACACCAGATTTAATTCAATAGTGCAACTGGGGATATGCCATCTGATAAGTCCCTCCATGCAGGAATCTTCCATCCATCATGATATCAAGGAGAACAATGAGATTGACAGCGATGTCACGGATGCGTCGATGCGATCACATGGGGAACGCGGGGCTATCTTGTCCTTTCGTGTCACTTGATGCGTGGATAGCATAACTTCCAGTTCTAGCACATGAAAAGACGTAATTTTGACTATCGTGTCGACCACCAATGCTGCCTTTTTACTCATCTATTAGCTAAAGGTGAGCTTTCGAAAGTCTAAGACCGCGTTTTTGTGTCATGATAAGACAATTCTTGTTGATGTTACACTAATTACATAGATTTATGGCATACCGGAATGTCCTGGAAACGTTACAGTACGGAACGAGCCACTACTCTCCTGCGATAACGAAACACAATTGTGAAGATTCTACGCCATTACCCATATTAAGGCTAAAATATATTGATGATAGCGGTTGAACATATCATTGACCAGGACCAGGTCTTTGGTGCCCCCCATATGGATTGATCATCATCGCCATCCTTCTTATTCATCAAGCTCTCGTGGGATGAGCACCACGGTGAAAAACTGCCGTCGTGTAACATGTTTTCAGCTGATGCGACATGTGGCTAGACAGAAGTACTTACCAGCTCCAGACGAATTTGTGGCGTTGACATTCAACGTAGCGCCCATCACGCTGGAACCGCAGAGGATCATAGAACCATTGCACGTATATCCTCCGTTCGCCATGAAGTTACGGGGTTGCCGTTGTGCACGCCTACCGACGGCTCGCCGAGGGAGAGCGGGCAGGGGTACCTGCGGAGAAACCTGTGGCCCGTGCGAGATGATTTCTGTGGTTGAGGTTATCAATACTGTCAAAAGCAAAAATCGAGATTCGTACTAGCACCGGTACAATCTGAGGAATCGATATTCAGAGTTGGGCACTTCGCGCTGGTGCCCGTCATGACCATCGAATCCACTTCATACGACATTCCCGACGTTACTTGCGGAATTGCCTGCTTCAAGTTAGCGTGTCCAGGCATACGAGGGGCTGATTAACATGTTCAGCATTTAAATTTTGGAACGCAAGGTTGCTCACTTTGGGGAAGACTTGAACGAGGGTTAAGCGAAGGGACGCCTGACTGGGGTTTGAAATGAGTCTTATCAGCGGCCAGCGTGCCTGCCGATGTTGTGGAAAGCGACGCTCTGGTCTCGACCTTCGGTGGTTGATTTGAGTGGCTAGGCCTTGTCCCTACTGAATCCGTAGCAGGCGGTGGGTTTAACTTCTGGTGGCCTCCGAGTCCACCTACGCCTATGGATGCTGAAACTTCTCCTCCCGCAGTTACTGTACGATCATTGACCGTCTTCTACAACGCGATATTAGCACAGATATGCGAAAGACGAGAAGCAGGGTACTAACTTCAACTCTGCATTTGAGGGCTCTGCAGTCATTCAAAATCCTCAGTTTTGCAACTTTTGCTGTTGACTTCCCTGCTTTGTACAAGCGAATTTCGCCCTGAAGTCTGCAGAAAATGTCATCAATATGAAAAGGAATAACTCGGTATAAAAGACGTACCTCTCATACTCGTTCTTGTCAGTCTCTACCAGGTATAATGGGTATTTGGAGAAAAGGTCCATGACTTCAGCGAGTTCCTTCTCTGCGTCTTCATGATTGTGAGGCTTGGTGGTTAATCCAAGGAGTGACCGAAGCATGCTGAACCGAACCGTGCGGAACCGTTGGTATCATTGAACATATCATATTTATTCTGGAATGGGTCCAAAGGAGTATACAACACGAGCCTGGTCAGGAACGCCTGCTGAAAGGCCAGTGTTCGGCCTCGAGTTCCCCTCGCGACGATGTTGAAGGGCGTTGAACAATAACACAGCCGCTAGAAGAAGAAGATTGAAGAACTCACGGTGATGTGGCAATTCTGGGAAGGTGTCCCAACACCCACAAACGCCCATAATTTTTGCCCACACAACAATGTTACATGGTTGAACTGCTAAGCACATGCTCTTAAAACTAATATTGTGAGCCGCATGGCTTCAACGAACCTCAAGCCCCTCCGGATATTTAACTGTCAATATTCGACATACTTCCTGGGTTTACATCCCTCGCGGAGTAGAAATGGGAAGAGGGTTGTGGCGGTGCTGTAGACCCCGGGGGGTGGGACATAAATAATTATAAAATGAGAGAAAGCATGCTTGGTGACGGAGACGACTAGATTTACCTCAGACTAAGTACTTGTCTATCGCAACAACAGAACAATGTTGATGATAATTTTTCAAGCGGTGGACAGGTGGACAATCGCGATTCTGTGGATCAACGAGCAAGTTCAACCTTACTATTTCCATTTCGTCTGGCAAACATTAGGGTTAGTGCTTGGCTCACGTTTCCCTCCCACGGGTTGGAGAACAATAAGACAGCCGCTAGAACAAGAACACTTAGTGAATAGTTTCAGGTTGATATAATGTATACTTGCAAAGGCCCATACTTACGGTGGGAACTCACTCATCCAAGGACTAGTGTCGCTGGGTTCGAATGATTGCGCTGACTCTGCTGTGCTCATCAAATTTCCTTTAGGCAAGCGTAACAGATGGAATTCCTTGTTGAATTATCTGAACATAAAATACAGGACACATAAATCATAAATTAAAGTACTTCGAATCCATTGAGGCTTGGCTCGTGGTCCAAAGTATGCAAACTGTTTCCATCGGTTTCTGACGTCGGACTTGGATCAACGGCTAGTGGATTGAGGTTAACAACGACTCAATATTCTGTAAACCCAAGGTACTCGCCTTCTCCTCCATTGTCCGTCCCTCCGAAATCCACGGTTCCCGTGGAGGATGAAGCGGCTAGTAGCTTGAGTTCAGCAACAATTGAATAACCAAAAACGTGCAGCGCTCGCCTGCTCCTTTGTTATTTTTCCCTCCGTTATTTACTGTGTGTGCAGCCCTTCCGCTGGGTCTAACAATGCATCCCTTGAAATTGTTGATAGTTTGCGGGACACCAGACAATCTACCATGAAGATTGAGCAGTTCCAATGTCTTTGCGGCGCTCATCTCAGCGATTTGTTGCATTGTCTCCTGCTGGAGCGTATTAGCATTTATATTGTTTTCACTCGAGCTCCATGCGACTGGTCGAGCGTTGGGAGATGTAGATCTCATCATAGTGTCACCATGTTGATTGTGTCGCTGAACGGGGTCGGATTCACCTCGGACTAGTCCGCCGAGAGATCTGCGTCGTGGGATGGACACTATAAACAATGTTGGAGCTCGAGGGGAAAAGGGATCCGATATAATAATTTACCTTGGGAGGTTACTTCCAATTTGTGCGCCCGTGCATGGACGATAAAAGACGTTTGCTGGAAATAGTAATTATCAGTGTTGAGATGGGCTATGAATGAAATAAGCCCATACATGAGCGAGATCCCAAACTGCTTGACAATTTTCCTTGAATTCATCCTTACTGTCATTCCAATCCCTCATGGTCCGAATTCTCTTCCACCAACCTTGCTTTTGTAGACCATTCCCTTGCGTAACAGTACTAGAGGATTATGAGAATCATGGGCAACGATCGAAAGTAACTCACAGGAGGTATAAATTGATCAATTGGGACAACCCAGGAACACATACTTGACTTTGTGTCGCGATTGCTTTCGTGTTAAGCATAGAGTTAAGGGTTAAGTTCAAAAGGCCACGCTCTTTCTTGCGAAATTTAGGTATGTCATTTTTGAGCGTTGCCTTGTTCGATTCGTCGATCGATCTCCAAGGATCCTGCACTTCAGCTGGGGCGACCATTGCAGATGTGCAATAAAGCGTTGAATGAGATGCGGAGGAGTAATATTAATCTGTCAGGTCAGCCCATTTGATTCGATTCTTATAACTTACTTCTAGGAGGTATATTCAACTTAATTTACATTACAAGGGGCCTAACAACTTAGGTCACTAATACATTGTTTCTATTAATACTACTTACTGGACTCCTGTCACTCCGATGCGGTGGGTCCATATTTATGACTATTTGGATTAATTTGGGCGAAATTGAACAGCTGTATACAGCAGTGTATCGGCTTCGTTTCATCCCATGGGTTTCTTTGCTCTGTTCGACAAAAAGCTTCGAGCTCAGAAAAAGGCAGAGGAGGCCGAGGAGTCCAGACTCGAATTTGAGCGAATTCGCCGTGCCCTCGGTGCAACGATCGCCTTTCCCGGTGGCCTTAGTCAGGATGAGATTTGGTGGAGGGATCACTTTCTGTGGTTGAAGGACGTCGGATATCAATTGCGTTCGCGCCATGCTCCGGACTGGGTTCCTTCGTGGCAAGGCACAGATAAATATTATGCTCTGTGCGAGGATAGTTGGCATATATATGTAAGGTTCTCTTGCCGGACAATATCTATACACTCACAGAATGCCAGGCCACGCAAGTCGTCAGTGCAACGCGAACGTCTGACGGAGCACAAGTCGTTTTGAAACGGATTCAGCCATCTGATCATCCGCATGAGGTTGAAGTGGGCCAGTTTCTTGCATCTGAACCCCTCAGGGAGCAACGCGAAAACCATTGCGTCCAATTGCTCGATGTGTTACAAGTGCCAGATGAAACGGATGTAACCATTTTGGTATTACCACTGCTTCGTCCCTTCGACAATCCTCCATTTGAAACAATCGGCGAAATCATCGACTTTGCTCTTCAAGTTTTCGAAGTGAGGAGTTATTACTGTTCCTTTGACCGATATCTCAAGAGTATTTAGGGCTTGCAATTCATGCATAAGCACCACGTAGCCCATCGGTATGCAACTTTTTTTTCTTGCGTCGCTATTGGTTAATGGCTTTCTAGTGACTGCATGAACTTGAACATCATGATGGATCCAATGCAGATGTACCCGCATCCATTTCATCCATGCAGGCCCTCTAGACGTTTGGATGGGAACGGACGGGCGAAACACCGTTCACGTACAGAGTGCCATCCGCGATACCTATTTATTGATTTTGGAATCTCTCGACGTTATCCAGCCTCGGAGAGCGCTCCTCTAGAGCCTCCGATTTGGGGAGGGTATAAGGGCGTGCCAGAGTTTCAGACGTCTGATGAACCATGTAACCCGTTTCCGACGGACGTATGGTATCTGGGCTTCGCTCTGCAACAACAGCTTCTTAATGTGCGAACCTCATTTAGTCTTTTCGGCGTTTTTCTGACGATTACTAGGTTTATCGCGGCTTGGGTTTTATGGAACCTATGATTTCGGATATGTTGCAAACTGATCCTTCCAAGCGGCCAACCATGGATGAGGTTATGTCTCGCTTTGTTCCAACATACAACGCATTGAGCCCGTGGAAATTACGCTCCAGGGCAGTCATGAAGGAGGAATGGATTATTACGCGACCTTTCCGTGATCTCATCCATTGGTTGCGCTGTCTCCGGTTTTTATGGCGACGCCTCCCTGCTATACCATCATCACTCACTATGTAATTTCGGTCACATGCATGCTCTCGCTGCTTTGCAAACTGTGGTTGTTTACTAGTATAATTATCTACGATGTCATTCACGGGGTCAGGCTTGCCAGTGATCAGAGATGTTTTGTTTTGAGTCAACGGTCGCTAATACATGCAATATCCACTACTATTATAATACATTCCATGCTCACATTCCCAAGCGCCAGAGTTGCCATTAGGAACGCCTTGCTGAACTGAATGATGTAGTCGACGCTTCTGATCATTGATGAACGACTCGTGCTTGTAATAAATTCAGTCAACGCCAAGCTCATCAAACGATCACAATCACGAGTGAACTCACTAGAACCAGAAGAACTCGAGGATAGGATGTTGAAGGTCGGGCTATCCACTTCCGAGCCAGGTCCGAAATAAACGTTACTTCCACCCTGCAAGGTGTACGTTGTCTGCGGCTGTCGCTTTCCTGGCAGTCCGACAAACGGACTATTACCCGTGTATGTGACTGCTAAAGAACTGATCAGTATGTCGCACTAACATGCTCGAAATCATGCAGCTTACTTGATCCAATTGAGTCCTGGGAATCGCAGTTGAAAGTGGGCGACCCGACAAACGAGCCTGGGCCAAATATCATGCAGCCTCTGGTGGTGACGGGGGATCTATATAGACTTCCCTCCGTGGATACCGGTTTAGGTCCGAAATAAACGTTACTTCCACCATTCAAGGTGTACTTTGTCTGCAGCTGGTAAGCACCTGCGACCGGCCGTCGCTGTCTTGGCAGTCTGGCAGACGATCTATTAACCATGAATGTGTGTGCTAAAGAACTGATCAGTATGTAGAATTAGCATGCTTGGAATCATGCAGCTTACTTGCTCCAGTTGCGTCCTCGGAGTCGATGTTGAATGTGGGCGGCCCAGCAAATGAGCCTCGGTCAAATATCATACAGTCTTTGTGTTTGACAGGCTGTTCATATGAACTTCCCTCCGTGGACGCTAATTTATGGTGTCATTATTGGAAATGAAGGCCAAAACGTGGTGCGCATACCTGCGGAATCGCTCGAGGTCGTTGCACGGGCTACAGCAATATCGGAGGGGACGAGACTGTCTGTGCTAGTTGAAGGATCGAAAAGGCGCGAGCTGTTACCACTTGTCATAGTGGAATTAGATTGAGCTAAGATGGGACCTTCAGATGGTGGGGTCCTACTGGATGGATCGGGGTCAACCGGTGCAATAGATGCATCGGGAGATTCAGCGGCAGCTGATATATGGCACTCAATCATGAGTGATAGTAACGGTTGGTTGGCGCCTACCTGTAGCTACTGGAACTGGCCCTCTTCTTATTTCATCCTCCAGGCATTTCCTGCACGCTGCCTGTAAACGTCGTGAAAAATAGCTCTTGCTCAGAAATAAGAAAGGGCGAACGTCTATCCTCATCTTCAACGTCTCGCACTCGTCGAGTGCCTCGGTCAACGTACTAGTATCTGTGCCCTTATTCATCCGGCTACGAGCATCTGCAAGACTACCAGGCATTAAAATGTAGTAAATCATACGACAAAATGTATGAACGATACCTGGCGTATTCATCCATAAAAGACAAGTGTACATCCTCGGACAGCGTGTCCAAGTTGGCCTTACAGAGTTTAAGGATAACGTCGAGAACGCTGTCTATATCGGCGATGATCTGCTCGCGCGAGTGATAGAAAATCTTCGAGAATAAAAATATGATGCAGGTCTGGTAGAATCTAGTCATGTTGTGAATCTGTGGAGTGTGTTGATGAGGGACCTGGCACACCTGCAATTCGTCTGGTATTTCTACTTCTGCGAGGCCTGGTACGAAACACCAGTAATCCTAGTGTTTTGGCCTCCAGTTTCCCTCGCAACATTGAGAACAATAAACCATAGACAGAGCAAGGAGAGTGAATTCGGCGACGCTCGCGATTTGTCGTGATCCTGGTTTCAAGTTAGTAGGAAATAACTGGTACATTATAACCCACATACGCACACGCGACTGCGCAAATTGCCATGCCCAACAAATGGTACTTATTGTCATGAGCAGCAATACTTCACCAAAATCCACCCACCGATGGCCCACTCGCGGAGCCTACAAGCTTTAACCAAGGCAGACTTTTATGTCGGCCAAACAGAATAATATTAATGATGTTTCACCTGTGGACCATCGCAATTCGATGGATGATTGTGGGCGTCTGATTAGCCTTGTCTTTGACCTCGGACGTTGGGAGCAAGCCTACGCCAAGTTGCAGAACGTTCGTGGCGGTCACGGTCATACACCTGTTCCCGCAGAGTGCCGATGCTGCTGAGCTCGTTAGATCGAAGTTGACTGAAGTCTGCAAAAACAACAAAAACGATAATTGAACTATCCTTGACACTGACTGTAATGGCTAGTGCTAAAGAAAATGCAGGATGGGATGCACAGATTCATTATTATAATAACGAATAATACGGATCATCGCTGTTATCGTCGACTGCACACGCATTTGCTTCTGTGGGGGACGGATGTGGGTCAATGACTGTAGTTGTTCCGGTAAGCTGGATATTCTGTGCTTTAAATACCACGTGCCTGCTTACGTGGATGTGTTTCCCTAGGGGACTGCATAGTCATAGTTGGATTGTTGTTCTGCACTTGTAAAGACGGTATAGCTGAGTAATGCTGCTCAGAAACCGATCGTGTCGCATCGATAGCAGCGTCCTGGAGTGGCACGCTACTTGTCTGCGCTACTGGTGCACCGCTGGGGCTGGCACACGATAGACAGGAACTGCCATAAATGTCCGCGAGTCCTAAGAAAAGTAAGTTAGACCCTCGAGGACCGCGATCTAGATAGGTTGACATACCTTGGCCTGCAAAGCCGTCACTACCAAGTTTTGAAGTGGAATCAGACACTGTACTGCCGTCATTCGATTGTATGTTGAAAATGTTGACATGACATCGAGAGAATGCAGCATGAGCACCGAGCTGCATGCCGGTCGATGTTTTGCATTCAGAGGGTGGTTTGTCAGACGGGAATAATCCGGTTTCCCTGATGTCGGGTGGCGATCTAGTTTCCGTTGTAGCATAAGCTTCCATACCCCAATAATGAAAGGAGTAGGTCGATAAGTCGCTCTTTCTCGATCTTAAAACACGGACTACCGTAAGCACCAATCAGTAAATAATTTCCAGCACAAAATCCTCAGTTTTGCAACTTTTGCTGTTGACTCCCCTGCTTTGTACAAGCGAATTTCGCGCTGAAGTCTGCAGAAGATGTCATCAATATGAAAAGGAATAACTCGGTATAAAAGACGTACCTCTCATACTCGTTCTTGTCAGTCTCTACCAGGTATAATGGGTATTTGGAGAAAAGGTCCATGACTTCAGCGAGTTCCTTCTCTGCGTCTTCATGATTGTGAGGTTTGGTGGTTAATCCAAGGAGTGACCGAAGCATGCTGAACCGAAACGTGCGGAACCGTTGGTATCATTGAACATATCATATTTATTCTGGAATGGGTCCAAAGGAGTATACAACACGAGCCTGGTCAGGAACGCTCGCTGAAAGGCCAGTGTTCGGCCTCGAGTTCCCCTCGCGACGATGTTGAAGGGCATTGAACAATAACACAGCCGCTTGAAGAAGAAGATTGAAGAACTCACGGTGATGTGGCAATTCTGGGAAGGTGTCCCAACACCCACAAACGCCCATAATTTTGCCCACACAACAATGTTACATGGTTGAACGTTGAACTGTTAAGCACATGCTCTCAAAATTAATATTGCGAACCGCATGGCTTCAACAAACCTCAAGCCCCTCCGGATATTTAACTGTCAATATTCAACATACTTCCTGGGTTTACATCCCTCGCGGAGTAGAAATGGGAACGATGGTTGTGGCGGTGCTGTGGATTCAGACCCCGGGGGTGGGACATAAATAATTATAAAATGAGAAAAAGCATGATTGGCGACGGAAACGACTGGATTTACCTCATACTAAGTACTTGTATGTCGCAAAAACAACAAAACAATATTAATGATAATTTTCTATGCGGTGCACAGGACTATCGCGATTGCATGGATCAACCTCAGACGCTGGGAGCAACGTTAATATTTCCATTTCGTCTGGCGAACATCAGTGTTAGTGTTTGGCTCGCATTAATTTCCCTCCCACAGATTGAAGAACAATATCTTACACAGCCGCTAGAACAAGAATATTCAGTGAACGGGTTCCAAGTTGGTACAATGATAGAGAAGACTTGCAAACACCCGAGTCAAGGTCACCGAGTTCAGATAATTGAGCTGATTCTGCTGCATTCATCTAATTTCCTTTAGACATACCACTATAGCTACAGCTGGAATTCCTTGTTCAATTACCCAAACATAAAATACAGAAAGCGCAAATTATGACTTAAACTACTTGGAATCCATTGAGGCTTTCACCGTCCAAACCATTCACATTGCCATCCAATGTCGGACGTGGATTAACAGCTAGTGGATTGAGGTGAGCAACGACTCAATATTTCAGAAACCTGAGGTACTTGCCTGCTCCCCCATCGCTCGTCCCTCCGAAATTCATGGCTTCCGATGGAGCGGCTAGTAGCTTGAGTTGAGTAACCATTGAATAGCTAAAAACGCGCAACGCTTGCCTAAATTCAGAGTGATACTAGTAATACGCTGGGTCCCGCCAGCTCTCAGTCCTAATGTACTTGCTACCGCGGTGTTAGCGTTAGTCCCCTCCTCCCGGAATGCACTCGAAGTTTGTGCAGCTGCTCCGGTGTTGGCAGGTGAAGATTCTGACAGAATATAATATCACTGCGTTGTTTTATTCATCGATGAGGTCTGTCTCACCTCGATATATTCCTTCAAAAGATCTGTGCCGTCGCACGAACGCTAAAGAATAGTGTTGGAGAGGTAAGATAAGTGTGACGTAGCGATTTACCTCGGGCTACTTCGTCCGCCTTTGCGTGAACGATAAAAGATGTATTCTAGGAAAAGTATCAGTCTTAAAACGGGTTCCGAGAAAAATAAGGCCTTACATGAGCTAGATGGAATACTGCATGGCAATTAGCGTTTAACCTATGCTTCCTGCGATTCCAATCGCTCCTGTTCTGTAATTTCTTCCACCATTTTAGCTGTCCTAGATCCCCCCCTTCGTCGAGGGACCTAGAGGCACATGAGACTCGCGGGCAATCAATTCATACCAACTTGAACTCACTCCATGTAAAAATCAATCATTCTGGGCAATCCAGGGACGGGTATTTGGCTATTCGTTGCTACCACCTTAGTTTTCAGCATAATGTCGAGGGCTGAATTCAAAAGGCCACCCTCTTCTCCGTGAACTCTAGATATCCTGTTTTTGAGCGTTTGTTCGTTTGATTCGTCGATCGGCCCCCAGCTGTCCTGCACTGGAGAAACCATAACAGGTAGCTAATGATGTGTTAGAGGGGGATGGGGAAAATATACAGGTCAGCCCTGATACGATTCTGATTTCTTATATATTAGTCCATATACGCAAAATCTACGTATACAAAGTTACATATACTATGGCTATGTATAGATCAATTCTTTGGTTCCATACTCGATCACAAAGTTGCTACATTATGTAAACATCTTTCCCTGCCAGTGGACACCTGTCACTGCTGTCGGTAGGTCCATGTTTACAGCTATTTGGCTTGATCTGCTTGTAAAGTGACGCCTTGTGGTTGAGTCGCGCTCCCTCATCATCATGGTTTTTTTCGATATTTTCAACAGCAAGCTCCGAGCCCAGAAGAAGGCAGAAGAGGAGGAGAGGTCCAAACTCGAATTTGAGCAACTCCGACTTGCTCTCGGATCAAGTATCCCCTTTCCCGGTGGCCTCCATCTTGAAGAGACCTGGTGGAGGGATCACTTTTTATGGTTGAAGGAAGTCGGATATCAATTACGGTCACGCTATGCTCCGGACTGGGTTCCTTCATGGCAAGGTACAGATAAATATTGGGCTCTGTGCGAGGATAGTTTGCACATGGTGGTAATGTTCCTGCTCTGAAGAAAATTCATAAACTCACAAAAATGCCAGACCACGCAAGTCGTCAGTGCAACGCGAATGTCTGATGGAGCCCATGTCGTTTTGAAGCGAATTCAGCCATCTGCCCACCCGCATGAGATTGAAATTAGTAGATTCCTTTCGTCTGAACCCCTCAAGGGGCAACGCGAAAACCATTCCGTGGAGATGCTCGATGTGCTACACATACCAGATGAGGCAGACGAGGCTATTTTGGTGTTGCCGCTGCTTCGTCCCTTTGATGATCCTCCATTCGAAACAATCGGCGAAATTATCGATTTCGTTCGTCAAGTCTTTGAGGTGAGGAGTTACGATCGTTCTCTTGATGAGATGTTAAGAATATATAGGGTCTGCAATTCATGCATAAGCACCGCGTAGCTCATCGGTATGCACTTTCTTTTTGCTTTGCCATTGGTTCATGGTTTTCTAGTGATTGCATGAATTTGAATATCATGATGGATCCCATGGAGATGTACCCGCACCCATACCATCCATGCAGCCCCGCCCTACGTTTGGATATGAAAGGTTGGGTGAAACATCGTTCACGTACAGAGTGCCCTCCGCGATACCTTTTCATTGACTTCGGAATATCCCGACACTATCAAGCTTCGGAAAGCGCTCCTCTAGAACTCCCGATTTGGGGAGGGTACAAGAATGTCCCGGAGTTTTTGTTATCCGATGAAGCCTGTAACCCGTTTCCGACTGATGTGTGGTACCTGGGCATTGCTCTGCAGCAACAGCTTCTTGACGTACGAAGCTTATTCACTCTTGCTGGCGCATTTATGACGATCAATAGGTTTATCGTGGCCTGGGTTTTATGGAACCTCTGGTTTCGGATATGGTGCAGAACGATCCTGCGCAGCGACCAACCATGGACGAGGTTATGTCTCGATTTGCAACAACATACCAAGCACTGAGCGCATGGCAATTACGTTCCAGGGCAGTCATGAAGAAGGAATGGATCATTAGGCGGCCTTTCCGCGAAACCTTTCATTGGCTTCGCTGTCTCCGATTTTTATCGCGACATCTCCCTGCTATACCGTCACTTACTCTGTGACTTTAGTTTAGATGTTCATAATATTGCCGCCATGTAATCATACATGACGCAAACCAGCAATTTTTGGCTATGTATATAGTTCGGTGTACCCGAGTAGTTGTTCCATACCTTTTAATTCATTTTCCATGAATAATGACATGCAGATACTTCCGCACATCTAATGCGTGGAAGTAGTGGAGACACTGCGCACACATATATTTCATATTCGATATAACTCTACTATCGGGAAGGAAGACTAGTACTGTCTTTCTTCTACTGATTAGGGTCTGATTACAGGAGACTAGGTCTGACTACGGGAGACTAGTCTGAAATACGGGCCGCTAATACATGCAACATCCACAGCTATTATAATACATTCCATCATGGGCTCGCATTCCCAAGTGTGTTGATTGGTATCTAGCACACCGCTCACTTATTCAATATTAATATTTCCATTTCGGCGAGATCTGGCGGCGCATCAGGGTCAGTGTTTGGTTTCCCTCTCACGGATTGGAGAACAATAAGACAGCCGCTAGAACAAGAACACTCACTGAATAGTTTCAAGTTGATATAATGGTAAACAAGTATACTTGCAAAGGCCCATGCTTACGGGGAACTCTGAATCACTCACCCAAGGACTAGTGTCGCTGAGTTCGAATGATTGCGCTGACTTTGCTGTGCTCATTATGTAAATTTCCTTTAGCCAGAGGCAAGCGTTACTAACAGATGGAATTCCTTGTTGAATTATCTGAAACATATGTCACTCTAATTTGATCGCTGATGTCGATGAGTCGGTGGCCATGGGTCCATGTCTACGATTATTTGAATCATTTTGGGCGAACATATATAGAGTATCGACTTCCTGGTCCCTCATCGACATGGTTCTCTTTTCTCTTTTCGACAGGAAGCGTCGAGCTCAGACGACAGCAGAAGAGGACGAACGTCAAGAACAGTTCAGACTCGAATTCGAGCGAATTCTCCTGTCCCTCGGTGGCCTTAATTCTGATGAAATTTGGTGGAGGGATCACTTTCTGTGGCTAAAGGACGTCGGATATCAATTACGTTCACGCCATGCTCCGGACTGGGTTCCTTCGTGGCAAGGCACAGATAAATATTATGGTCTGTGCGAGGATGGTTGGGAGATGCCGGTAAGGTTCCTCTGCTGGACAATATCTATACACTCACAGAATGCCAGGCCACGCAAGTCGCCAGTGCAACGCGAACGTCTGACGGAGCACAAGTCGTTTTGAAACGGATTCAGCCATCCGTTCATCCGCATGAGGTTGAAGTGGGCCAGTTTCTTGCATCTGAACCCCTCAGGGAGCAACGCGAAAACCATTGCGTCCAATTGCTCGATGTGTTACAAGTGCCAGATGAAACGGACGAAACCATTTTGGTATTACCACTGCTTCGTCCCTTCGACAATCCTCCATTTGAAACAATCGGCGAAATCATCGACTTTGCTCTTCAAGTTTTCGAAGTGAGGAGTTATTACTGTTCCCTTGACCGATATCTCAAGAGTATTTAGGGCTTGCAATTCATGCATAAGCACCACGTAGCCCATCGGTATGCAACTTTTTTTTTCCTGCGTCGCTGTTGGTTAATGGCTTTCTAGTGAATGTACGAAATCGAACATCATGATGGATCCCATGCAGATGTACCCGCATCCATTTCATCCATGCAGGCCCTCTAGACGTTTGGATGGGAACGGATGGGCGAATCACCGTCCACGTACAGAGTGCCCTCCGCGATACCTTTTTATTGATTTTGGAATCTCTCGACGTTATCCAGCTTCGCAGAGCGCTCCTCTACTAGTAGAGCCTCCGATTTATGGAAGGTACAAGGGCGTGCCAGAGTTTCAGACGTCTCATGAACCCTGTAACCCGTTTCCGACGGACGTATGGTATCTGGGCTCCACTCTGCAACAACAGCTTCTTAACGTGCGAACCTCATTTAGTCTTTTTGGCGTATTTGTGACGAGTACTAGGTTTATCGCGGCTTGGGTTTTATGGAACCTTTGATTTCGGATATGTTGCAAACCGATCCTTCCAAGCGGCCAACCATGGATGAGGTTATGTCTCGCTTTGTTCCAACATACAACGCATTGAGCCCATGGAAATTACGGTCCAGGGCAGTCATGAAGGAGGAATGGATTATTATGCGACCTTTCCGTGATCTCTTCCATTGGCTGCGCTGTCTCCGGTTTTTATGGCGACGGCTCCCTGCTATACCATCATCACTCACTGTGTAATTTCGGTCACATGCATGCTCTCGCTGCTTTGCAAACTATGGTTGTTTACTAGTATAATTACCTACGATGTCATTCACGGGTTCAGGCTTGCCAGTGATCAGAAATGATTTGTTTTGAGTCAACGGTCACTAATACATGCAATATCCACAGCTATTATGATCATTCCATGCTCGCATTTCCAAGCGCCAGAGTTGCCATTAGGAACGCCCTGGTGAACTTGATGATACAATACAGTCAACGCTTCTGAGCTTGTTGCTGTCCTGGCTGTCCGGCAGGCGAACTATTACCCGTGTAGATGACTGCTAAAGAACTGACTAGTATGTAGGATTAGGATGCTCGGAATCACTGGCATGCAACTTACTTGCTCCAATTGCGCCCTCGGAGTCGATGTTGAATGTGGGTGACCCGGCAAATGAGCCTCGGCCAAATATCATGCAGTCTTTGTCGTTAACAGGCGGTGCATATGAACTTTCCTCCGTGGACGCTAATTTATGGTGTCATTATCAAACGTGAAGATTGAAATGAGGGTCTGAGTCCGGGAGACTAATCTGAAATGTCCAACACAGGTCGCTAATACATGCAATATCCACAGCTCTATTATAATACATTCATTGCCAAGTGTCAGGGATGAGCCATTGAACACGGCTTGTTCAATAGTGTCAAGTCCACGATTCTGAGTGGCGAGTAACGACTTGTTCGACTGAATAAATTCAGTCAACGCCAAGCTCATCAGACGATCACAATCACGAGTCAACTCACTGTTACCAGTAGCACGCGCAGACCGGATGTTCAAGGTCGGGCTACGCACCTCCGTGCCAGGCCCGAAATACATGACATTTTCATGTCTGAAGTTAGCACCTGTGAACGGGCGTCGCTGTCTTGGCAGTCTGGCAGACGATTTATTAGTCACGAATGTGGCTAATAAACTGATCAGTATGTAGGATTAGCATGCTTGTAATCGTGCAGCTTACTTCTTGTTCCAGTTGCGTCTTCGGAGTCGATGGTGACTGTCGGTGACCAGGCAATTGAGCCTCGGCCAAATATCATGCAGTCTTTGTCGTTGACAGGCGGTACATAAACTTCCTCCGTGGACGCTGATTTATGGTGTCATTATTAAACATGAAGACTGAAATGTGGTGTACGTACCTGCAGAACTGCTCGAGGTCGTTTGACGGGGTGCATAACTATTGGAGGAGACAAAACTGTCTGTGATAGATGAAGGATAGCTGTTACCACTTGTCATAGCGGAATTAGATTGAGGGGTCCTGTTGGATGGATCGGGGTCAACCAGTGCAATAGATGCATTGGGAGATCCAGCGGCAGCTGAATAGATATATGGCACTCAGTCATGAGTGAAAGCAACGGTGGGTGGCACCTACCTGTACTAGCTACTGGAACTGGCCCTCTTCTTATTTCATCCTCGAGGCATTTCCTGCACGCTGCCTGTAAACGTCGTGAAAAATAGCTCTTGCTCAGAAATGAGAAAGGGCGAACGTCTATCCTCGTCTTCAACGCCTTGCACTCGTCGAGTGCCTCGGTCAACGTACTAGTATCCGTGCCCTTATCCATCCGGCTACGAGCATCTGCAAGACTACCAGGCATTGAAATGTAGTAAATCATACGACGGACTGTATGCACGATACCTGTCGTATTCATTCATAAAAGACAAGCGTGCCTCCTCGGACAGCGTGTACAAGTTGGCCTTAAGGAGTGTAAGGATAGCGTAGAGGACGTCGTCTATATCGGCGATGATCCGCTTGCGCGGGCCTGAGGTATCTATATCGGCAACGATCTGCTCGCGCGAGGGATAGAAAATATTCCAGAAGAAGGAAAACATGATGCAGCCCTGGCAGAATCTAGTGATGTTGTGAATCTGTGGAGAGTGTTGATGAGGGACCTGCTGCAATTCGTCTGGTATTTCTACTTCTGCGAGGCCTGGTAAGAAACACCAGTAATCCTGGTGGTTTGGCCTCCAGTTTGCCTCGCAAACATTGAGAACAATAAAACATAGACAGAGCAAGGAGAGTGAATTCGACGACGCTCGCGATTTGTTGTGATCCTGGTTTCAAGTTAGTGGGGAAACAATTGTACGTTATAACCCACATACGCACACGTGACTGCGCAAATTGCCTTGCCCAACAAATAGTACTGATTGTCATGAGCAGCAATACTTCACCAAAATCCACCCACCGACGGCCCAAGCTCGCAGGGCTGGACTACACGCTTTGACCAAGGCAGACTTTTATGTCGGACCAACAGAACAACAATAATGATGTTTCACCCGTGGACCATCGCAATTCGATGGATGATTGTGGGCGTCTAATTATCCGCGTCCCTCGGACGTTGGGAGCAAGCGTAAGCCAAGTTGCAGAACGTTCGTGGCGGTCACGGTCATACACCTGTTCCCGCAGAGTGCCGATGGCCTGCTGAGCTCGTTAGATCGAAGTTGGCTGAAGTCTGCAAAATAACAAAAACGATAATTGAACTATCCTACATGTCACTGACGCTAGTGCTAAAGAAAATACAGGATGCGATGCACAGATTCATCATTTCAATAACGAATAATATGGATCATCGCTGTCATCGACTGCACTCGCATCTGCGTTTGTGGGGGACGGATGTGGGTCAATGACTGTAGTTGTTGTTCCGGTAAGCTGGATATTCTGTGCTCTAAATACCACATGCCTGCTTATGTGGATGTATTTTCCTAGGGGACTGCATAGTCATAGTTGGATTGTTGTTCTGCCCTTATAAAGACGGTATAGCTGAGCTATGCTGCTCAGAAACGGATCGTGTTGCATCGATAGCAGCGTCCTGGAGTGGCACACTACTTGTCTGCACTACTGGTGCACCGCTGGGACTTGCACACCAATGACGCCTCCGGAAACAACAGCGCATACTGAATCCCTCAGTACGGAGGCACAACATTCGAGGCTCAGACAAGATGAGGTGTGGTGGTCTGGTCATTACAAATGGTTGGAGAATTGTGGCTACTTGCTGCGCCCTCGGTATAAACCAGATTGGATTCCGTCCTGGCAGGGAACTTCCGAAATTCCGTTTTTATGTGAAGACGGGATCAAACCTCAGGTGTGTGTCTATGTAACGTATTGCATAAGTTTGACGCTCATACAATGCCGCACAGTATGCTAGTGTGTTGGATGCAACTCGGATTTCAGATGGTGAATTTGTTATGCTCAAGGCGGTCCTTCGAAACGACCACCCATACGAGGTTGAGGTTGCTCGTTACCTTGCGTCAGAGCCTCTTCAATCGGATCCTATGAATCATTGCGTTCCCATCCTGGATGTCCTCCTTCCTCCAGATGAAGAACATGACATCATTGTCATGCCACTACTACGGCGCTACTCTGACCCTTCCTTTGAAACTTTCGGGGAAGCCGTCGAGTGTTTTCGCCAGCTCTTCGAAGTACCCGATCCCGCTTTGCATCCTTCAGCATCTGACTTCTCCATTTCAGGGTCTTTATTTCATGCACAAGCACCATGTTGCTCACCGGTATGTCCGCGTCTCTACTTGTGTTCAAACTTGGCGCTCAGCTCTACACACTTAGCGACTGCATGAACTTGAATATTATGATGGATCCAAAGCCTCTTTTTATCGACTCATTTCATCCCTTTCGTTCGCACAGAACCCGCGATCTGAAAGGTGATCCAAGACACTATAGTCGCACGCAGCGTCCCACCAAGTACTTTTTAATCGATTTTGGACTGTCTCGTCGGTATGACCCCCCTGTCACAAACCCCCTGGAACGGGTCATCCTTGGAGGCGATAAAACGGTACCAGAATTCAAATCCCTCAAACCACAAAATCCATTTCCTACCGATGTTTATTACATTGGTCACGCCATTCAGGAAACTTTTTTGGACGTACGATGCACCGTGTCATTTCCAAGTACTACTCTAATGATACCTTTGCAGGAATACAACGGCTTTGACTTCATAGAGCCATTGATACTGGACATGGTTCAGGAGAACCCGTCCCTGAGACCGACCATGGAGCAAGTTATCGGTCGTCTTGCGATCATATGCCAAGGTCTTAGCGCGCGGAAACTCCGGTCCCGATTGACCGCAAAGCAGGAGGGTCGTTTCCAAAGCCTTTTGAAAGACATTGATCATTGGCAACGTCAATTTTTGTACATTATTCGACGCCTTCCCGCAATTCCCCGTCCTAGAGAATGAATGGCCTCATGATGTCGACTTCTTGTGAACACACATCCAATGGCAAACAATCCTCACTCGCTCGACGTACATATCGATCATTTTCGACGTGCGCGTACTTGGCCGTGCGTTGCAACTCCGCTCGTTTTGATCGTAGTGTCCATGGCTGAGCTCAAACAGCTCTAGGTATATTATCTTTGGGTGGTTTCCCTGTTCGTTTCGTCGGTCAAACACCAATACTGCACGGAGGCTATAGCTGACATGATAAGTGCGTTTTCTTACGCACAAAGTAGATACCGATCACAACTCTTTCCATTGACTTGCACCAAACTTGAACTTTGAAGAAATATCCCATATGAATCCACTATCAGAAGGAAGACTGTCTTTAAATATTACATTAGGTATGATCACAGGAGGCTAGGTCTGAGTCCGGGAGACTAATCTGAAATGTCCAACACGGGTCGCTAATACATGAAATATCCACAGTTCTGGTATAATACATTCTATGCTCACATTCCCAAGTGTCAGGAGTGAGCCATTGAACACGGCTTGTTCAATAGTGTTCAAGTCCACGATTATGAGTGGCGAGTAATGACTTGTTCGACTAAATAAATAAATTCAATCAACGCCAGGCTCATCAGACGATCAAAATCACGAGTCAACTCACTGGTACCAGTAGCACGCGCTGACCGGATGTTCAAGGTCGGGCTACCCACCACCTCCGTGCCAGGTTCGAAATACATGCAATTTTGACGCGTCGTGGTATGAGTCGCCTGCGGCTGGTAAGCACCTGCGAACGGGCGTCGCTGTCTTGGCAGTCTGGCAGACGATTTATTAGTCACGAATGTGGCTAAGGAACTGATCAGTATGTGGGATTAGCATGCGCGGAACCGTGCAGCTTACTTGCTCCAGTTGCGTCATCGGAGTCGAGGTTGAATGTGGGTGACCCGGCGGCGAATGAGCCTCGGCCAAATATCATGCAGTCTTTGTTGTTGACAGGCGGAACATAACTTTCCTGCATGGACGCTGATTTATGGTGTCATTATTAAACATAAAGACTGAAATGCGGCGTACGTACCTGCAGTGGTGTACGTACCTGCAGAGCTGCTCGAGGTCGTCTGACGGGGTGCATAATTATTGGCGGAGACGAAACTTTCTGTGGTAGCTAAAGAGTAGCCAGTACCAATTGTCATAGCGGAATCAGATCGAGTGATCCTGTTGGATGAATCGGTGTCAACCAGTGCAATAGATGTATTGGTAGATCCAGCGGCCGCTGAATAGATATATGGCACTCAGTCATGAGTGAAAGCAACGGTGGGCGACGCCTACCTATACTAGCTACTGGAACTGGCCCTCTTCTTATTTCATCCGCCAGGCATTTCCTGCACGCTGTCTGTAAACGTCGTGAAAAATAGTTCTTGCCCAGAAATAAGAAAGGGGCGAACCTCTATCCTCATCTTCAACGTCTCGCACTCGTCGAGTGCCTCGGTCAACGTACTCGTATCTGTGCCCTTGTTCATCCGAGTACGAGCATCTGCAAGACTACCAGGCATTAAAATGTAGTAAATGATACGACAGACTGTATGGACGATACCTGTCATATTCATCCATAAAAGACAAGCGTGCCTCCTCGGACAGGGTGTCCAAGTTGGCCTTAAGGAGTTTAAGGATAACATCGAGGAGGCTGTCTATATCGGCGATGATCCGCTTGCGCGGGCCTGAGGTATCTATATCGGCGACGATCTGCTCGGGCGAGGTATCTATATCGGCGACGATCTGCTCGCGCGAGGTATCTATATTGGCGATGATCTGCTCGCGCGAGGGATAGAAAATCTTCCAGAAGGAAAACATGATGCAGCTCTGGTAGAATCTAGTGATGTTGTGAATGTGTGGAATGTGTTGATGAGGGACCTGGTAGCACCTGCGATTCGTCTGGTATTTGTACTCCTGCGAGACCTGGTACGAAACACCAGTAAGGCCTGTGTTCTGCCTCGAGTTTCCCTCGCGACATTGAAAGCAATAGGACAAGGACAAAACAAGAAGACTGAAGAAGATCGGTTTTGAGTTAGTGGGAAAATGGTACATAGTACGCGCCTACTGTGGGCGCGTACACTGAATTGCACTGCCCAGCTGTCAACACCATCACGCAATTAGTATGTGCAAGAATATAAATCCATTGAACTGTTGTAATTACATACTAGTAGCTGAACCTTGATCAAGAGTCAAGTTGAGCTCCTCCGCCGTTCCGAACGTTCAACGTTCAACGTTCAACGGCCATGTATGCTGCGTTAAACAGAGGTGGAACTGGAATCAAGATTTTGGGACAGATACTCGCGTGGTTTGGAACCGGGGGTGTAGGCTGGCTGTGTAGGTATTTCGTACAACGCATCATGATGGGATAGCTGTGGTATGGATGGATCCGACCTTGTTCTGCAAGCACTTGTGTGTATCATAATGGAGAAGAACTTACTTCTTTGATTGATTGATGGGATTGATCTCCATCTTCCATTTTCGATTTATCCTGAATACTGGCTAAAAATACGATGGACAAAGTTGGGACAAAATGTTTATTATTATAACCCCATCGTGATTACGTGATAAACGCCCAAGTCTTCCCCATCTTGACCAGACAGTACTTAGCACCAAGTACTGTAATGTTGGACGATACGATACGTACCCAGTACTTACACGTGTTACCTATCCCGGAGGATTAGCCTCCGGGACTACTTCTGACTTGCTTCCCTTTCTGGTGCGTTATCGCATCTTGGCACCTTTGACCACCATATGTTACATCCACGGGTAGGATCGTCATTGGTGGCTTCTTTCCGTCTCCCACTTCTCGATATTCGATACTTAAGACCTTGCTCGCGCAGTCCTACCTCAGCCTTGTCTACTACATCCGCTGAGGTACCTTGCTATACACAGCCATTTGTATATAGCCGAAGCAAGCCAGCACTGCCACTTAATTGACATCTGTCATCCGACCATTCCACACGCAGGGTACTTTCGCAGCGCCGCAGCACATGCAATGTACGGGAGTAGAAGAATCACGGTGCGCTCATCAACTAGATCATGCAATCGAAATCATTCACTAATAATATGTTGCTAAGTCCTTGGGTCATCACCGGTTCGTATACACCAGCTGAAGACAATTCAGAACCTTGCTTTACTTAGTATCATTCATGCAATTACAGTTATTCGTGCCCAAGGCTATCAACCTTTGCGTCCTGAAAAGTCTTGGAGACCAATCGTTTCTGTCGTAGTAGACGAGCACCAGCGTTATGAAGTGAACTTGGGATGTGACGGGCAGAACCCAAACCTCAGGGAACGTTTCATGATGTTTGTCATCTCTTTACTATTACAGTTGTCACTCATTGATACCTTCGAACAGGCGGGGCACAGACGTCGGTTCCCGAGTGGACATCAATGTGTACCATCAGGCGCCGAGCAAGAAGAAACGCAAAAAGCGGTATCTACTTGCAACGACTTCCTTGTCGTTTCAGGCCCTATCCAAGTTAAAGGGTACTGCAAATCGTAAGTCTTGCAAATTGCCATCATTCTGTCTCTGATGTATTCTAGCTTTCAAAATACCGCTGAGTTCTGTGGTACGACCCTCCATGCGTGGGTCAGCTCGAGGGAGAACAGTTTCAGTCTCCCTTGTTGCTAAGCTTGAAGTCCCCCAGACTGAGGCGAGACTCAATGCGCTTGATTCCTTGGCATCAGATGACCAATACGACGACAACATCATGTGTAAGAGTGGTCTTCTCAGTCGCGTTAATTGGCTGAAAGCTGGAATTTTAGCACTCGGGTCACCAACTTCAGAACCTGAATCAGACAGAACAAGTAACTTTCCTTGTTCGAGTCGCGCTATAACTCCTCCAGTCTCGCTTGATTTGTCCGGGATACGTATTCGTCGAGGATACTTCTCAGACACAGACGATGACCGCCCGCTAGACGACCACGTCAAACTCATCAACGACAGCTACGACAGCTCTGAATTCACGGACAATATCGACTTGAGTGCTGTAGTCCTCATAAACAATACCCAACTTGTTCCACTCGCGCCTTCCCTTTTACCCAGATACACAGAGCAGATATCCGTGGACAGTTCGTTGTCGTTTATCGATGCCCTTGTTGACTCCTTCTCGTGTTATGCTGAACTTCGGGTGGCTTGCAGTGACTGCAGTGACTCTGAATATGAGCGTATTTTGGAAAAACTCACGTCTGAATGGTACTTTGTGGGTGCATCAGTACGTGATGTCATTATTATTCCACTTGCTCTCATTTAGCCTTGATGATCTGTAGCTGGTCGCCCTTTCCGGGTATGTCCATTACGACAGATTATCTCTTTTCGCAATCATTGATCTACTTTCGCAGGCTTGACGCGGCTGTCTTCGGTTTTTCGTCCAGCTCATTGTTCTCCGTCAACAATTTCGCCCAAAGCTCAATAGCTATAGGAAGCGTCGCTTCCGGCATCGGTCTCGCAATCGATGGCTGGTTCCTGTTGGTATACAGCGGAGCAAACGCTAAAAAGTTCCAGGTAATTCTTAACCGCACATATCGGATCATAATGCTCAAAACCACCTAATGTAGAAACTCGCTCGCGACGTATACGGCAAATATCTGTTCTTTTGCATATCGTCGCGTCTTCCTGCTGTATGCATGTTTGTATCAGCATGCGCATTAATGGCCTTTTTGATTGCAGTAGCATGGTCTGCCTGGCCTACCGCCGTTTTGGTCATGTGTTTCACCGCTGGTATCTTGATCAGTCTCCAGTTCATTATCTATGGGCTACACTGCGTAGTGGTTTGGGTGACTGAGGTTATTAGGAGAGTGCGCAGAGGATTGATGTGGTGTGTAAGGAGACCGTCCAACGACGTTTCGGAGCACAACGTTTCCGAAAAATAGTGGTGTATTTAGAACGATTTTCTCTCTCTCTCGCTACATCTGTAATATGCATGGATCACAATTTATTTATGTTTCAAAAACGATGAAACGAAAGGCTGCTAGTGCAAAATAATATTTTGAAAGCTTGAAAAAATATATTTCGTGAACCGAAAACTATTGTAATATCCGTGAGGGTTGGAGGAGGCAGGGGGGCAGGTAGTTACAATGCCAGATTAGGAGCTGATTCGAGATTATTCTGAATCGAAAACTATTGTAATATCTGCGAGGTTGGAGGAGGCTGGGGGGCAGGTTCGTTACAATGCCAGATCCGGAGGTGATTCGAGATTATTATTATTCTGGTCTGTCAAGTGTCAAGTGATACCCAGTGCCCATGATCATGTATCTCCAAAGGAGAAGGGAAGAGGCTGGGCGAGGAAGCCACCAGCAACGAGGCCCTAGAAGTCGAGGCATCGAACGGCCCACCATTCTTCTACACCTTTAAGCCATTGAGCTCCAGAGCTGTGGACCGTTCACAGGCATAAACAATTAAACAATCAAGTACCGTCCAATAAACATCGAAATCGCGACCGCAGCAATATCGATATCTTCCCCCGCGAGCGTGCCACCATTGGAGCACAAGCAACCCTCGATTGCTCAAGGGACAAAGTTTTCAGCCAGACACGCACGCAATAGGACATCGTGGGATGGAAAGATGCGATATCTATCTGACACTGACAAGTGATCGTCAACACGTCAATGCCGCAAGTTAACTCCGCCCAGCTGACCTCGTTGTTTTCAAAAACAGAATATAATAAAGGGTTTGCCCGACCTGCACGTATCAGTCGAAGCATTCAATTCATTTTTCTTTGGACCTACCACAGCAAACTCGCCATTTCGTATTCGTTGTATTTTGGGGGCATCGGCGCATTTTTTATTTGTTTTCGTCGTATGATTGATGTACCGGACTGGGGGCCATTGTGCTGGGCACGCTTTGCCAGTGCAAGGTCAGATCTATACATGTGCCCTGTCCATCGTGGGGCAGTGGACCCACATGAAACGGCGTCTTGAAATCTGGGGTCTGACCGTCTAAAGTACCCATTTGTCAATTACTTTTGTTCACATATATATACCGTGCTGTGCCACTCACCTGAATTTTCCAAGAAAGAAGATATCTAAAATCAAAGCATGACCCCCCCTTCACATCAAACTCCGCGAACGGAAGTATCCAAGTTTACATCCGCCGCGCACAACAAACCGTTATTTACCTCCACGTGCGTTGCTTACAAAGCATATAGCCTAGAGTCTCGACAAGCAAATGCATTCAGAAATTACAGAATACATAAAACCAGCAGGTACCTGGTCAACCATCATTCACCATCAGAACTAGCGACATCGCTATGTGAATCGTCCTGCTCCTTACGGTCCTCCATCCGTACATCATCATTCTGAGCAGATTCAACTGCGGGAGTGAAACCAGAAAGAATACCAGGCCCTCCCGATTTCTTGGCCTGCGAATGTTTCCAGGCATGAGCCATCTGCAAGAACTTGAAAGATCTTGGGTTGGCTTCTCGTTCGTCGTCGGCGAACACAAGTTCCCAATCTGTGCGGTAGAAAGATCAGGAAGATGTGCTATACACGGGGAAGATCGCTGACCTTCCACAACCTGGCCTGTCTCTTTGTCGACGTGCTGCTTCCTGCCGACAATAGGCATCATACCTTGTACCTTGGTGACATCGCTCTCGCTGCCGTGTTCTTGCTCGAATGCCTTCCATGACTCAAGCAAAGCAACCCTCTGTGATGGAAACAGTTCAACTCCAACCCGAGTATAAAGCTGCTGTCCGTACCTCGGCTTTTAGGCCCTTGGCCTTCAAGTCTTTGTAACCACGTTCAAAGACTTGTCGTGCTAGTTCGGGATCACCAGCGACAACACGAGGTTCGGCATCCTCGTCTTCCTCTTCTTCTCGCAGAGCCCTGGGCAGGGGAATACTCGACCCCTCGAACTCGGCATAGGATATCCACACCTTGTGGTGTCCGCTGAGGATCACCAGGCGCTCGTAAAGTGACCTCGTCTTCTCCCGATCACCCTGCTCATCGACTTCGAAGTCGATATATGCCTTCCAAAGGATTTCGGGCATAGATAGCGATGCTTGAGATACTCCAAGTTCAAAGATCGCCTCTGCACGGGTGAAGTCCTCAAGAGCCGTCTCGAGTTCAGCGTACTTGATCCACGCCGCTGAGTTGGTAGGATCGTACTGTGGAAGTTGTTTGGTCATTGTCGAGGAACGAAAAAGACTTTTATGATATACCTCAAGATACTTCTCGTATAATGTCCGCACGCGATCAAATTCTCGCAGCTAAAACACGATGTCAGTAAATCGTAAAGACGAGAAATCGAAGATCATACATCCATCTCGAGTTGAATATAACCCTTGAGTAAAGCCTCCTTCGGACACATGCCAATTGCGGTCCCGAGCATTTTGCGCGCTGCCATCAAATCCAACTGCCTGATCTCAAACCTCGCAGCCATGATCCACAGTTTTGCAAAGGTAAACTGCTTGTGTGGCACAAGGCTTAGAACTGTGCGATATACTTGGCGTGCACGGTCATAGTCCTATAGAATAATGTCAGGGTGAACAAGTAGTATGTATGGGGATGAAAAGACCTTGGTTTCGATCTCCTCGAACAAAGCATACTCAAGCCAAAGGAAGATATACCGTCTCCAATGACGCTTTTCTTGTCCAGGAGGGACATGCGCAACAGCACGCTCGTAAACGTCTCGCACGCGCTCCATGGCAGCATCCTCCTCTTCTTTGGTGCCTCCTTCCTCTCGCAAGGTTCGTAGGGCACCTTCTTCCAACCTAACATAGTCGAACCAGACGTCATAATTTCGTCCGTCCTGCGCGACTTCGTCTTCATACTGGATTCTTCGCTTGCCGAGCACAGTGGATTCTACAATGGACCGTGTGCCATGTTGCTTCTCGAATTTGGTGTAAGCTGCGTACAAATTCGCCGATTTTGATCGCGGAAGACGTGATAGTGCGAACTGTCATTCAGACTGTGAAACGGGCCTAGCAGAGTATGCGCGCGACGACGTACTTTGTATATCACTCGAGCGCGCTCGTACTCTTTCAACCGAGTTTCCATCTTGGCAAAAGCATTGAAAACTGCTTGAGCCTTCTCAACCTGCTCTTCCTCGTCGCCGAAGAATTGAAGAGCGGTTTGGAATACCTCTCTTGCCTTGTCCAACTTTCCCCGCTCCTCCTCAAACTTTGCCCACTTCACCCATACCCTCGGGTCTGGCCTTACAGCTATCCACCGCTCATATATAACACTGGCCCTGTCCGATTCATCATACCGCTCCTCCATCTTTATGTATGCCTGCCAAGCTTTGTCATCCGGTTCCCATTGCATCCACCGCTCAAAGACTTGTCGGGCACCGGGGACATTTTGCAGAAGCTCCTCCAAGTAAACATACTTGTACCAGAGTTGGTCTACCCGAGGCAATAGAGTCACGGCGCGATCGAATAGATTGCGTGCGTGTTGGACATTGCGAGACTTGAGTTCCATTTCAGTATAACTGAGCCATAGCTGAATGCTTCGAGGGTCCACGTCCAAAGCACGTTCGAAGATAGAGCGAGACCGGTCAAATTCATTTTGGCTTGCCTGATGCGAATGTGCATGAGACCGCTAAAATGAACCAAAGATTTCGAACCACGTACCTCCCAGTTTGCATACTGAGTCCATTCTTTACTGATACAATATTCAGTGGGAGCATCACCGACGTCGAAAACGACACTCACATGCTGCCTCTTGTCCTTCTGACTCGCTCTTCAAATTCCTTTCGCTTGCGGCCGCGGTACTCGTGAAGTTCTTCAAAATCTTCAACACGTTGTTTGGGAGCGCGGAAGGTGGATTCTTGACGCTCTTGAGCCTAAAGGATGTAATGTGTAAATACAGCAAGACGGATAATTGAAAAAACGCGCCTCTCGCAGAAGCTGCTCTGCAGTGATCTATGAATGTCAATATCGAGAGTCAACAAATGCCGACACATATATGTCAACGAAACAAACCTGGATAGCGGCAGGCGCCCGATTCCTGATCCTGAAAGTCATGACCAGTCAGTCTCTGCATGATGCAAAAAGTAAATAGGGCAACCTTGGTGCTCTGCCGTCCTGCATAATCGCGACACCGATGAATTTCCCGTGCCAGTGAGCAAAGAATAGCGGGACAAGCTGTCGAGCAAGCAAAGACAAACAAGTCTGTCGATGGGTCTTACGTAAGTGAAATAAGGATTGTACAAGTCACTATCATGATGATATGTTAAAACTTCCACCACAAGGAAATTAGCCTGACTACCAGTGCCGCTTAACCGCACACCAATTCAACGACTGAAGACGGGATACAAAAGTATTTTTTATAGTAATCGCAGATACTTTAGGCGCAATTTTTTCGTTTTGCCGCTCTTCCATTCTGCGGCGAAGGCAGGTGATTGGCACGTTCACTTGTCTGCTCGACTTCTGTAGCAAGGGCAGCTGCCCCATTCTCCTGCTCACGAGCTTACTTACGCGGCTGCAGCTGACGACGTTTCAACGCCATATGTGAGTCCCTGATAGTCGTTGTCAGCTGAGTTGGACAAACAAACTACGAACGAAAACTCACGGTGCGTCAAGTTTTCCGTCGAAAGACAAAGTGAGTGGGCCTGTTGACGGTAGCCTATGAACAAAGTGATTAGGAACACGAGCAAGTCAAGAACTGCATAGCACATACGTTGGTTTCATAGCCTTCAACACCTGCTCTGTCCGTAGCTGATCCTCCTCGCCTTCTTCGTATAGCCAATCTTTTGGCCACTCGGGCGAAATCTGCGCGAATAATGCCTCTAATATTACACGTTGCCCCTTCTCTGCGCGTACGACGTCCCTCACATTTTTCGCCTCCTGCTTAAGCGTTGCTGCTCGCTGGCGGAGAGCAGCGATCTGGACGAGAACGCGTTGGTCGTCAGCTGTGATCTGATTCATGATTTTCACAGCCCTGTCCAGCATTTGTGGTTCTTCAGGCGGGGGCGTTCCCGCACGCGAGCTGACGGGGGATTTGTGGTATTCCTCCTGCCCCGGACTTGCGTAGGACAGGCTGGAATCCGAATCACTGGAGTCATATTCCGCAGCCGGGTTCCCAGCGTGACTTTCCAGTATCGGTGAAAGGCTCGGCGACTTTTCTGCTATATTTTTAGCAGGGCTGCCAGCAGCTTTTCCGGCTGCGAGAATCAGACCGGGTGGAGTGGCATCTTCCTGGATGATGTGACGTTCAACTAGCCAAGTGTTAGAATTCATGCACTGCAACGTGAGGCATGACAGGCTCACCGATTGTACTCATCGGTAAGTCTATGGTTGCTGTTAAAGGCCCAGCAGCTGAGGGACTCTCTCCCCTTATTCTAGACTTCTTTCTTGGAGGTTCTTCGCTGTCTTCGTCTTGACTGAACGATGGTCAGGACCAGTTATAGCGAACATAGCAAGGAACGTACATTAGCGGAACAACCTCGTAGAGTTTCACTAACTCTCTGATGATCACCACGCTCTTCATATTCGCTTTCACTTTGTGCTCCTGATTCTAGATCAGCGACCACCATTCCGGACAAGAAACGCAAGAAATATACCTTGGCTAGCTTTTGCAGCTGTACGCGGGAGAGCTTGCGAAGTGTGGTTTCATCCATGGCTGGGATTGGGTTGTTGTATGAGTGAGGTACGTGAGAGAGGGTTGCTTCATTCATTTCGTGCGGTATGGTTTTTAATGGGTAGTCTGATGAAGAGTATGGTACTGGATCAAGCTGTGGATCTACTTTAGGAGGTCGGACTTGAATAAGCGGGAGCTGTGGCACCCTCGGATGTGATGTGGCTTCTGCGGTACGTCCACAACTTAAATTCACATTGTATTTCTGTGAAACATATATGTTTACAATGAGGCACAGTATATGGGGCCGGCCCTTTACCCACCACATTTTGAAATGTATACCCATGGCAGATGCATATCACCGTCTCAACACCTTGTGCAAAGATATCTCGCAACTTTCATCAAGCATATTCGAGCTGTCGTGCACACGTACGTGTCGTTTGTTCGCGAGTCAACTCATGGAACTTACCAATTGAGTAAGATTCGCACTCATGCTTGGCTCCTTGTGACAAGATTAATAACATGCCCGGTGATTCCACATTTGATGCTGAGGAAGATGCTAACAGTTAATAGTTGGGTTATTAACCCAGTTGATAATTGATGACTAGCTGGACGGCGGATATATCGTTGCACCCTACGTATAATGAAAACAATGGCAAACACTCACAGCACCAGCATCAGTGCTCTACCACCGGCAACCTCGCTGCCCCCACCGCGTGTCAAGTCACCTCTACGCCGGTGAATGCAGTGGCATGGTTGTGTTCAACGGGTGGTATCGGCAACGAAACGTACGTTTCCATCGGCGTATGCCGGTGGAGCGGTTGTGCTTCTAGGCTGGCGCTTCTTGGAATGGCGTCTCTCAGGCTTGGGCGTTCTTGGGCGTCACTAGCAGCTAGCGCTTACTCATTTGGAAGTCAACAAGGTTCAGTACCGCCTGCTCCTTTCATTTACCAACTGATCAGTATCACCGCCCCCTTATCAAGGCGCCAGTGGCATTCCTCGTCATATGCTCTGTCAGTGCCCTATGTGCCGCCGTATACCGCCGCGCTCTAAAAATGCGCATTCGGAATCCGACATAGGTGAACGGTCAGATGATTGCAACTACTAAACTCTCGTCGAGTATAAACACCGTTAGGTGCCAATATCATCACGGACGGCTTTGAAGTCATTCCTGCAGCAAATACATCGAATCATTGTCGAGAATGAGTGACAGCTTCGAGGCAAAGCATCGCGCCCCTTTGCGCCGACCCGCCTGACATAATACAGCTACATGGCGTTCGGGCACTTCGGCGTGCAACAAACCATTTCCCTAGAATAGATCAGCTCCGGTCCGATCGTTCCACTCACATAGGAAATGAGAAGAAGGCAATCAGAACGTTCAATGAAATATTGAATGATAGGAATCTCAATATACCCCAAAAATGTTCGAATGTGAGTGCCGCGCAACAGACAAGTTCCTGGTACTTGCCTGACCATACAGTACAGACCACCCCCGTGTGGTCCCACTGACCCCTTCTAGGACATTGTCTGTGTACGACCTGCCTTTACTTCTTGTGCGACTTCTCTCCGCACCGCTTTGACCCGGCCTGCAGATATTAAAAAAGCCTATTAAAAAAGCCTAAATAACCGAGGCTTTCGGGCGCGAGTGCTGAAAAAGCACAGGTTGAACGTTGATAATTTTACTATCTCGCCCAAAAGAATTACCGGTATGGTGACCTCATTAATCTGTGCCAGTCCTTCGAGTGTCGTAACATGGTTGCACCGGTATAAAAGGCGGCAGAGAGCAACATTTGCCTGCTGTTCAATCTCAAGGCAATATGTCAATCCTAACATTCCCGAAGCTTGCAGACGAGCTCTTCTTGCGACCCATCGTAATATCGATGAATAGCTTGGCCCTGTCTTCACTTATGTCCTTTGTCATGTCTGCCAATGGAAATTTCGACTGGAGACCGGTATGGTCGTTGATTTAATACCAGAGAATATCGCTGATACAGTTGTCTTCGCAGATAATCATCTGCGTGGCATCGGACATCCTTGCGATGGGTGCTGACCATCTCAAGGATAAAGAGAAGGAATTCTCATCTGAACGTAATAACGCAAACGAACCGCGCCTCGCCTCTTGGTTTGCATATGCACGAACCTTCCTCACCGCCAGCGCTGTGCTCCTTGCATTGACACTATCTCTATGTCCAATTTCGACCCTCCTCACCACGGCAGCCTTCGTGGCCCCTGCCTTGCTCTGGACCACTCCGATCAGCTTCAATAAATTTGGGCTGATTTCGAGGCGCCTCCTTGGGATGTTTGTTAAAGACAAGCACCAACCTTCCACGTCTGCGCCTACTCTGGTTATCAAACGCATCCCTGGCATGAAAGCCATATTTAATGGGATCATTCGAGGGTGCGTCTGCGTATTCACCTTGAATAATTCATGTACAAACCAATGCTCTTCAGATGTGGCATCTACACTGTTGTCCTCTCTGTGTTGTCGGGATCAGGAAATCTGGCTGACACGCTACCGTCTCCATGGAGTACTGTTCAACTGATAGTTTGGTCGACGGTCAACCGTTCATGCCACGCAGTAAGTAGCCAGTGTATGGTTCCATGATTTGGCCCTAATCATGCCCATAGATCATGACTGATGTACGTGATTTTGAAGACGATCTGAAGGATGGCGTCCCCACCATACCCGTCCTTCTCGGATCTGTCCGAAAGACGAAGGTCATATTAACAGCTTGTCATATGCTTGTTATGTTGACCTTCATCGAAAACCCATACATCATGGGGAGCTGTCTATTTGCTGCAGCTCTGGTGTGGATACTCGGCAAGCACTCGGCGAAAAAGGCGTTTCTGTTTAGCTCTCACTCGCAGTCCTTGTTCATTATCTGGTATTTGTTGACGAGACATAATTAGTTCCTGTCCGAAGAATCTTTCATTACTATTATTAATGAATACCTTAAAAACCTTTATAGGTGCAACTGACTATCGATGGAGACATTCGTAGCCATTCGTTATTGTTGTCTCGCCATACTTTCGTATCAAGTTATTAAGTTTCTGGCGTGTGTGCGTGGATGGCAGAGGACATAAATCAGGAGAAAAGGAAGACAGAAAAAAACGGCTGAGTGGTATAAGACAACCGTATGTTCTACCATGAGCGTGCGGTTAGGCAGCAGCGCAGTGACATCGAGATGCAATTTTTATTATTTCTAATTCCATGCTCTCGAAATATCCCACTGTTCTACGGTACCTTCGTTCTACCCATTTGGCAATGACCAGTGAGGACCAGCCACATCGGCCAAAGTATCTACAGCTAATGTGACTAGTTGCACGGCGTCGAAATATCCCTCCTACTATGGTGTAATACTCACTGAGTATAAAGGCATTTGAACGCTGGTTCACCTTCGAGCAATGTACAATCAAACTAATAGCTCTTAGCATCAGGAAGTGAGACAACAAGTCGAAACATCACTGAGGCCTCAGGCTTCACTCCCAGTCTACCTCAAATTTTTCATCGCTTTTGCAGGTTTCCTTCATGCTTCTCCCAGGTCGTAGGTGCGAAACTGTCCTTTCTCCTAGACCTGCGCTCGAGGACGGTCGCAGTACTACATGATATTTGGATGATGAAACTAAGACATGTGATAAGGGGATTACGGTGGTCAATATTTCAATGACAATATTTCGCTCACAGGTCACCCTTCATTTCATGCTGTAACTGAAGTTTGCGGCAGCGCTTTTCAGGACTTGCATGCTCTCCCAGTCAAGCGGATTGTTAAGCGCCTCCTGTGTTAGGTATATTTTCTTGGGAACAGTCTGCAAATCGTCTTTGGAGGTAGCACACAACTATGTCTTCGATTCCACTCACCACCGTATCTTGACATGGGATTTGCAACTCACACCGAGATGTTGCGCGCGGAGTTTAAATTTCTAATCCCAGTTCACGGACTGACGAGTACCAGCTTGCTTATGTGGGAGCAACAGGTGAATATTCCAATCGTTCCACACCAAATTGCCAACAGCCCTTGCTTCGCAAGGTAGATCTTAGGTGGCAATCTGCTGGCATTGCAGCGATATCATTTGTTCGAAAGGGGATTTCGGTGGGTGATTTTTCCTAGCCTTGACAGAAACTGGGCAAGCGAAGCCACCAGCTGCCGTGTCCAAGTCCTATGTCAATGGGAGTAGCAGTGCGTGCCCGCATAGAGCGGTGCTGCGACACTTGGGACCCACCGATGGGGAAGTTTATGGTTGGGTGATGGTGTCGTCCCAAGATAAGACACGGACCCTCCGAGTCGGAGCTTTCGCTTCTGAATCGGAATTTCGTTCGATGCCCATGCAGTTAGACGAACTTGGAACGAAGAACAATATTCAGCACATAAAAGCAAGGCGTCTTCCTGCTGACCCCTTCAGATCTAATTGGTCCCATATCACATCCTTACAAACTATGCATTTCACCTTTGTCCTCGCCGTTGTTGCTGCTTTGACAGTGTCAACATCTGCCGCATCAATATCTGCCAATAACGCATCATTCAGTGAACTATCTGAGGCTGAGGCTGACGCTGGAGTATGTCCCCTCTTTTGCGTGCGCCAGTCAAATTGCCAAAACTGTCCTGAGGGAAATTGCGTGAGCATGCTGCGTCCTGGATTTAACCACATAGCTCACCGGCGTGACAGGTTGTCTATATATGCTTCTAGTGTGGTGGTGAGTCACTTTCACATCGGTGCAGTATGGTTAATGTCATGACGCGTGAGTTACTAGCAGTATGTGTTGCTGAGTTGATCAACGCATTTGCTTTTGAGCCAATTTTACTGTTGCTCGAGGGATGGAGATCTTGGAATAGAGGACTCGTCTTTGGGTAAATGCTGCGTTTATTACTTGGTAGCGCTCAGCAGCGTTGTTGCAAGATTTGGCACAGTGAATGTGTATGGCTTATACCGCGAATCTATGTTGGTCATACTGGACTCGGACGCATTTTCCCCGCTACCTTGTGAGAAGACCACGGACAACTTGTCATGCCTTTGGGGCGCCGCTTTTTGAGAGAGCCCATATGGCGTGCTAGAGTTTACACTGAGCGGGTGATTAATTACACACAAAACGGGCAATATCGGGACGCTTGATAATTGACCTACCCGGAAAGATCTTGTGTCAGTCGGGAGAAATATGATGATTTCAAATGCATTGTTGATACCGCATCGGGGCCTTGCATAGGCTCGAAGACCCAGGAATAAAATTATGAAAGTCGGGAAGGGTATGGGGGGAGAGCTACAATTATAGCTGAAAGTCACAAGTCCGCAATATCCCACAGCTCTAGATGATCAACACAGGACGGCGTTTGGATCGGTCGAACAAAAACCATCTTCGAGGCAATCGGCCTATTTACGACGACACTCTGCGATTCGCTTGTTGCTCGTATATCGAACAGGATGCGTGAGGCAAGAACGCTGTGCACAACTACCTGCGGGCTTGTCTGACTCAGCATTGAATGGAGTTGTTAAACCATGATAGGATTTACCAATAGAAAATACGAGAATATGATAACTGGGCAAACTAATCAGAAGGTTATCTTACGGCCCGAGGGAAATTACTCACAGGTAGCTTAACAGTGCCGATGCAGTTCACCATAGAGGCCACTGCACAAACTAAGGCTGTGATCCTGAACATAATCTATAAGACTTACGAGCAATGCACAACATGGAAATTACGCCATCCTGATATACAGTAACAACCAATGGAGTATTTTCTTGTCGGTAAAATTTGAAGCGTTCGTACAGTGTCAGGGACATCAATACTGGGGAAGGTCAGTGGCCGCTGGGTAAAATCGAAATGGTACACACCAAGCTGATAGGTCATGTGCATACCATATATAATACCTATAAACCGTTGTCCCTCGGGCACGCCACATATAGAATCTGGAATATGGGGTGAGCAGAAGAAATGTGAAGGGGGAGATACAGACTTCCGTATTTACTTGAAACGACATATAGAACCACTAGTGTAGCTGCTATTATGACCTAGAATCATTGATGTGTAATATTGTGAGCAACAAGACAATGGTCAAGAGGAGAGCTAAAGTTACCGTACTGAAAGATGCCATCGCGATCAAGATCTTCTTTTCGCCTCCACAAAACGCGTGCGTCCTAGTCACGAGCAGGACTTAAAAGACGTCAGTGGTACAAACAATTTAAATCGGAATTGATACTGACCGGCAGCGGCAGCAACACCCAAAGTGTTCATGGCTAGTACAAGCATTGGGCATTCATCGATTTAAGTGAAGGTATGATATACGCAACTGCCATTTACAAAAATGTACCGCTCAGAATTTGCCTGAAACATTGTCAAGTATACTTGAACTCTGTCACAATAATTCATGCTTACGATTCCTCCGTGAATTGACTCGATGGCGTCTATTAGAGGGATTCATCAGTGAATGAGATAGCATGTCACAACTACTCACAATATAGGTACATCGGGACAGTTACAACTGGCAGATAACGAGAAATTACAAAGGCTATCCTCACGATCCCCCACTTTCTCCCCCACGTCCAGCGAACCTAGCATTACGTCAAATTTGTGCATGACCATTGAAATATACTGACCTCCGAGTCGAAAGTAATGCAGAAGTCGAAAAGCTGAGGGGGAAATTGGTTATGATTGCGATATGATTGCATTATAGTCGTTCCTCCTTACCAGAGCTGCTGTGGATGCGACTGTCCCAGGAATTCAGTCATGCAGAAACAAAACAAGAATCCGAGTGTGGACTACCTTCGACATACTGAATTCAAGTGAACAAATGAAGGCTAACTAATGAGGTGGGGTACGCACTGTGACAGTTTGCCAATGTCCCACGAGATCCGCACAGTCACCCATCCTTAGCTAAGTTGAAGGAACGACTGTCTTTCTTCTATATGGCCTTCCTAGGGGAGGCTAGAGCTAAGTGGGCTATAAGCAACACAAATTTGGCATTCCCTTTGCTGAGAGACACATACTTATACTCTCCATTGCATAGACTCGATAAATCGCATCAGTACGTGGCTTGCCCGGGTATCCACCAGCACTGCAGATGGTCAGCGACGGCATTAGGTACACTTACACGGGAGGACGCAGATCAGTGATGAGTTCAAAATTCAGCAGGTATGCGATAGCTCTGCTGCATGATGTGAGAATTGCTCGAAAACTTAATCGTTTAAAAACTCAATCTCTCCAATTTCATATGTTGACTTCCTAAGGAATCATTACGTCAGCCGCATGAGAAAAATGTGAATGCTTCCTGTCTGCAAGCAGGCGGGGGCATTTATGTGATTGTCCTGATTGATGCTCGATGCAGCAGAACAGAAGCTTGACGAGGCCATTATAAAGCACGCGGGGTGAGAGGATTCAAGTGCCGTGTCAATGGTATTGTACCAATGCGCTCGTTACCCTCCGAGTTCGCACCGCTCGTTGCCTCCGGGTCGGTACTCGCAGTCAACGGGGTCGCCGTAAGCATTCACGACACCCATCAAGGTGCCGTCTTGAGTCCAGAAGTATATCACGTTGCCAGGGCTGAAATATCTTGATGGCCCTGGCTTCCAGAGATCACGGGGGTCTGCGATGAATTTACGGAACTACATGTTGAATCCACATACTTATTTGACATAGTAAGATGCACATTGCATTGACGCCACAGATCCGTAGGGAACGTTGATGATTAGGGCCGTGCAGCCCAAGAGCAAGCCTGCATCTTGATCTCACGACGATGCCGCTTATTTGCGTGATGACCAAAAGAATGAGGGCAAAATAACAGGCCTGTTACAGGCGTGAAAATGCTGCGCCAAACTGCTGCGGTAATTGCCGCGATGAGTCAGCACTTTGAAGGACTTGAATCAAGTCTCGATCTCAGCACTGAAATTTGAAAGCCAAATTGTAGTGTGCCCCGCCGTTCTAGATTTCAGATATGATACGAAAATTCACCTCTGAATTTAAAGTATTAGTATATTTTAATGCGAGTCTGCAATATAATATGATGCGAAATGACCCATCTGAAGGATATGTTACCATGTATTATACATTGTACTTGAGTTCTGATATTTTCCAGCAAAGTCAGTTAGTCACGGTGTCGTGGCACTAGTACTGATCGCAGCAGGCACCGCAGGTGCCACCCTCTTTCCTTTTATGGGGGTTGTTGGCAGGCTCAACCTGCCAACAACCCCCATAAAAGGAAAGAGGTTGCTGCGGCGTGACCGCAGGCTGTCCGGTGCATGCTTGACCAGCTTGACCTGCCTATTTATGTTGTGAGTAGATGTGCATTGAATTGATCAGTGCTGCGACGAGTCTCAAGTGCTTGCAAGCCTTACTGGGCTTATTTTGACGAGTTCAGATACCAACATTGAAAGCACCATCAAGAGGATCCATTATTGCAGGAGAAGGCACCCGCCGCCCACGCCAAGCGCCTTCATGCACAAAAATCCGATATCAAACAGACGAAATATACTAATGCTGATCTACCCGAGCACTAGGATAATTAGCCTGATGGAAGTTATGGCTGCTTGTTTTCTACCTATCAGGCAAATTTCTTGATAGAACACAGCAACCGAGGAGGCGATATGGGGCGATTTTCCCTGGCAAAATGGTTTTCGAACTTGACATAAGTACGTGTCTTGGAATCATCATTTACGACTCGCCATGCGACTTGCCAAATTATCACGCGCCTTGCCACACGCAAAGACAAGCTCGTCAGTCAACTCCACACTTCTTGCCGTGACTACTCAGAAAAGCTGGCTCATCAGAAATTTTCCGACAAAGTCACATCCATCATCTACCACGAGTGCCAGAGCCTAATTACCAAACGCGACGTCCATTATTTTGTGATGCTACGACGCGTGATTATAATAGTTGTTTTGAACGCGAAGGTTAACAGGGTTTGTGAACGTTGAAACGTTGACAGCTAATTATATTACGAGCTCGAGGGCTCCTCAATGAAAATTTCTTTGAATTCATTGTACACACAACCTTTCGATACCAGTACATTTTATAGCTCATGCTCACCCAGCCCCGATCGCGAGCAAATCCGCGAAACATCGTCAAATAACCACATCCGCCTTATTCAAAATTCCTTCCTCTATCGCTTTAATTTCTACATTTGCTATCATCAGCGACGCTCTATATGCCACAAGGAAGGAACTCACGCATGGCCAAGTGGAGACTGTGGAAGCGCGACAGGGCCAAATTACCTATTCATCAAAAAAAATGAAACCGACGCGCCCATAACAAGAACGACACGCATACCATTTGCGAACCACAGACCATCATGCCCACAGTACCTCCATACTCCCGCAGATTGCCCTTCTTCGTCCATACCCCAGACCTTGGTGATTTTTGATGCGACTTCATCTCCGCAGACCTCACGCATAAAATCGCGGGGATCACCATAACTGCGGGCAAGTGTGAGCTTAACTCGACAGAGTGAAAAATTATCATACCCCGTAGCAAACACTATGACGTCTGCTTGCAGTTCGGTGCCATCAGCAAATCTGAGGCCATTTTCCGTGAAGGACTCGATTGCGGATCCGTTCTTGATTTTGATGGCTCCGTCAATAATACTTTTACTCGCTCCGGTGTCTGGAAGCTGTTGAGAGACATTCTTGTCGTGCATCAGAGGCACACGCACCGATGTAGTAGCCACCACCGCGCTCCAAGAAAAGGGACATGATACCTGCTCCATGAATGCCAAAATTGGTCTTGAAGCCAACTTTAGCCAATCCATCTAGAATATCCCTGCGATTATGATTAATGCATCTGGAAGTGAACCTTCGAATTGTCTGGCATACTTGTCGACGCTCTCGGCGACCATAGGAACCATACGTTGATGCAGCCGCCTAACAACTGCCCAAGGTAGCGAGGTATTATAAGTATCAGCTAGCTCGCTAGGGAAGTCGTCCTTATAGACCGCTGGATGAGAAAAGTCAAGCCAAGCTACCAAAAATTGGGGAAACAATTACCGCCCAACATTGCTGCCACTGACTGCGTCGAGATCACGAACGTCGACGACCGCTGATACCTAGTAATCGGTGAGATATGAAATGACATTACTAAAGGACACATGCATTGTGATGTCAACGCCGTGATTGCAGAAATCTTGAGCAATGTCGTGTGCTGATGAAATATTTAGACCTAATTCGATACGAGAGATGTGACGAACCAACCAGAGTTGCAAGAACCGACCACAATTGCTTTTTTACCGATATGATCAGCTGCGGATTTGAACTCTGACGAGTGCACGGCAGACCCTTTGAAGCTTCCCTGCGTTCATGAGTTTATATGTCGATCACTTAGCAATCGAGCGTCGCATACCTTCCCGGGGATGTCGGGAAATTTGGGGCGACCGCCAGATCCAGTGGCAAAAACGAGGTGCTTAACGGTTAGAACCCTAGTACCTTCACCGCCGCGGTTGACCTCGACAGTCCAGGTTTTCGTGCTATCGTTCCAAGATGTCTTGGTGATCGTTGAGGCAGTCCAAACGTCGAGCTCAAGGAATTTAGCATATCCTTCCAACCAGTCTGCCAGCTGTTCCGACCAGAATCAGTAAACATTCATTATGTGAGTAATATTGTACTTTTGCTGCCGGAGTGTACATTGGCCACGTTGGTGGGAAGCTGGAAAACGCATCACGAAAGAATCAAAAGTTCTGACGGATCACCCACTTCAGGTAAGGTGTTTGGTTGTACCCTGTAAGTTTGTCAGTCGATCCCTCTCCGTGGAAGAAAAATTCACAAACAAATCGTATCATGCAGACAAAGAGCCTTGTAACGGTCTCTCCACTACGAAACCGTCCTTGAGCCTTTAGTTGAACACCAAAATTGAAAGAGGACGAACGCTGTCCCCGACCCGAGGCTTCTTATCGATGACCAGCGTGGGTATGCCAATGTACTTTAGGCGTGCGGCGGTCTCAAGGCCAGAGTGCCCTGCACCGATGACAAGCACTGTTGGGTCATTGTTCGAGAACTCAATCTCTTGGCGCCGCTTCTCTTCCCAACCACCATGATCGGCCTCTTTGTTTCTGAGGGGACCGATCTTCCACAGAGTCAACAAGTGCTCATGGAGGAACGTGAATGCACACCTTTTGAGGGAAGTCGGTCAACGCATCAAGACAGGTAAACAGAGTGTAGGCCTTCCACTTTGAATCTGGAAGGGGAACGAGATAAACAACCCCAGTACCCTTGCCATGCTTGGTGGTAAAACCAAAGCAAAGCCGCACCCAAACAAAATCGTGGTATACTTTTTGCAGCACAGGTTCATTCAAGGGCTCCCGTAAAAGACACAGCTCGTGTAGACCCGTAGCAACGAGACGAGCATCCAAGAGTTTCTTGATGTCCTTGCTTCCTTCGAATGTCCTGAAATCCCAAGTCAATGCGATCACATCCTTCCAGAAGCCGTCTTCAAGAAAGAGATCGATAACAGCTGCGGTGTCACTTTGAGTGATTGCAGCTGAGAAAGCGTTGAGCCACTCGGTGGCTACCTCAGACGGGGAGACATTAGAAGGGTCAGTGACACCCAGCCGATCCAGTGTGGGTAAGCGTTGGGGAAACGGGTCAGTTGCCATACTGAAAACTGAGATGTGCGGATAGATAATCTGAGATCGGCTTAGAGTGATGGCACCACAGATTCTTCAAAACATCCTGATTTTTAACGTCAATTTTACGGTCTAGGCCACCTAGACTCCATAGATCACCAAAGTTACCCATCAGAGAACATCACATGGACAGTCGTGACAAAAAGAAGATCAGAAACTGAACCAATGGGTGTAAGACTTTGACGGCTGGCCCTGATAAGGATGATGACACGGTGAACGCTGAAAATGACGTACGCGGTCGTGACAGGTCGTGACGTGGCATTGACGCGACACTATCAGCGTATATATATAGATCATCATGTCGCTTGTCCCCCGCGTTCTTGATGTATCAAAGCTTCCTCACCTTGTTAAGCCCTTGATGCAGCTTCGGTACAACCACATCAATCCCCAACCGCGTCGTGTCAAACCTCATTCAGGCTGCGTCGTACGTCAAGCATTACCCATATCGCGACGAGATCGCGACAACCTCGTCCCCAACATCCATAGATACGGGGCTTCGGTATTTTGCGGCCAGTTACTACAGGAGCTGATCCCCGCCAAGGGGTAAAATCTATGCCACACTGGCATAGCCAGAGTGCCAGTCCTTCTACAGCCCGAGTAATTCAACATCGTGGTCCAGATCGTCCATCGGAAGTTCTACATCAAGTGCGAGGTTGTCTCATTAACACGGCTTGCATAGTACTCACCCATACCCGTGCAGGCCTCGAGTCTCAACGACCCAAACCCAAGTGTTTCATCACTCGTTTATTTTTGCGATCACTTACTGCGCACACGCACAATAGCATACTCCTGGGTTTAGATCATCGCATACCTGGACAATTTATAGTCCTCGCACTCGCATCAGACGGTGAATGGGTTCCTTTTCCTCCCACCTCTGAGTCCTCACCCACTCCTTCTTCTCTTACGATCACGCATGGATACACAGACGTACGTACCATATCCAAAAGCGTCTTCGCCCGCTCGGTGCGCACCGTCTGTCAATTGTTGAATATTTCTGGGTTCTCTCCAGAAAACTTTATCAATTGGCATGCGGCTTACATTTCAGAAACTAACTCACACAGCGGACTATGTACAAGACACCAATACGTTTATGGTGATGCAGGATAGCTTTCGGAATGGTGAGTTATTCTGACACAGCTCTCAAAGGCCTTGTCTTTTGACCCTACGTAGTAGCCCACCTTGAAATCGGTAGCTTCAGTGCACCTCGGTCCTTCCTACTATATACTTAATATCCACCGTACACAAATTGAATGCATTTGTCTGAATCTTTCATAGCAGCAAATGTTGAGCAAATGCAATGTATTCATCATATGCCCATCGCTCATTACACCACAACCTCAGAACCAAGTCCCGAGAAGCGTAATACATACAATATAAGTCTACAAAATCCACAATCTATCGTCTACTATCTCTTGCCCAGAGTTGCAAAACTTTTGACCCGTTTTTTATAACACAACAACTACACAACATTAAAATAAAGCAACAACATGAGCAAGTAGAATTCAGTACATACTGTAAGGCTCTGCAAAAAAAAATGTAGAAAAATGTTGAGGCCATGTTGCCAGAGAGAAGCCGGTGCGAAACAGTGTTTGAGCACAGAGTTGCAAAAATTCTCACCCGCAAAGAAGTCGTCGCGTCACACCATGTCACACCGCCGCTTTTACTCTCCGATGCCGTCAAGCACAATTGAGCGAAAATGGGTCCCAAATTGTGCAAGTATTGGCCGAGTTGCCGAGCAGCGATTTGTGACTCCGAACGCAATCTCACTCCTCTTGTCACGGATTGCATCTCGATGGTAATACATTTGTGTCTCTTAACACTACTTAGTTATCGTGTCAGAAAAAATTAGGATGATATAAGAAGGCAATGGGAAACCACTAGCGAAATTCCTGAATTTTTTGGTGCATGTGGTGGCTTCACTCTGATGGATTGGCGTGGAAAGTGCACATTCTGAGCAGTGTTTCACTGCCGCAAGCACTTCTCGTCTATTTTTCATAGAATAAAAAATACACGCAGTTAGCTATGGATCAATCATCCTCTAGAATCATTGTGCTAAGGAAATAAGTGAAAGTTGAGTGTGCTACATCGTGATTTGCAACTCCGGGCCATTTTGCAACTCTGGGCAAAAGATAGTATTGTCTCTCGGAGAACTATAATGAATGGGGATGCGTGTTGGGGGAGGCAAGATGAGATAAATAATATTGTTATCAAGTATAATGAAACGACGAGGCAGTTGGGAAGGACGTCCGTCGTTCTTGAGCGATGAGGGAGTTGGTCGAGTAGGGATGATATATAGTGCTTTTGGTCCACGGAGGAGATGCGATGTTGAGTGAAGTAGTATGAGTTTGAGCTAAGGAGATGTGTCAATGTCCGAAGGACACGGCAGGAATGACACGCGAAATGCAACGCGAGTGGGAGGGGCATTCATCAACGCTATGATCCCTCACCGCTCTCCCTCCTCCACCGAGGAATCGGCACCCTCAACCGTAGACCATCCAGTGCATCGTGTGTACTAGAAGGCCCATCGCGTGGAATTGGGTGGAGACCGTCGTGCATGCCAGAACGCCGCCCGTCATGCAAGGTAGAAAGTGGCTCGTCGTACTGGACAGGATATCGCCCGTCGTGCAAGCTAGGATGCCGCGCATCGCGAGGAGAGTGTCCACCATCACGAGGAGAATGACCACCATCATACGGAGAACGTCTCCCATCGAAACTCAAACGCGAACCAGACCCCAACCCATCAAGTTGACCAGACCCAGCAGCCTCCTCATAACTCGGCAAACCTGCTAAACTCGATAACGGGGGAACACATCCCTGATATGCCACGCGATAGTCGGGCGCCGCATTCGCGTTCACGTTTTCTCCATCTAGAACACCACCTGCACTCCCATCTTGAACACCTCCCACGCTCTGTTCAACCCCATCCAGACCATCCAAATCCTCCCCACGCGCCCCACTACCACTACCACCACCACTCCCACCACTGGAATTCACCTCCGTCAACCCCCTCCCCCAAATCGCACTCTCCGCAATCTCCGCAGGAGGCGTCCGAGGGCTATGCGGCGAAGAAGGCGCACCGCTGAAATAAGGCGTCTGTGCTCCACTTCCACCGATACTAAACGCAGCACGCGGACGTGAATTTCCTCCCGTATTCGAGGTTCCTCCATGTGCATATTCGAGCGGTTGAAGTGGCGATACCAGATTTCCGAATGATCGTGAATGGGGATGGGGATGGGAATGGGTAACTCCACCTCCGCCCATACTCACACCGCCAGATCCAGCAGAAACAGATAGACCCCCATGCCCAGACACCCCATACGACCCACTAACACTCGTCATCCCTAACCCATGCCCATGCCCGTGCCCGTGCCCGTGCCCACCGGTCATCCCCACAAGACTCGAGTGGCTCCCGTTCCTCGATCCTCCACTAAGCCACCCATGAGGAAGTGGCTTCATCGCGACAGTCAGCAACGTGCCTCGCGTACGGGATGCAGGCGGTGAGTGGGTGTATGTTTCAGGACCTGATACCACCGGAGGTCTATGCGTTTCTGAACCAGATACTACAGCCTGAGCAGGTCTGTGCGAATCCGGGGCAGAGATAGTTACAGGTGGCCCCATCGCTCCCCATACACGCCGCTCGGGACTAGGCGCGCGCGAAACAAGCCGACTTGGAACTTGGCTCGTAGGATCAGAATTCGAGTGCGGTGAGCGCGGACGACGGGATAATAGTTCTGAATTGACCCAATCGAGTACGCCGTGTGGAAGTGTATGCCCCGGTCCGTGACCGTGTGCATGCGCATGCGGGTGTGGAGGTGAACTTGTTCCTGAACGCGGCAGGAGGGATGGGCTGGTGGCACTGCCTGGTGTATGGGAGATGTGGGGTGCTGTGGATACGTACGGGTTGGCGACACGCACGGTGGATCCAGCGGGTAGGAAGGCGTTGGCGACGCGGTCCCTGACGTGGGCGGTGTAGCTGGGGAGCGTCTCACCTTCCTCCTCGTTGTCTTCTCCTTCCCCGAAAATGCCAGTGCCAGCGCTCTCGCCTTCACCTTGGACGTGATCGCCCAAGACGACGCGGCGGACCCAGCGCCCGCCAGCACGAGCCTCTGCAAGGAGACGGCCATCGAGTATGGTTAAGGGGAGGCTGCAGCGGAGTTCAGAAGTGTGCCCGTCGAGGTTTGACATGAGGATGGACCAGCGTATGCGGTGTGAGATGTGGATTGGGTCGAGAGAGTGGGACGGGGGGAGGGTTGGCGGAAGGGTAAGGGAGAGCGGGGAGATAAGGTCTGTTAAGGTGAATTCATCTAGAGCAGGGTCCGTGGGTTCGTCGTGTGAGGGATCGTGATCATGTAAAGGGACAGTGGAGGAGCTTGCGGTTGGCTGAGGGTGAGAGTGGGAAGAGGACGAAGAGGGTGTGCTGGGGACTTGACGGAGGGATAGATCGGGTGGATTAAAACTTGATGGTCTATCCTCCATGGCAGGGGATATGGGCGCACTGACACCGGTAGAACCAGGAGGGTGCAATGTAGCACCTGGGCCGAGGGGTTGCCTGATGCCATACCAACTTTCGCTAACGAGGTTGAGTTTGCCATGAGCGACCTCATGTTTTGTAGCGACGACGGCTCTGGTGTAATCGCTCCCCCTTGAAGGAATCTTCACAGTTTCATTGATGTTAGTGAGGACGCTGAGGACGCGGACACCTTTGGCGAGAGGGATAAATTTGCAGAGTGCGGTGAGGGTATCACCAGCAGCCCAGGCGCGATGGGGGAGGACGAGAGTGTACATGAGTTTTTCAGGCCATGTGTTCTCTATTTCGAGGGTCTGCTGAAACTCGAGAGAATCTGCTGCGAAGCTTCGCATCAGGGTGACGGGGTGGGATGCGTGGAGGTTGTGTGCGAGGCCAGGACGGACGGCGGTTGCACGAAGTTTATAGGAGATGAATGAGGAGGGGTTGGTGGTGGGGAGGTAGATTGAGGAGGGGAGAGATCCACCAAGGGCGAGAGAAAATGGGAACAGGTGTTTACCTGCTTTGAGGGTGTGGGAGTGGCGTTTTTCGCCTTCGAGGAAGGACCAATCATATGTGCAGAGGCTGAATGTCTGCCCAGATGAGTTCAGGGAGATTCTAGGTGAATGTCAATCAGAGAAAGGTGTTGAAATGACCAAAAGAACGTACGGGTCGTGGAGAGGAGGCGGCACGCGGGTTTTGCCACGGAATTGGAGATTTATCTCCTTGATGGATGTCGCCTCGGAGAGAGTGAGGACGACATGTCCAGAAAGCAAGGCAGGCTCGACGTCTACTGTTGTGCCTTTTAGTGCAAGGACCTCAGAGTCTAGGACGATGTCTATGCGAGACTTGTCAGGTGGTGGGTGATGTGATCTGTCTTGGTGAACCATGTCGTCGTGTACACGACTGAGAGCAGCGTGAAGAGCTGTGCTAAGATGGTCATCTACAGGAGTAGAAGGAGGTAGTTGAGGAGAGGACGGGCGTGTTATACTGAATGCCATCTTGGCGAAGAGACCCTGGTTAGGATGTTCCTGTGGATTGGAATTTGAGAAGAGCATGCCAGCTACGAATAGACGCGCAACTCACCTAGTGCTAGTTGTCCTAGTCCTCAAATTTATAGGATACCAATACTTCTTAACAATAGTGAGCGACAAAGGAGACGCCGACCGGGCCAGACCTTGAGTCATTCTTATAATAAAACTCACCTTGCAAATGTTCGTCCGAACGATGCCGCACAGGACGAGCCGACTGGTAATTCCTGATCCGGTATACGGCAAGGATCGACGAACCCCTTACACGCGGAAGTTCCCGAACTACTAGCTCGCTACAACGCCTGCATCCAAGCTTAGACACTCAAGAGAGACCTGCTCAAATGGAAATGCGGCCTTCGGTCCAGCAGCCAGCCTGAACGTTATCCTACGTACGTTATCTCGTCCTTTGTTCCCATTGTCAATTACGGTGTTGCTAGTCAACACTTATCTCCCCTTTGTCGCAGTTTTGCATTCTAGGGTTCTGTCGTCGCATGGGCCCAGGCTACATTTTCGATTTCCTCGGTAGTCCTACTACCATGTTCGCACAAAATGAAAGGCACATTTATCTTCCATTTCATCAATGAGTGTGTTACTAATTATCACTGGCAGGTGTTATCTTCATGTCGCTAATCTCACGTCTCGAGTCCATTTCCATGATCTCGGTATCATCCTGTATATCAACTGAGTCTCGCCAACGAACAACTCATCCATTCTATTACACCACTAACTATTTCATTACATTACTCGCCCTCGAACTCTCCACCACTTTGATGCAAGCCCAGACTCATTAAACCAGTTCACCACTACAACGTAGCCACGGTGTGTTATATTTCATTTGCTGTCCGGTAACACAAGTAGCTCAAGGCCGTGCTTATCGAGCCAGATCCAGCTCAATCACAGCCCGGCGCTTCTCAGTTAGCGCGCGCCCGTCCAGCCCCTTCCGAGGTTTCTCCGGGTCCTTTGTGTGCCAGCGCACTGCGATACTCCTTCCGGTGACGCCATCTCATCTCTAGTGGAAATCTATAAAAATCCTCGTTAAGTCCGATAAGTAGCGCACAAGAATCTACAAGAATGCACTGCAGCAGCACAGCGACATACATACTCATCCTGATTCACACGTCATGATACTATAATAAGATCGTAAGTCCCTCTTTCTCTCTTTCTTTCGTTCTTTCGACTACAGTTTTGCCACTGGTAGTCTGTTTACCCGATCACACCCGTTATCTCCTCCAGTGTTGCTGTGTTCATTAGGTTATGCACAGCGTGGTTCTCTCTTTTCGATCGCCGTGGTTCACCCGATGCCGCCATTCTTGCACGCAATATCGCTATTTGGTACTTACTCCGACCCGACGAGTCGATGCCCATTGACAAGCGAGACAGTTACTATCGCTCCATAAAGAGTAACGACATCCACGGCCACGAACAAGGTAAGATCGCACGCTGGATGGGCGCCAATCTCACGCTCGATATGCACTTGATATGCGTTGATTTTGCTTTTAGGTTTTGACATGCCATTGGATTCGGTGATCCTTCTTTCGAAAGCCCGTAGACAACGAGAAATGACTCATACTGTGATGGCCGTGCGTTCCGCATTGGTTTCTGACGGGCTGAATGCTCGAAACGCTCAAGGGGATTCTTTTTTGTACCTCTTGTACTTATTAATTAGTAATTTAGAGGTATTCCAAAAAGCCCCTTGAGTGAAGTCTCTCGTGGATATACGTGAAGGGAAATGCACAAGGTATAAGTACTGTCCTCGTTCCAAAAATACTGAGACTGACGAATCATGAACTTCACAGGATTCGTGGATCGATGCTGCGTCATGCACAATTTGCCTAACTTAAATCAACGCCATATGTTTGCACTTCCTGCGTTCGGACCTCTTCGGAATTGTGTTCTTTCGGAGATCGCTCGGACTTTGGACGCTAAATTGATGACTCGTCGGGTGGAACCGGGAAACAATTGGCCTGCTGCTGAATGAACTTAGTCTGCGTCCAGATCTCATGCACATGGACGACCTCACCCTTGGTGAAGAAGGAACTACTGTTTGCCTTCTATCAAGGTTACTAAGGGAGACTCACCTGTCTCTATCAAGTAATCGTGAGGTTTGGTGCGGCGCCCACAAATCTCGGCGCTTTGATACTGATGTAGATCTGCTCCTCCCCAAAGCCGCACTAACCACCAGCAAGCCGCTATCTTCTAATGTATTTCTTCTCCCATCAGAATTGGCCAGTTTAAACCGCTTTGTCCACCATCCTTCGTTCCTTCGCTCCCTCCCTTGTATTAAGTCGCCGTATTTGCATTAATAGACTATTGGAGGATGCTCGACTTCACATTTCAACTCAAGGCCATAAAAGCATTCGTCACTCTCATTTTGGCAGGCAATATCCTCCGCGCTATCACGCTTGCATCTTCTTCCATGACCTCCAGGACACAATTTGCCTGTTCGGAAACCCTCTACCAAGAATCAAGCGAGCACATAAAATAGACTACTCTCTGGGCCTACGTGAATGGTAATAACAAACACATTACAGCCAATCTCAACAGTTTGCCGAATGGATCAATACTATGAGCCCATCATCTTGCAGTACTTGAACACAATGCAAAAACAAAAGTATCGTGTAGACATGATGTGAATAACTGAGATCTACTAGGTAGGACGAGGGAATGAAAGCAATCAGGATAACAGAAAATGCGATAACATGACGAATCAATCAAACTAGACACCTATGTGAACAAACACGATCTGCTGTTCTAGTGGAATCTTCTTGCGCAACGATTTCACAGCCTTGTGCAATGCTATAGCAGCCCGTGTACAGTCCAATCTCCCTGAGCCATCGACCAGGTTGCGGTAAAAAGCGGAAACAACCTGTCGTGCAACCTCGTCGTCGACAGACCACATGGAACCTATCACGCTGCGAAATCCGGCGAATTGCATCGCCGCAGCGAGATGTATCGACTCGTCGGGACTCTTTTCATGGCCCACAGTAGTATGGCAAGCCGATAAGAATGCAAACTCCGGGTTCTGCCAGTTAGACCGGATAATGTCCTTGATCATCAACGGCCCATCGCGCATTGCGAAGGAAGAATCAAATGATTGTGCCCGATTTGGCATTCCATGGCAAGCTAGATGAAGCCACTGATTGTGATTTAATGCATCAAGTGCACCCTGGACTGTTGCGTCGCTATCCTCGAGTGATGTGAAGGAGACGACGGGCCCGAGACGCTGAGCGACGATGGCTAACTCAGGAGCGACATGGCGGAGTTCCTTCCCTCTGTCCGGATTCGCTTGACCGATGGCAACAAAATGTTGTGCAGACACCTCTTGAGAAACCCGTCTCGCCCGAATGAGTGTCGCCAAAGTGGGGGTGTAAGAGGAGATATAAATCTGAGATAAATTGTCTTTGTTCTTCTCGTACGGTCCTGCTGCATGTAGAGGAAGAAGCGTGAACTCAGCAGTGGGACACCACCAGATACGCGAGCCATGGTGAATGTTAGATGCCCTAAGAGCTTGGACCACGGGGTCAACAACACAATCCCAAAGCTTGCGGAGGATGCTTGCGAGCTTGTTTTGATAATTAGAAGTACCAAATTGTTCTGTGAGGGACTGAAACTCCGCAGACAACTCGGAGACTTCAGTCTGCGGAATATCGAGTGGAACGTGGACAGGATCTTGTTCGCTGAAGATGATCAAGGCGTCGCAGCCATATCGGCTTGCATTGATGATGACGACAGGACCTTCCTCAGCGGCTTTCTGGAGGTCGGAAAACAGTGGGGGCAGGAGAAACCGAGAAAAGTCAGGCAGCATGCGGATGCGGGAGACGACATCATTCCATTGCACGGTCAGTTGTCGGATTTGTGGGGACGGCTCTTCAGTAGACTGATTGAACGCGCTACGAAGGCCAAAGCTCAGCTGCTTGAACTCTTTCTCTAAGGCTGCACCCGTGTCACCGGATAGCAAAAGTTCATTGAGCGGTGAGCGTAAGCGTGCCAAATGGGTCCAGAATACTGCACGGCCTTGCTCCACCATTTCCACAGCAGTTGTCAACGCACCATGACGAACACTGCACGAGAAGGCATCCATGGCAAGCGAAGCAATAGCCGTCCTGACGACATCAAAATGACGTGGAGAAGATGATGACAATATAGTAACATGCTGATCTAGGAATTTCAATGCAGTTAGATAGGCAAGCATTGCAGAGTCATGGTTCCTCTCCTCAGCAGAGGTGGCCCATGACTTGGCAGCAGTAAGATCCCTATGAGAGACTGCATGAGATAGGTAGGGGAGTTCCACATACAGCCTGAATGCTTCATCCAGGTCAGACGGGATGCCCCGCTGCTCGAATCTGTTCTGAAGGCTGTTGGCAAGATTGATGAGAGTTGTTGATCGATTAGAATGACCGGGGGGACAAAGGAGTAGTGCAGCCCGATGGAGCTCGATGGCCTCATCAAGGTCAGACATGACGCCCTGCTTCTTGAATCTGTTTTGAAGACTATTGGCAAGATTGTTGAGAGGCGTTGATCGCTCAGAATGACCGGGGGGACGAAGGAGTAGTGCAGCCCGATGGAGCTCTATGGCCTCATCAAGGTCAGATGTGACGCCATGCTGCTTGAATCTGTTTTTAAGACCGTTGGCAAGATTGTTGAGGGGCGTTGATCGCTCAGAATGACCGGGGGGACGAAGGAGTAGTGCAGCACGATGGAGCTCTATGGCCTCATCAAGGTCAGATGTGACGCCATGCTGCTTGAATCTGTTTTGAAGACCGCTGGCAAGATTGTTGAGAGATGCTGATCGCTCAGAATGACCGGGGGAACGAAGGAGTAGTGCAGCCCGATGAAGCTCGATAGCCTCATCAAGGTCAGACGGGACGCCCCGCTGCTGGAATCTGTTTTGAAGGCCGAAGGCAAGATTGTTGAGAGACGCTGATTGATCAGAATGACCAGGGGGACAAAGGAGTAGTGCAGCTCGATGGAGCTCGATGGCCTCATCAAGGTCAGACGGGACGCCCCGCTGCTGGAATCTGTCTCGAAGGCCGAGGGCAAGATTGTCGAGAGACACTGATCGACTAGAATGACCGGGGGGACGAAGGAGTAGTGCAGCCCGATGGAGCTCGATAGCCTCATCAAGGTCAGACGGGACGCCCCGCTGCTTGAATCTGCTTTGAAGGCTGTTGCCAAGATTGTTGAGAGGCGTTGATCGCTGAGAATGACCGGGGGGATGAAGGAGTAGTGCAGCCCGATGGAGCTCGATAGCTTCGTCGAGGTCAGACGGGACGCCCTGCTTCTTGAATCTGTTTCGAAGGCTGAGGGCAAGATTGTCGAGAGACACTGATCGACAATAATGACCGGGGGGACGAAGGAGTAGTGCAGCCCGGTGGAGCTCAATGGCCTCATTAAGGTCAGATGTGACGCCCCGCTGCTGGAATCTGTTTCGAAGGCTGTTGGCAAGATTGTTGAGAGACGCTGATCGCTCGGGGTGACCGGGGGGACGAAGGAGTAGTGCAGCCCGATGAAGCTCGATAGCCTCATCAAGGTCAGACGGGACGCCCCGCTGCTTGAATCTGCTTTGAAGGCTGATGGCAAGATTGCTGAGAGACGTTGATTGATTAGAATGACCGGGGGGACAGCTCTGCAAGGCCGCTCGACACTTTTCCACCCTGTCCGCCATATGTGCTATCGTAATCAAGATACACGATTATTGACAAGAAGATAGGGAGAATGAAGCCAAAGAGCGCAATTGGGCGAAAACAACACTGTGCCTTTCATGAGTACAAAATCCAGGTAGATGTTTGCGATGCGCACGCACAGAAATTCGAGCACTGAAACCTGTAGAGGAAATGATATGAGATGATATGGCTGAACTTGTGTATGTAATCATAGGAACTAACACTTACATGCATGAGGTGACAGCCACGTATACAGGAATTTGCAACTCACACCGAGATAGGCTTGTTCAACGTTCAAACGTTCAAGTCCCAACTACAGCCCTGGGGCACGAAAGATTGGTAAAGTCGTGGCGAACTCTGCTAAGTACTATACGTACATCAGTGTCTGAGGCTGTGTCAGTATTTGTGATTCACAATATTGTATCCTTCTTTTTTCGGCATGTTCTAGCTTATCTGGGATCTATCACCTTTTCTCCTTCTTCCCACCCCGCTGCCTTGTCCCGTGCACTACCGCCCTGCCTGGTACCACTGTCGGGCGGCCGCGATGGGAGCAGGCCCCTGAAAAGGATGATTGTCCTCGTGGCACAGACAGCAGTACCTGCAATATGGATGATCATCTTGAAAAATGCTGGGCGCTGGGCGCTGTTGGCGTAGCAAAAAAGGATGAGCATGGTGAGAAATGCATATGAGCAAAATAGATAAAACGTACGCCCGAATACGACATTCCCCAATGCTGTATCTTGCGTGCGGACGCTGGCCAAGGGGGAATGATAGGAACTCAACAGCTTACCTAGAATCCTCCAGCGATGTATTCAATTCTCAGGTACTGCCCACTCTGTGATTGTCTTGTCGGTGTTACCACCGAGGATCTGCTTACCATTCAGAGAAAATAGCGTAGGACAAGGACGACCACTCGCCATATTCAAATGTAGTGACAGATTGTCGACACGAGATCCGTGAGATGTGGATACGTTCATCATAAGCCGCGTATACGAGGGTGCCAGCAGGGTTTCAACCCGCACCCAACCCGCGGCACTCGGGAGGTAAGGTTGCACATTGAGACCCAAGTCATATGGACAATGTCGATTCCTCAGCATCGGACCGGCAGCTCAAGTGAATGATGCGCTTTTTCTACAGAGTGATGCGAAGCCAACTACCGACTGGACTCGGTGGGAGCGTTCAACACCAAGCCAGTCCAGCCTTAAGGACGACAGAAATGTGAACACTGTTTTACAGACCTAAATTCCTTGGTACGGAGCGTCTTATTGTGCATGAATGTCGCCCCATTTGTGAACTATTATAGGGGACTCGCCTTCTTTGTTGACGGCTGGACTATTTGGTGATGATATCATAATCGTGCACGCACAGGTTCCAAGGTGCTGCATACAAATCGTGACATACACCATGATATGTCGAAGATGCCGCGATTGTAGCTCATCAAATACAAATGTAACTGACCTGCATAACATTAATCAGAATAATACGATGAGGATGATAACACCCTGATGAGTCTGAGTAACACTTTACGCTGATACTGATTATTCATCGAGGTTGATTGCGCGGCCAAACCTGGCGTACAACGTAACTTTTAGTTCCTTCATCTCCTTTTCGCATTGTTCCGCGCCAGCTGATAAGTCTAAGACTTGTGCAGATATAGCCGCCTGGTCCTTTTCAAGTCGTTTCATCGCGCGGGGTTGGGGCAGGTGAAGGAAAGATTCGCCGATCTTGTATCTGATTATACGGTCAATAAAGTCAGTCCTTGTTCATGCGATAGCACGATCTTCAGACGCACAGCACACTTTCGTCCTCGTCGGTAAGCTCGAGCTCTGTAGACAGGTCATCCAATGCTTCCTTCTCTTGCTGAACTATCATGAGACTAGAACAAGTGTTTGCCTTGCCAACACACCTTGAGTTCCTCGAGTCGTTCCTCTATACTCCTGAGACGAGTATTTAGTTTGGAGAACGTGTTGATGCGTTGCTGATCCTCTACAAGCACTCAATTGACTGACGCCCTGAGTGTCAAAGACAGAACACACCCCAAGTAACCTCAGTTCCATCGTCGTTCTCCTCCTCTTCTGCAAGCTTAAATGCATTTATTCAGTGATCCTCGCTTCATGATTAAATGTCAAAGAGATACCATCCGCATGTTGTTCATGGTGGTGGTTCGGAAGCAGATTATGAGCTCGGCAAATTGATCTGCTGCCGGAGGGCGTCAAATATAAAACTGATGCTATTAGGCGACCTGCTGTAACTTGTCACAGGGACGGCTTGTGTTTCGAACTCACGCTCGTCTTCTACATATATACTGCGGAAGGCTCGCTCGTCGATTTCAACTAAAAATGTCTTCCCTCAAGCTTATTTTGCAAGACCCAGTGATCGTTAGGGATTTCTTGCGAACCAGGACACCATACGAGGCAGCAAAGACAGCACTGTTCTTCTATTTCGTCGCAACTCAATCCCTTAAGCTCTGCAGGCACGTCCAAGCTCGAGGCTTAACTGACTCTTTGAGAGATTCCTGGACATGGACATACAAGGTGCGTGGCTTTCGTGTCTTACTGCTTTGAGAGCTGACCGAAAGACAGCAAGTATTACTGCTAGCATTGAAAGTACCCTCAGTGAAGAAGGACGTTCAGGAGCAGTTGAACAAAGCAAGGCTGGATATTGAGGGCAAGCTCGTACCCCAGGGAGCCGACGTTTCGCGACATCTCGCTCTCCCAGACGAAGGACAGTCAGTGGAGTGGATATTAGCAGAGATGGAGAAAATGGATGGCGAGTTGGGTCCGCATGCTGATTGGAGACATGGGAAATTATCAGGGGCAGTCTACCGTGCGTCCATCACCTCAATGAAAGCCTTCCTATTATACCCTTTTAAACAGACGGGGGAGAGGCTTTGTCAAAAGTCATTGTCGCTGCTTTCGAGCGTTATACAGTTTCCAACCCTTTGCATCCGGACGTCTTCCCTGCTATCCGCAAGATGGAAGCTGAAATCGTCTCAATGTGCCTACGGATGTACAACAACCCTGATGGAGCTGGTACCATGACTTCAGGCGGTACCGAGTCTATTGTTATGGCTATCAAAACTTACAGAGACTGGGCACGAGAGGTAAAGGGTATCACGGACCCTGAGATGTGGGTATTGAGGCTTGTAATATGTGAACTACGGTCCTGATATTGATATCACAGGATTGTTCCGGCAACCGCTCACGCCGCATTTGACAAAGGCGGAGCGTACATGAAAGTCAAAGTTCACCTAGTTCCAGTAGACCCAGTAACACGAAAGGTAAACATGAAACGCGTTCGTAGAGCCATGTGAGTTTTCTTTCCTATGTCAATGATATGTTGCTCAGATGTTTTCCAATAGAAACCGCAACACGATCCTTGTAAGCATCTCCTTTGTCGCAGTAGTAATATTGAACACTGTTGTGCAGATTGTAGGGTCAGCTGTCAATTTTCCGGATGGAAATCAAGACGATATAGTTGCTTTGGGCGCACTCGCTGCAAAGCATAACATTGGTCTGCATGTTGACTGTTGCCTTGGGTCCTTCATTGTGCCATTCCTCGAGAAAGCAGGTCTTTCTGACGGAGAAGACGGGGGCGCAAGGTATAAACTCAGCCCGTTCGACTTCAGAGTCCGTGGAGTTACTAGTATCAGTTGTGACACTCATAAGGTAAATTTTCATCATTCAATTCAGTTGCGTGTAATTGACGAAGATGTTTCATTGTCATAATAGTATGGGTTTGCACCCAAGGTCAGGCTCCATTCATGTGCACCTCGTGAATGCTTACCGGATCTCATAGGGGTCTTCTGTAATCATGTATCGCGACGCTGCTTTGCGGCGTCATCAATACTACATCACACCTTACTGGACAGGTTCGTAATATCCTGGAAAACGTTCCTACCAACTTCAATTCTTTGCAGGTGGCGTCTATGCCAGCCCAAGTCTGTCAGGATCCCGGTGCGTTCATTCCTAGTTCCATTGTTTTTGCGCCTGACCTTTCATGCGCCCTTAGACCCGGTGCGTTGATCGCAGGAACCTGGGCAGCGATGCAATACATGGGATCGGAGTGCGTATTTTTGAATTCCATCTGATTTGTTCTTATAATTCTTGAATCCATTTCTTAGCGGTTATCTAAAGTCCTGCCGTGAAATTGTTTCATGCGCGCGTACGATTGCCAATACCATCACAAATTCCATCCCAGAATTGTATGTACTCGGCTCCCCACCCGCTTCTGTCGTCGCATTTGGGTCCAAGTCTCCTGAGGTGAATGTCCTTGAGGTCGGAGACGCAATGTCAAAGAAAGGCTGGCATCTTAATGCGCTGTCCGGACCGGCTGCGGTACATATCGCATGCACAGTAGGTTTCCTTGTTGTATTCTCCGCAGCCGTGGGGGACTGATTCATGTTCTTACTTGAAAGCGCCTTACGCTCCCGCTTGTTGATACGTTCATCGCGGATCTCAGGAAGTCTGTGGAAGAAGCCAAATTGGCACCGTCTGGGAAGGGGACGATGGTTATGCTCTACGGTACGTCTTAAAGTCGAATAATTGAATTTGTGGACAAGTTTTGTGACCCGGCAATGATGTCCACAAGTCTGCTGCTTTGTCCTATTTTCCCCCTTTCTTCCACCTTTGCTTCATCAACTGTCACGATCATGATGATGTATGGTTGACCTTACTACCCTTTTCAGGACTCGGAAAATCCAGCGCCGTCGGCCCAGATATGGTCAGCGAGGTCGCTACGATGTTCTTGGATACATTGTATAAGGCTTGAGGTACTCTTGTTTTGCTGCGTAGACACGGAGCACTCTTGTACATGTGGTTTGCATCTTTAGCATCTCGGAAGGATGTATTTTAATTGATTCTAGGTGCCTTACCATACTTCATCCAACGGCGGATCATGCATAATGCAATGGTATCGCAATTTCGTATGGAATATCTGTCAGCGTTAAGCCCACCGGGAGCTCTTTGTGTTTCTCGTTGGTTTCGAATTAAGCGCATTGCAATCAAGATCGATTGCAGGCATTAAAGCGTGAGTTTCGCTGGGAGGAAGTATAGGACAGTATTCAATTGAAACCAAATATCTTCCCACCACTGCTGTACATCCAGGCACAAACACACCCCAAAAACGCTCCCGATACCTGATATTCCAGGCCAACGAAACCAAAAAGGAAGATCGGCGCGTTCACTCCAGTATTAGTTGAGGCTCGCGCCCTCCCGTCAATTTCCATAACTCAAGATTCTACATAGTAACATTTAGTTAATATACCACCGGTCTTTGACATCAGCATGTGAGCCATCTCGTTCTAGATCTATGTCTATAACTAACCTCTGAGTAACCTTCTTCAGCTTCCATTCTCAAGGGACCATCGTTCCCTTCTGGTTTGTACCTATTTGATTGCCTATTGGTTGTACCCTAGTCTTGGAACTCAATTGTTGCACCCTGACAATAGAAACAGGGAGAGCATTTAGAGGGTGATTGAGTGGTGCCTGGTTATGCACAATTCTTTCATCTGACACGGAGTCCTCGGTCCCCTGTCTACGTGCCGGAGTCATGATATCGGTGCTCCCTCTTTTATCGGGTGGAATGCGCTGAAACCAAGCACTGGAATATTTGAAACAAGGCCGATACTCGGGCCTTTCCGAACTGCGTAGCGCATTCTACGTGTTCATTCATATTGCCATTTCAATGCCTCGAATTCCATATCATTAGTACCCGTTTCGATGGGTTTCATCTCAGCTCGGGCTGATACATAACACCAGATAAGTAAGTTACTCGAGCTTCCATTCCAAAGGAACCGTCATTCCCTTCTGGTCTGTTATGTTCATTCCCCGTTTTTCATACGCTGATAAGTTTTGGAAGAAAGCAGTAAATCAAATTCAGGTCGTTCCATGGCCCCTTGGGCCTACAGGCCGTCACGCTTTCCAGTGTAAAGTCCGGTGTAAAATAACTCACGGGCGAACGTCCGAGATCATACCTCAGATTCATCATTAATAACGTTCGCGTGCTGTGAATTGCGCCACGACGATTTGAGCGAACAAGAGGCTCTAGGAACGGTACTGAGTACTATCATGCATCGACCGTCTCCCCTTCCCTTTTGGTTTAATCAGCTCGAATGTCAGGCCTCAGGAGCGCATTTTGTCGCACCTCATGACGGATGAATGCCTTGTAAAAACCCGACCCGTCGGAGCGTTGTGAGTAATCATGAATCCAAATAATGTCATAGCCTCGATCGAACTGAGCAATGGCACAAAAAACCCATGTCAATCGTTTTGCATAATCATATGTCAAGTCCGAGTGTTTAGTACTGCCGGAATCACTTGCCGTACACTCCACTTTAGTCGTCAACACCACCTGGAGCAGAAAAATATTTAGAGAGCAGAGATGGAATAGCCGTTTCATATACAAAGAACCGTACAGCACAAGCTACAAAGTTTGTCGTATGTATGTGTATGTATGTTGATGGCGCTTGAAGGGGGCGCAAACATTATAATGAACACCTCAAAAGGAAGAAAAAATTGGGGGAGGGGGGACAAACTGAAAAAAAGTAAGAAAAAAAAGAAGATAAAACAAAAACCGTACGCAAACTTGAAAGAATGAAACGACGACGGCAGCAGCATCAACAAACAGTGAAACGTTGGACATGAAAAGAATACCATGAATATGTGATATGTGTGCACCCCGATATGTAGAACCAATGTACCGCCAAATACATGTGCGTACAAGAAATGAGACGATAAATGATATGTTTGGATGTTTGTTAGCTTATTCAGGACGGCGTTGGTAGCAAGGCTTGGGGCCTTGGAGGCTTCACGCGGAACTCGCTGATGATGCATATGTGACTATCAAGTATGTCAATAAAAATCCCACAATCCTAAAAGACAGGAAACTTACTCCGATGGGAAATGGGCATTCGGGAACCCTACTACTTTTTCCAAGTACCCTCTGTCCACTTCTCCCAGTACTGCATTCACAGCCAGATTTGCGGTTGAATACCATATATAGTCGATCTCGCCCTGGAAGCTCGGCGTATAATTCGTCAGGGGGAGTTCGCCTGCCGCCGCATTCGCGCTCTTGAGCCCCAAACGATGCCGCAACCCATCCGTGGTATACCGCCCATACAAATGACTCATAAAATCTGGATGGTCCGGCGGCACACTCCCGTTCGAGAGGAACTCATACACGCCCGAAGATGGGACGCTATTAAAGTCTCCGCAAATGATCAGCGGGATCTTGCTTCCATCGCTATAGACGGGTGCACGGGGCGTATCCGGCCTTGGGGGTAGCCGTGCAAAGTTCGCAGCGATCTTCTCGATCTCGTCGACGAGGAGTGCGGCTTGGACGAGCTTGACATCGCGATAGGCGGGATCCCAATGGATGTGCGCGTTCGCGAGAATGATGCGAGTGCCGGTTTCTTTCACCTCAAAGAGGCAGATGACGGCGATATGGTCTTTGCCTAACACTCGGTTGAACATGTCATCTGTTTTCTTGAAGTCGGGGCGCTGCATTGCGACGGTGCTGAATTCAATGAGCTGGCGTTCGACAAGGGAATATCTGATAAAGTAAATAAAGTCAACTTAAAGGCAACACGAAAAGAACACTCACTTGTCTGCCTTGTAGAACGTCGCACACCCATCGACCTGCCGGCGATCTGCATCACTCATCGTCTTATACCTGCTCTTCGGCCAATAAATTCCTTCATACCCCTGCCCCTGCAGATGCTTCACAAAGTAGTCCTCGTACTGTGCGATATCCACTTCCTGCAGGCACAAAAAGTCGGTATCGTAATTCATTATCTCCGTCAATATCAATTCCTTTCTATAATCCCAGCTGAGTGCCCACGACGGTGTGTATCCGTATAGTCGCTCCGTCGCGTACTTCTCACAGAGAATGTTGTAGCAGAGAGCGCTGAATGTCTCTGTCGTAGGATCTGAGGCAACGACTTCGCGCTCTTGAGGCGAGAGGAGGGACTTCCACAGACGCTCTGGAGGTGGAGCTGGGACAGGGCAACTGTCTCGCAGGTAGGAAATGAGAGCGGGTGTGCCGTCCTTCTGCACAATTGCCTTGAGAGACGCGTCAATCGGATTACCCTCGACACCGATTGTCTGCAGCTGGTGCAAACTACCCAGTTCGGGTGGAAGGGACATAAGGTGGTTGTCGAACAGGTACAACTCCTTCAGTTGGGTGAGCATGCCGAGCTCAGCGGGAACGGTTGAGAGATTGTTTCCGCTAAGATCGAGGAGCTCAAGATGGCGAAGCTTTGCGATCCCAGGGGGTATGGAGGTGAGAGCGTTATGATTGAGATAAAGGTTAATGAGGAAAGTGAATGCAAAGAGGCCGGAGGACGGTGGGATGGTCTTAATATTGATGCCACCCATGTCAAGGGAGCTCCAGGTGTTCTGTGGAGGTTTGGCGGTAGGCCGCGGGGCCTCGGCAATTGGGGCAACAGTGGATGAGGGGTGGTTGACCACAGCATTTGTGACGCCTGGTGAGCTGTCACCGGCACTCAAGGCGGGGGTGGAGGAGAGAGCTGGTGTTTCGGGTGGGTCTTTCGAGGAAGATTCTGTGATGTCAGTGTTTGTGCTAGGACTCGGCTTGACAAGATTAGGATTTGTGATAGGGATAGCGGATTTGATGACCGTGCGCGAGGCCATGGCGCTAGCACGGGCACGGTGATGTGAAGACCGAGAGGACCTGATCATCTTTACATGACGTATTATAAGATTAAATTAAGCGGGGCACTGCTCGAACGTACCTCACACTTGAGAAGCTGTTGCTGCCAATGGGGTGTTATGATCTGGCTGCCTACACTTCCTGGTGATCCTTGACCCATATGCTGCGGATGGATGTGACCATTGGGTGGGGAGGGGTAGTGAGACAAAGAATTCTGGTGTTGGTGATGAGGGAGCGGGGGATGTGAAAGGGGATGATGGGGGTGATGCTGCAGAGGATTCACAGCACCATTTGTATAGAGCGGGTAACCTGGAGATGGTGGAGGTGGACCTATGCTCTGCTGTGGGTGATGCGTATGTGTGTGGTTAACATTGCGAGACCAAGGGGACTGGTCTTGAACATTAACGTGGTGGGGGTGGTTTGCGAGTTTGTGTGAAATTGCGGGCGACTGCGAAGGGTAGAACATCGCATCTGGGCCAACGCAATATCACACTAAGGAAATATGCACTGCAAGGAGACTCTACACGTCAGGCGTCAGAAATACACGATAGTATAAACAGAAGAAGAGAGACGGTTTATGTATCTTTGACGAATATGTTGCTCGCTGCCGTCGTGGTGGTGGTCGTTGTTGTCGTCAGTGGAGTCGGTGGAATAGACAACACAATAATTCAAGTCAAAAGCTCGACAACCAAGTCCAGCCAGTGCGACACTGCCACTGTTACACCGGCTAACGGACGGCGTGACCGGGTCACATTGATTTCTTAGCACAGCCACTTTTAATCGCTAACAATTCCTCGATCGCGAATAAGGATTAAGATTGCTCGTACGATACACTTTTATTGAAACTTATAAGACCACACCCAAATCCAATAATTTCTGTTCTCATTCCACCATGTCCGTCTACCAAGCAACAACATCTGCGCCAGTTAACATCGCTTGCATAAAGTAATCATCACATTATGTGTTTGATCTAATCTAACATATCATTATAGATACTGGGGCAAGCGCAATGAGTCACTCATCCTGCCCACCAACTCCTCGCTCTCCGTTACTCTGAGCCAGGACAACCTGCGCAGCACAACCACCGCACGCGCTGACCCTTCCTTCGCCGCTGATTGCCTCTGGCTCAATGGCAAGGTAGACCCGATCAAAGCCGGCGGTCGTCTTCACACGTGCATCACCGAAATGAAGCGTCTCCGTGCAGCCTTTGAAGTAGCTAACCCCGATCAACCAAAGGTGCGTACTTCTCCATACTCCCGCGCACCACATCACTAACGCACGCCCAGATCGCCGCTTTCAACGTCCACATCTGCTCCTTTAACAACTTCCCCACCGCAGCTGGCCTGGCTTCCTCCGCTTCGGGCTTCGCAGCTCTCGTATTCGCACTCGCTAAACTCTACGCGCTCCCTCAAACTCCTGAGGAACTCAGCCTCATCGCCCGTCGCGGCTCCGGCAGTGCATGTCGCTCCCTCTTCGGCGGTTTCGTCGCCTGGGACATGGGCAGTGACGACGCAACCGGCCTAGACAGCAAAGCCCGCCAAGTCGCCCCAGAATCCCACTGGCCCGAGATGGAAGCCCTTATCTGCGTCGTCAACGACGCCAAGAAAGGCACCAGCAGCACCAGCGGCATGCAACGCACCGTCGTCACCTCCGCGCTCCTCCAGCACCGCATCGGATTCGTCGTTCCCTCCCGCATGGCCGACATCGAGCGTGCCATCGCAGACAAGAATTTCGGTGACTTTGCGGAGATCACCATGAGGGACTCGAACCAGTTCCATGCTGTCGCTCTTGACACCTACCCCCCCATTTTCTACATGAACGACGTCAGTCGCTCCATCATCGCTATCATCACCGAGTACAACCGTCTCTCTGAGCAGCCCAAGGCTGCTTACACTTACGATGCAGGCCCAAATGCCGTCATCTACGCACTCACTCCCAACGTCCGCGAGATAGCACAGCTTGTTCTGTACTACTTCCCCCAAGCAGAGAAGGTCGTCATCGGAGGGCAGGAAGTACAAGCTGCATTGCCAGAGGGATTCAATGAGGCTGTTGCCAAGCGGTGGGAGTTGGGCGCTGTTAAGGGGCTTATTCACACCCGTGTCGGTGACGGGCCCCGGGTTTTGAGAGATAGCGAGGCGTTGTTGAATGCCCAGGGCATCCCCAAAACGCTTGCCTGAGTAAAAATAGAACAATTATAAAATCGCATGTTATTTTGTATCTTAGGGTGGAATTTGTTGCAATTGCATCTGAATATTTGAATCATATCTCTGCAGCATCTTCGCAACCTCCCAAAGCGACATTTCAACGACTCGACATGTTCCAGGCTCTGGAGAGTCGTCTTCATAAATAACTATAAGTACTCATTTGCGCAAGCTACTGATACATACCACTCGAATTTAGGTTCCAAAAACAAAACAAAAAGTGGTCAATCTCTCCCTCATATCCCCGGGCCATCCTCCGTATTAACCATACCCCCATAACTGCAACAAGCTCTCAAACGCCTCCGTGCACTCAGGCTGTCTGAACAGCTCGAGTGGCAGCGGCTCCGTCGACGCGTCTTGTAGTGTAGTTGCCCCGGGATCTTCATTTATGACAAGCACCGTGTACCGATGCTTCTGTTCATTAGAGATAACAGTGGCCGGCATGCTGGCATTGGACATATTGTCATCAACTCCATTGTCTAGTCGGCTTGTCCAAGCATCGTCAGGCGTGTTTGGGCGCGGACGCTTTTTGGATGGCTCTTCAAGGAGATTACTGTCTTTGGGTGAGCTTGTAGACCCAATGGAGCTGTCGTCCATGGTAATTGGAGTCGAGAGATGCCCCAGGAGTGCCCTGAAAACGCTCGTCTCCTCAGGACTTTTGTGATACACCACCGCAGACCCTTCAGTTTGTGGACAGCGCAATGCCGTCACTGCGGGTTGTTCTTCGCACATCTCTCGGAATATATACACAGTCAATATAAACATCCCTCGGAGGAGCTCGTGACTTATGCTGTTGTCGGATCTGGTACTTTGCTCGCCTGATAATTTCCTCAGGTGCAACTCTGAAAAGTAAGCGCATACACCATGAATATAATACATTCTACATTCAATCCAGAACCGATAATACTCGTCCTCCACGCGAAAAGCTAAGTATTCCTCGTCAAAAAGTACCAAATAATGAACAAGGACTGCGAATGAGAACCCAGCAAAAACGCCTTTTTCGGCGAGTGCTTGTCAAGGATCCATACCAGAGCTGTGGCAAATAAGCAGCTTCCTATGATGTATTGATTTTCGATGAAGGCCAGCATAACCAGCATATGACAAGCTGTTAATATGACCTTCGTCTTGCGGACGGATCTGAGAAGGACGGGTATGGTGGGGACGCCGGCCTTCAGATCATCATCAAAATCACGGACATCATTCATTGCCTATAGACATAATTCAAGGTCAAATTATTTGATCATGCACTATCTGCTTACTGCGTGACATGAGCGGTTGACCGTCGACCAGACTATCAGTTGAGCGGTACTCCACGGAGACGGTAGCGTGTCGGCCAGATTTCCTGATCCTGACAATACAGATAGGACAATAGCGTAGATGCCACATCTGAAAAGCATTGGTATACGGGTACAACGTCCAAAGCAAATATGCAGACGTACCCTCGAATGACACCGCTAAATATGGCTTTCATGCCAGGGACGCGTTTGATAACCAGAGTAGGTGGAGGTGTAGAAGGCTGGTGGTGACTGTCCTTAACAAACCTCCCGAGGAGGTGCCTCGAAATCAGCCCAAACATATTGAAGCTGATCGGAATGTTCCAGAGCAAGGCAGGGGCTAAGACGGCTGCCGTGGTGAGGAGGGTCGAAAGTGGACATAGAGATAGTGTCAATGCAAGGAGCACAGCGCTGGCGGTGAGGAAGATTCGTGCATATACAAACCAAGAGGCGAGGCGTGGGTCGTATGCGTTCTTGCGGTCAGACAAGAATTCCTCCTCTTTATCCTTGAGATGGTCAGCCCCCATCGCAAGGATATCCGATGCCACGCAAATGGTTATCTGTGAAGATAATTGGATCAGCGATATTCTCTGGTAGTAAACCAGTGAGCATACTGATCTCCAATCGATATTTCCATTGGCAGACATGACATAGGACATAAGGGAAGACAGGGCCAAGCTGTTCATCGATATTACGATGGGCCGAAAGATGAGCTGACTTGCAAGCTTCGGGATCGTGAGGGTTGACATATTGATGGAAATTGAACAGCAGGCAAATTGAATGCCACTCTCTGCCACTTTTTATACTGAGCCATCGAGTTGAACAAATAAGAGGGTCCAGTCGTACACAGGTCCTAAAACAGCTGGTTCAATTATCATCATAATAATGAGGCACTGCAAAAATAATAAATTTCTGCGTACTAAGACTCCGAAGCTGTGATGTACCTAGTCGACTAGGATTTGGGCTAACAGGCCCCCGGGTGACGTATGACGAAACCCCAGACTTGCACGGCCGCGAGGAGACGGGTCATTCTATACAAGAATCCGAGGAGGCTGGCAAGTTAAGATGTCGGTGTACTAGTACTTTCGCAATCGATTTGAGGCTAAAAGATGGTACGCTAGGGCAACTTGGTGTTACGTCGTAACCGTGGTTTTTCGAGTCGGCAGCTATACCACGCTTAAACGGGTCACACATCACTCTGTCACGCGCACACCACACCCCATCTTCATTCGAGTCTAAGCTCTGCCTAGGGGAGTTCGAGTCCATGCTTTTGATATGAGAGTTGGCCTTCATTGCAGCTCACGCCTCTCCCGGTCTCCATATTTAAGCGCGACCATAATCAAGTTATCTAAAAGATCTGGTCAGTACTGAGTAAATCGCCCTTGTGGTGACGTATTGCCAGTGTTCGTAAGTAACTAACACAAACGTTGTTCTCCTGTCCTACTCAAGGTAGAGACGTCACTGTGCCCACTCCGCTTGAACCCTGGACCCCTGGTTCCTGTCATCTCACGTACCAGTCGTTCTTTGCAACATCAACTGGCGACTTGTTTGGCATCGATAGGGTCACCAGTTTAGTTTGGTAAATGTTTCCGTTGCTCTCCTTTCCCCTTTTACGTGATTTTGAACTCGGAGCTGACGTTTGCAGCCGTTCGCCCTTGGTTTTGCTACAGGCCCAGGAACGGGGTCACCATCATGGCTATCCACGCCAGAATGCTTTAGGAAGACTGGTATATACCATATAACGGTCCGTCAGAAGTTCAAACCACCCAACAGTGTCCAGCAAGATACTTTGGACTATGCACCACGTCCGCGTTAGCCGGGACGACGGACAAGTCATATTTATGCTGAAGATTTATGCGGTCAACAGTGTACGGACAAGTCATGTTTATGCTGAAGATTTCTGCGGTCAACAGTGTCATAGTCCAGCTTGGCCCTTCAAATCGAGGTTGACATGTGATGCATGTGATGGCCGAAGGCCTGGCATCGGGCGCTTCTGGGATGGGATCAAAACGAATGCGTAGACAACAATGTGGTCTTGTCCTCGGACTTCACGTCTCTTGAAATGGAGACAAAGGCGCTTTCACATTTAATGCCCCCAACTTCCTTCCTTGGCACTGCGAAAGCAATGTACAGGGTGCGGGTTGTGAAGGGGCTCTACGCTGGGTGCGGTATTACTGTTTCTCGATCAATACCCAGCTGAACTAGCCGGTTTGGGTAGTAGAGAACAAGTGCATCCGGGCTCAATTCGCACTTCTGAGAATCGCCCCCGTATTTCTCTTCTCTTCTCAGCGCTCACGAGCTTTTTAATTTTTGGCCCACCATCCCATCTTCATCTCAGTGTGTTTGGGTCCAGACTGTCTGCCTAGTGCACACAGTCCTGATCTAAACGCGCTCAGGAGAGTGTTTTTTCCAATCGCGATCCTTAGTATTATATCTCGGGATCATCTCTTCGCGCCTAGACCCTCACACACGCACTCGCATGCACCGTGAATAGCGAATCCCGCATGCCTCACCGGTTCGTCTAATTTGTTCAACTTGTTTTTCAAGTTCTCATGCGTTCTTTGCTTTCGATACCAGAGCTGATTGTGAGGCCTAGGCTTACTACGTCACAGACGCATCATCACTTACAGATGCGTCATCACTGCTGCGCCATATGCTGATCCATATATACAGCGCTGCTCACGTAATTAAACTTCTTATCGACATACGCTCTTCCACGATGCTGTCTGCCTCTCAGTGTTTGCTGTCGACATGATGGCCTTCCGGCAGTGCAGAGTGCAATTTTCTCGGATGAATGCCTACTAGCACCATTGCATTTCATGCAGAACTCAGTCCATCAGGTGCTCTATACGTACTAGCCATGAAATTGCGCTTATGCAAATAACAGTCTGGATAACTTGACACGAAAGTATGGCGAGACAATAATGAACGACTACGAATGTCTCCATCGATAGTCAGTTGCATCCACAAAGGTTTCCAAGGTATTTATTAATAACAGTAATGCAGGATTCTTCGGACAGGAACTAAATATGCCTCGTCAACAAATACCAGATAATGAACAAGGACTGCGAGTGAGAGCTAAACAGAAACGCCTTTTTCGCCGAGTGCTTGCCAAGTATCCACACCAGAGCTGCAGCAAATAGACAGCTCCCCATGATGTATGGGTTGTCGATGAAGGTCAACATAACAAGCATATGACAAGCTGTTAATATGACCTTCGTCTTTCGGACAGATCCGAGAAGGACGGGTATGGTGGGGACGCCATCCTTCAGATCGTCTTCGAAATCACGGACATCAGTCATGATCTATAGGCATGATTAGGGTCAAATCATGGGATCATACACTGGCTACTTACTGCGTGGCATGAGCGGTTGACCGTCGACCAAACTATCAGTTGAACGGTACTCCATGGAGACGGTAGCGTGTCAGCCAGATTTCCTGATCCCGACAACACAGAGAGGACAACAGTGTAGATGCCACATCTGAAGAGCATTGGTTTGCACATAAAGCATCCAAGGTAAATATGCAACCGTACCCTCGAATGATACCATTAAATATGGCTTTCATGCCAGGGATGCGTTTGATAACCAGAGTAGGCGCAGACGTGGAAGGTTGGTGCTTGTCTTCACCAAACATCCCGAGGAGACACCTCGAAATCCGCCCAAATTTCCGGAAGCTGATCGGAGTGGTCCAGAGCAAGGCAGGGGCCACGAAGGCTGCCGTGGTGAGGAGGGTCGAAATTGGACATAGAGATAGTGTCAATGCAAGGAGCACAGCGCTGGCGGTAAGGAAGGTTCGTGCATATGCAAACCAAGAGGCGAGGCGTGAGTCGTTTGCGTTATTACGTTCAGACGAGAATTCCTTCTCTTTATCCTTGAGATGGTCAGCACCCATCGCAAGGATATCCGATGTCACGCAGATGATTATCTGCGAAGACAGCTGTATCAGCGATATTCTCTGGTATTAAATCAACTACCATACCGGTCTCCAGTCGATATTTCCATTGGCAGACATGACAAAGGACATAAGTGATGACAGGGCCAAGCTGTTCATCGATATTACGATGGGTCGCAAGAAGAGCTCGTCTGCAAGCTTCGGGATTGTGAGGATTGACATATTACTTGAGATTGAACAGCAGTACTGTCGAATGCTACTCTCTGCCCCCTTTTATACTGGTGCAACCATGTTCCGACACTCGAAGGACTGGCACAGATTAATGAGGTCACCATATCGGTGATTATTTTGGGCGAGATTGTAAAATTATCAACGTTCAACCTGTGTTTTGTTTTTCGAGTCAGCACTCGCGCCCGAAAGTCTCGGTTATTTCAAGTTAGGCTTTGTTAATATCTGCAGGCCGGGTCAAAGCGGTGCGGAGAGAAGTCGCACAAGAAGTAAAGGCAGGTCATACATAGACAATGTCCTAGAAGGGGTTTAGTGGGACTACACGGGGGTGGTCTGTACAGTATGGTCAGGCAAGTACCAGGAACTTGTGTGTTGCGCGGCACTCACATTCGAATATTTTTGGTGTATATTGAAATTCCTATCATTCAACAATTCGTTGAACGTTCCGATTGCCTTCTTCTCACTTCCTATGTGAGTGGAACGATAGGACCGGAGCTGATCTATTCTAGGGAAATAGTTTGATGCACACCGAAGTACCCGAACGCCACGTAGCTGTACTATGTCAGGCGGGTCGGCGCAAAGGGGCGCGATGCTTTGACTCGAAGCTATCACTCATTCTCGACAATGATTCGATGTATTTGCTGCAGGGATGATTTAAAAGCCGTCCGTGATGATATTGGTACCTAATGGTGTTTATACCCGACGAAGAGAGTTTAGTAGTTGCAATCGTCTGACCGTTCGCCTATGTGGAATTCCGAATGCGCATTTTTAGGGCACTGACAGAGCACATGTCGAGGAATGCCACTGGCGCCTTGATAAGGAGGCGGTGATACTGATCAATTAATTATCAAATGTCCCGATATTGTCCGTTTTGTTTGTGATTAATCATCCGCTCAGTGTAAACTCTAGCACGCCGTGTGGGCTCTCTCAGAGAGCGGTTCCCCAAAGGCATGACAAGTTGTCCGCGGCCTTCTCACAAGGTAGCGGGGAAAATGCGTCCGAGTCCAGTATGACCAACATGGATTCACGGATGCACATTCACTGTGCCAAATCTTGCAAAGCGCTATCAAGTACCAAACGCAGCATTTACACAAAAGCGAGTCCTCTATTCCAATATCTCCATCCCTCGAGCAACAGTAAAATTGGTTCAAAAGCAAATGTGTTGATCAACTCAGCAACACACGCTACTAGTAACTCATGCGTCATGACATCAACCTTATCGCACCGATGTGAAAGTGACTCACCGCCACACTAGAAGCATATAAAGATAACCTGCCACGCCGGTGAGCTATGCGGTTAAATCCAGGACGCAGCATACTCACGCAATTTCCCTCAGGACAGTTTTGGCAATTTGACTGGCGCACGCAAAAGAGAGGACATACTCCAACGTCAGCCTCAGATAGTTCACTGAATGATGGGTTATTGGCAGATATTGATGCGGCAGATGTTGACACTGTCAAAGCAGCAACAACGGCGAGGACAAAGGTGAAACGCATAGTTTGTAAGGATGTGATATGGGATCAATTAGATCTGAAGGGGGCAGCAGGAAGACGCCTTGCTTTTATGCGCTAAGTATTGTTCTTCGTGGCTAGGAAAAATAACCCGCCGTGATCTCCTTTCGAACAAATGATATCGCTGCACTGCCAGCAGATTGCCACCTAAGATCTACCTTGCGAAGCAAGGGCTGTTGGCAATTTGGTGTGGAACGATTGGAATATTCACCTGTTGCTCCCACATAGGCAAGCTGGTACTCGTCAGTCCGTGAACTAGGATCAGAAAGTTAAACTCCGCGCGCAACATCTCGGCGTGAGTTGCAAATCCCATGTCAAGATACGGTTGTGAGTCGAATCGAAGACACAGCAACTTGTGTGCTACCTCCAAAGACGATTTGCAGACTGTTCCCGAGAAAATATACCTAACACAGGAGGCGCTTAACAATCCGCTGGACTGGGAGAGCATGCAAGTCCTGAAAAGCGCTGCCACAAACTTCAGTTACAGCATGAAACGAAGGCCCTTGGGCGATAGGCCAGATTTACGATTGCGGGCGTGTCTTTCCACTGTTCGTAATCGACCACCGACTCCGAAGGAAGAACAATCGAATCATCAAAACGAGCATGCAGAAGCTTGCGGCTAAGTACAGAGCTGGTTCGGAATTTGTTGTCCGGAGTCGTCCGATCGAGTCCTACAGTAAATTCAAAAGTTCAGAAAAAAAAAACAGAAAAAAAAGAATTATTCATTACCACTAACTAAGACTATGCACGAGCTCTCAAGCACTCATTCCGACATACATTCATTGTAAACTTGGTTAAAATGTGACCGCCGACGAAATTCATGCAGAAACCGAAAAATATCGTACCAAAGTACTGGCTGATGATGCCAGCGGCCCAGCGCTATCGACCTGTCGGATAGTGACAAAGAACAAGAGCTTTATTATGAGGAAGTAGGCGTCGAAGACGAGGAAGTGGTAGGTAAAGACTCCTCCATATGGAAAAGGAATTCTTGACCTCCGAGACCTGCAGGAGTTGCGCAGTGAGTTCAAACTTGCTGTATCATTGGATTTCGGTCTATTGTAATTTGTGACATGCTGCAATTATTTAGACGAAATTATTGAGAAGGATGTCATACTCACCCTCAAACTGCCCCCCCAGGCGTTTTCGTCACTGGAAGATATATACCTCGGGCACTGAAGACAGATCACGAAGGTCTGTCGTGAAGCTTAAGCTTTGCCATGTTCGGCTCGGAAATGAAGACATTATGCATGACTGTAAGGTACTCACGTGATGTGACATGTAAAATTTCTAAAACGAGTTGTAAAAAGGACCGCAGGCTGCAGCTGGTGACCGGTGACCGGTGAAGTCGCTGTTTTCAATGATCTTGCTCCAGCACACCAATATCGTTGCCGATAGCTCTTTCGAAAATTGTAGTAGACAATAATATCCCAAATGTACATGTAAATACTACGAACAAACTTTTAGAAAGAAAAAAACAAGTTATGGTAAAGTGGAATACATTTCAAAATGTGGTGGGTAAAGGACCGGTCCTATATACTATACCGCATTGTGTATACTTTATAGGAAAACAATGTGGATTTAAGTTGTGGACGCACCACAGAAGCCACATCGTACCCGAGGGTGCCACAGCCCCCACTTATTTACGTCCGACCTCCTAAAGTAGATCCCCAACTTGATCCAGAACCATACTCTTCATCAAACTACCCATTAAAAACCATACTGCACAAAATGAATGAAGCACCCCTCTCTCACGTACCTCACTCATACAACAACCAAATCCCAGCCATGGATGAAGCCACACTTCGCAAGCTCTCCCGCGCAGAGCTCCAAAAGCTAGCCAAGGTATATTTTCTTGCGTTTCGTGTCCTGAATGGTGGTCGCTGATATGGAATCAGGAACACAAAGTGAAAGCGAACATGAAGAGCGTGGTGATCATCAGAGAGTTGGTGAAGCTCTACGAGGCTGTTCCGCTAATGTACGTTCCTTGCTTCATGTTCGCTATAACTGGTCCTGACCATCGTTCAGTCAAGACGAAGACAGCGAAGAGCCTCCAAGAAAGAAGTCGAGAATAAGGGGAGAGAGTCCCTCAACTGCTGGGCCTTCGACAGGAATCGTAGACTTACCAATGGATACAATTGGTGAGCCTGTCATGCCTCGTGTCGCAGTGCATGGAACCTAACACTTGGCTAGTTGATCGTCCCATCATCAAGGAAGATGCCACTTCGCCCGGCCTGGTTCTCGCAGCCGGAGAGGCTGCTGGCAGTGCTGCTGAAAATATAGCGGAAAAGTTGCCGAGCCTTTCGCCGATACTGGAAAGTCATGCTGGGCACCCAGCTGCGGAAGATAACTCTGGGGATTCGGATTCCAACCTGTCCTACGCAAGTTTGGGGCAGCAGGAATACTACAAATCACCCGTCAGCTCGCGTGCGGGAACGCCCCCGCCTGAAGAGCCACAAATGCTCGGCCGGGCTGTAAAAATCATGAATCAGATCACAGCTGACGACCAACGCGTTCTCGTCCAGATCGCTGCTCTCCGGCAGCGAGCAGCGACGCTTAAGCAGGAGGCGAAAAACGTGAGGGACGTCGTACGCGCCGAGAAGGGGCGACGTGAGAGATTAGAGGCATACTTCGCGCACTGGAGGCAGATTTCGCCCGAGTGGCCAAAAGATTGGCTATACGAAGAAGGCGAGGAGGATCAGTTACGGACAGAGCGGGTGTTGAAGGCTACGAAACCAACGTATGTGGTATGCAGTTCTTGACTTGCTCGTGTTCCTAATCGCTTCGTTGGTAGGCTACCGTCCACAGGGCCAACAGGCCCACCCACTTTGTCTTTCGACGGAAAAGACGCACCGTGAGTTTTCGTTCGCAGTTTGTTTGTCCGACTCAGCTGACGACGACTATCAGGGACTCACATATGGCGTTGAGGCGTCGTCAACTGCAGCCACGTCAGGAAGCTCGTGAGCAGGAGAATGGGGCAGCGGCTGCCCCTCCTACAGAAGTCGAGCAGACAGGTGAACGTGCTAATCGCCTGCCATCGCCGCAGAACGGAAGAGCGGCAAAACGAAAAAATTGCGCCTAAAGCATCTGCGATTACTATAGAAAAAACTTCTGTACCCCGTCTTCAGTCGTTGAGTTGGTGTGCGGTTGAGCGGCACTGGTAGCTAGGCTATTTCCTTGTTGTGGGTCTAATTTTATACATAATATAAAAGGAAATCAAGGAGCAGTTGTACATTTTTAGAAACTATCAACGATGATGCTTTTCGTATAAAAACTCATCCTCCATCACCTCTCCGGCATAGCCAACGCCTCGTTTGAACTTTCGGGTTAAGAAAAAGGAAGAGCTCAGCGATAGCGAGCATGGGGCAAGCATAAACAAGAATGCTCAAAGCATTCGGTACAAAGTGCAAGGAAGTGATCCTGCGCACGATCCACGCATTGTTTGTCTTTCGCTCACGCGTCCCTCGAGGCCTCCCGTAGTGAAAGAATGCATCATCCATCGGCTGCCATTGGGACTTCTACAATAAATATTCTTGCTCATCGTTGACGACGTATCAGACTATCCCAGTACCTTCTCATTTGGATCTTCTACTATTCAGTCAATGTTGTCAGCCCTCCCCTGATCTTCACCACGGCGTGCCGTTATTGACGAGTCCCGACTCCTTACACATTCAAAGCCACGGGTCTGGTCGCGCATCCAAGTCGTGCTTCCGGCTCTTATTCTGGATGCCATCCGCTTCCCGAGATGTATTTCATCATAATCCTTGGGCTGCATTAGTCATACCCAGAGGAAACCAAAGCTTGATTTGAGCCGCATGGTGCACGGACGACGCTGGCGAATTTGCAGAGATGAGTGAGTCTCTAGTCGCCCCACCTTTTCCGTCCCTCACACTCGCTTCAAATCAATTGCTTGCAGACCTTGCAATTGATCCATTATGAAGATCTCGGACACGATGAGAGTTTTACAGGTTCACAATAAATAATTCAAGGTCTCTTCTAAGACCTGGCTTGAACTGATCGCACAACCCATGAATGAAATATACTAAAGCTCACTACCCAAACGCAACGAAATCCCGAATAAACATAAACTCGCCCTTTTTGTCAGCCATGAACGATAAATTCCTCGTCGTGAATTGTTGAAGTTCGGTTGCTTCACCGGTACCCATGCATGTGAACATGTGAACGTGACTCTGAGCACTGGGGTTTGCTGAAAGTACTTCTGACAGTTACTTCATCATGCTCATCATCGAATTGTCTGACACAGGGATTTTCATCTCGAGGTTCAAGCCCAATAATTTTGATAATATGCCAAGTGTATGCGGCCTCCACAACAAACCTATCAAAAACAACATACGCCTCAAATAACTTCAAACCGACAACAAAACAAAACAAAAATGTCAATCACACACCACCAACCTCATATCCCATCCTCCGCATCAACCATATCCAAAAGCGATCCCATAGGCTGCTTCCCATCTTCCCCCACAAATTGCAACAAACTCTCAAACACCTCCGTGCGCTGCCTAAACCGCTCGGGCGAGAGCGGCTTCGTCGAAGCATCCCGTAATGCGGTCTCTTCGGGATCTTCTTCCATCGAAAGGAGTGCGTACCGCCGCTTCTGGCCACTAGAAGCGACAGTGGCTGATGTACTTGCGCCAGGCATCTCGTCGTCATCTTCATCATCTAGTCGACTCGTCCAAGCCTCATCGGGCGTGTTTGGGCGCGAACGTTTTTTGGGCGGCTCTTCAAGGGTATCGTCTTTGGGTGTGCCTGTAGACTCAGTGGAGCTGTCATCCGTTGTAATCGGAGTCGAGAAGAGATGTCCTAGGAGTGCTCTGAAAACGCTCGTCTCCTCGGGGCTTTTGTGGTCCACCACCGCAGATACTTCAGTTTGTAGAAAGCGCAGCGCTTTTACTGCGGGTTGCTCTTCGCACATCTCTCGGAACCTATCCATAGTCAACATAAACCCGCCCCTTGGAACAGCTCGTAACTTACTGCTGTTGTCGAATCTGGTACTTTGCTCGCCTGATAATTTCCTCATGTGCAGCTCTGAAGAGTAACCCCACACGCCATTAATACCATAGAGCAAAGCACAACAGCACTTCTCACCTCAATAGCTTCATAGTCCAAAAGTCATCCAGCCTCGTCTCCTTCAACACCCTGCTCGGACGATCCTCTTCACCACTCCTAGGACGCTCCTCATCGCCACTTGCCTCTACTTCCGGCTCAACATCCTCCGCCGGTGCACTCACCTCCCCCGCATTTCCGCCATGCATAAACACGCGTTTCTTCCCCTCATCGTATACCACTTGATGCGCATATCGCGGAAGAGGAACTTCAACAGGCTCCCCGCCCTCCTGTATCGGTTCAGGCAATATTTTCGTCCACTTTCCAGGCTTGGAAGGGTGCGTGTACTGATACACCCAATTCGGCGTGTCGGCGCGTAAGCTAGTAAGCGCAGAGGCGGGCTGCGCACGAGTCAAACCACAGAATCTAGATGCGATGCTTTATTTAGAACAGCAAAGCAAAACCAGGATCGCCCACATACACATAAATCTCCTTCAACCGTCCGTCAATGATCGCCCGCTGAGTGAAACATGCATCGGGTCCCCCACTTGTGCTGAAATTGCTGAACAATTCCGTGACTGTGTTGCTCGCGATGTCGTAGGCGTACATGTCGGACAGATACTTATCATCGCGCTGCCCTGCGAAAATAAAAAGGGTGTGCGACATTGTGTCAAGAACCATCGAATGGCCTGCCGTTCTTCAGTACGCTGGAAGTAATAACATGAGACGAGCTTACCAAAGCGGGGTGAGATAGGCGGCTGCACCGATGATGACATTGACAATGCAGGTTGGGGTCTGCAGATACAATAAGAATGACAAAAAGACTGCCAAGAATGACGATGCTCACTGTAGGAGTTTCCATTTGCTCGTGCGGACGTTGTAGCTATACATGCCAGAGTACTTTGGCGAATCCCAATCCCCATCGACCACTCGGCCCCCAGAAACGTACAAGATTTGCGCCTCGCAGTCCATCACCATTTGATGGTCGAAGATGAGTGGTGGGCCACCGGAGGCCTAGCATCATTGGTTAAGAACGTAAATGAAATATCAGCTCTACTACTCACCGCCGTATCAAACGACAACAGATCCCATTTCCCAACATCCAGTCCTCGCGTATGATATCGGAAAAATTCCGAGCAGTACGGAGTGGACCTCGACCCATCCGGTATCTCACCCGCTCTTCTTAACAGTTCCTGATGTTCTTCCGGCTTCAGAATATCCCCATCGCCAAGTCGACCCAAGAGATAGATGCACCCCGACTTCGTGTCATATACCATCTTATGACACGACCTAGCGATGGGCCCGTTCTTCTCGGCAGACGTGCTATGGCTTATCACACGCCATCGCTCAGCAGTCACGTCGTACACCCAGAAATCGTCTAGGCTTTTCTGCCCGTCCCAGCCTCCGAGGAGATAGATTAGACCATTTTCGGGGTCGAGTGCCATTGCGTGGCCACCGCGTTTGCTCGGTGCATCGCCGTCCGCGTCCACGCCATGAAGACGTTTCCACTGCGAGTGTGGTTGACAGAATTGAATATAAGCATCCAGAAGGCCGGCTGAAGATGCTTCCAAGAGACGGGTCTCGGAATCGGTCCAATTCCCTTGGAGAACAAGGCTCGAGTGCAGGGCTGTCACAATGGGGTGCTCGACCTGGATGTTCGAGCGCGCCAATATGTTTTGATAGGGTGTCAACAATCTCCGCTGCCTCAAATGCTTAAGTACGTGGCGGAGCACTACGGTTTCTCGGTACTATGGTTGTTTTATTCAGCGAATATGCGCATGTAAAAAGAATTTCAGCAAACCTCCTCGTATCGCGAGCGGATGTTGTCGATGTATAAAGGATCGGCTGTGCCTGAAATAGAGACATACCAGATCGAAATATGAAAGCTCATCCCATGCGCTCTAAAATCCCGATGCACAAATTAAACAAAACAACGAATACAACATGCCCACTCACGAAACTGGTACGATCTTGATGAACCGCGTCGGAAAGTAGATACCCTCGCTATTCACATGTTTCAAAGGAAACGTTTCGTATACGGTATCGTCCTTGAGCTGAGTGTGCAGCGCCTGGACCATATGGTGCGGATTCAGGCCTACGTAGACCCTGAACTCCCTCATGTTGCATGGATGTTCTGTGGGATCTGTTCAGAGCCTGAATGTCGGAGGAGTGAGCTCACGTACTCCTGTGAAACTTCATCCGCCAGACTTAGTTTTCACATCGATGACAAGGTTGGTCGGCGTCACCTTTCCAAATGTTATGCTCTCTTCATGTCATCAAGAAAGGGGTACGTCAGCGTGGGCGAGAGAGTGAAACGCAGCGGTTACTCAACTGATAACACTGAGCGTTTCTAACTTCAGCATAATCCATTGCTTCGCTGTGGGCAATTGCTGCGCGCCGCTCCATCTACTTGTCGGGTCCTGCGGCGTGTCCACTAGTATGTTTTCCGGAACGTAGTTCCCGCTGTGCTCCGAGCATCCGGCAATGGCGTAAGTCATGGCCTGTGCAGGAGGCATAGTTGGTTGGCTTGAGGTCGCCCAAGTGGCAGACATCATGTACAGTTTAATCTTCGGTGAAGGTGACTAGTTGAGGGTGGTGTGAAGAGTGTCACTGAATAGAAAGGTTCACAATGTTCGACACGTTGGACACCGTTGAGAACGGTATTGTGTTGGCAAGTCGTCAACAAATACGTACGCTGCGATGTTCACATGATGAGATGACGGATTGATCAACAAGTAACTTCATCCCAGTCTAACCAATTATCTACGAATGAAGCACCTAAAAGTCAATCCGCCAGACGTTAGTACGTATAAGGTACTGTACTTATAAGCTCAAGCTACTGTTGTGCTCCTAAATCTATCGGTAAGATGAAGCAAGGTAACATAGTCTACTTTCCAGGATAAATTGCTCTTTAGGACTTCTGGTCGTCAACAGTCTGCATAATCCAAGCATCGGATGCAACAAACTGCTGAGTGGGGACACCTAGCTCGAGGAGCTTGGAGAAAGCGGCAGAGAAGCTGAAAATGTATTAGGGTGTGAATACGCTGATGACGAAGTAACGCACTCCTTGAAGAACAAGTCAACATCGTCAGCGTAGGCCTTCGCGTACTTCTTGAAGCTCTTGTCCTGGGTAAGAACGTAGTCGGTTCTGAAAAACTTTTAGTCATTGTTGACAAGGAATACTCAAAGCGACATACGGGAGCATCATAAGCGACTTGGTCTTCTTGTCCTCAAGCTGCTTAGGTCCGTTCCACTTCCTCCACACCCACCTGTCCGAACGACACGTCAGCACTCTGCCCAAGAATGTGCTAAGTGCTTACTTCTCATCAAATAAGAGCTTGTAGTAGTCATTAGTGAACATGGTAGGAGAGAAGGTCCAAGGTCCATCGAAACCAGACCTGGATGGAACAAAATCAGTAACAGAAAGCAAAATACAGCGAAGGCTATACCGGTCAGTGTGGCAGCGGCCAAGAGCATGGGCACCGCAGAGAGCAACGATTTCTTGGTCGTTGAAGCTACAGGTATTGCGTCAGTCTCTCTCAAATTATATCACGTGAATCCCGGCTCACCCCATACGGTAGAAAATCTGTCCATGAATGTGTCAGCTCGCATTTGAATTGTAAAATAAAACCACATACATCCCGGATATGCGGTGCGCCTTGGGAGGCGTCAGGAAGACGGCCATCAGGGGGTACGTGTGATTCAAAACCATCAATGCGACCAGGCCTCCAAGGAACCTTTGGGCCAGCCATCTCCTGGACAGCAGCGACACCAGCAAGCGTCCACAAGTCACCGTAGCTGATCCAGCTAAATTCTTGCTTGACCTTCTCCATCAAATCACGGGCGACGTGAAGACCCGCGTTAGCTCCGTGGAGAGATTCGGGCTGGAAACGCATGGTTGCGTAGTTGCTACATTTCGGTGTACCGTTACGTCAATGATAAGGCGACTTCTAATCGGGAGATACGAAAAACTGACCTTCCACCAGTGCCAGTAGCCTTGTCGTATGTGCCAGATGCATGCCACGCCAGGCGGAGAACCACGGGGCCGAAAGAGCCATCTACGAGCAACACATTGAGAGCAGAAACCAAACCAGGCGCAAAATACTTACTATCGTAGTCACCAGCATCGTCAATTACCTCGGCGATGCGGTTGTACACCTAAAATAAAATAAATAAGCTCCAGCGACTGCACAGAAAGGTCATAACGAACTTTTTGGTAATCTTCCTTGGTCGGGACAAAGTTTGTAGCAACCTTTGCCGACTGAGCTGCAGACTTCAGCGCAGTAGAAGTCGATTTCGCAGTCTCCGAGGATGAGTCGTACAAGTAGTATGCGACACCACCGCCCAGAACGACAGCACCCAAACCAACATAGAGACCAGTGTTGGACTTGGCCGCTTTGGGTGCCTCCGTCGAATACTTACGGAAGGAAGAGGTGCGCAACTCAGCTCTCCTGAAGGAAGCAGACAAAGCCTGCCTACGAAGTGGGGCACGAAACGCAGCAAAAGACATGATGGGGGGATAAAGCGAAAAGTTAGATGTGTGACGAAGAGTGAGACGCGCTGAATAATATATAACGTCAAATCACGCGCCGACCACGCTGGCTTGAAGAAATATAATCTCTGTAAGAGTTTACATAATCCGTTATCGGTTCCCCTCTGGCCAATTGTGCTCTGCCATTTAGACAACGCGACGAGCCCCATTGGGATACGAAGTTATCTGCGGTTAAGCGACTCATCAATGCTTCTGGGTTAAAGCAAGCTTAACGGGCCCCTTTCATGTTTGCGATGGATGAGCACTATATTAATCGAGCTTCTAGAACTCCTTCACACGCCGCCTCGGACGCATGTTTCTCTCACATGACGTGCATTACGCGGCGAGTCTTAAAGCTTAAGGTCATCTATATAAGTAGCTAATGTTCACAGGCCTTCCTTGCCATCGTCATCTCACCTGCTCGACCCGACTCTGCACGGTGCTCGCTCAAACACCTATGTCATTTATTGGCATTCTTACACAAACTCGAACTTTGTCTCCCTTAGAGAGGGAACCCAGCCATGTCAACCGGGTATCTTTATTTGTTAAACGAGCGCGTGTAGACGACTGCGCAGAACGTTTCTGTCCTGTGAAAGATCTAAATCAAGCTCCTGATAGTTGACGAAGTCGAAGGTTCTCGGACCACCTGTGTTCACTTCAATCCAGCGGCATTCAGCAACCCAGTCCTATGTACTGCTCGTAAACAATGCGCAGCTCAGTGATTCGGTTGCAACTCGTTCTTACATTGCCTCCGAGCGCCTCCGCCGTCGATTTCGAATGATTCAGTTATTGGCGGTGTGCACTGTTACGCGGAACTCACCAAGCGCTTTGCCCCTTGCAGTGCTATTAAATTCGTGGCTGTTTCCTGTCGATAAGCACCAATCAGCAATCTCATCATCACGTGGAGTCCTACAATTATGGTTCCGAACTTCCAGGCACTGCCTTGTTACCGAACAATGGCTCAGCCTGGCTTCGCCTCCTTTCCCTGATCTGAGTGATTGCGGCGCACCAAGTCATCTCCGGCTGTTGACGTTATAGGTCATCACGCGACTCTTTGACCAAGGTGCTATAGAAGACTCACGGAAACCTACACTTTCGGGAGTTTCGGTTATAGTTCTGTCAAACGAATTGACGCCCTTATGCGCTTATAAAGCCCGCAATATATCCCAGCATGCATTTTGATCATACACCACACGCTTCATTATGAGTTCCTACGCAAATTGGTACCAAGGACAATACAATCCCCATGTATACGTCCCCCCGTACTATAACCAGCCGTATCAACAAGCAGGATGGCAGGGGCTCAACTGTATGTACCCTTCAATCTCCAACACTCACTTATATAATCTTACCATGCTCTCTGCGCACCCACAGTTAATTTCCCGGGTTCGACATCTAAATGGTCCATCAACCCCATTCTCGCATCAGACATGACCCATGTGCGCTATGATGTCCGCAAGCCCGCGCGAGAAGGGATCATGTTATCTACATGGCAACAAATCAGCCATGTCCCAGCATTCGTGACGCCCACGTACGAGGTCCTCATCGTCTCGAAGGCATTCCCATGGTCGATCCTCATCCATGTGCCTGCTGGGTCTGTAGTCACATGTGGTGCGATCTTTGAGGGATTACATGAAATGCTACAGAAGCCCATCGAAGACTCGGAGTGGGGAATCGTGGCCCTCGGTGATAAGTCGCGGAGGGAAGCAATCGAGAAAGCTGCGAAGTCGAGACAAGAGAAGGACGGGGACAAACGGCTGAAGAGAATTGATTGGCTGGGGGATACACCAATGTTCAAGGGGATGGAGAAGGACGAGGATTTTCAGAAAAAGAGACATCTACCCGGAAGTGCGAAAGTCGCAGAGACATGGGTGGTGAGATTTGCGAAACCGTGATGGTAACATCATATGGGATTTATCATCATGGGAGTTTTATCATATTTTCCTCGTCTTTTTCTCGGGCTCATTTTTCTCGTCTTCAATTCATCTCGGACTCCGTGTAAACCCTAGACCCCTACTCAACAGTCTCAACCTCATGTCTATACTTCTACACGCAATATGATAGAATATGATGCAATATGCCCGACCTCCCCTGCCCTACGGCTGTCCGTCACTTATAATTAGCCTCATATGCTGTGCATTCTAGGGACTCGGAAGTCATCCAAATATGTCTCTGCAGTGATCATCATCGAGAGTGCAATGTGCATGCATGACATTTGATGCAAGAAATCATGGAGTGTCATTTCATTAGACCCCTTGATCATGCTGTAACATGTATCATACGGCTTCTACAGTCTATACCCACTCCGTTTCTTTGTACATAGTTGTCGATCAAGAATCCGAATTTCGTTGCTCAGAACTTAGAAGTTGTTCATCTACATCGGTCGCGATTCAGTGCTAGGGTTAGGGTTACATGTTACTCACCATGTTTTTTAAGTTTCTTCACTCTAGAATCTAGACGCTTGGCATAAGATTGCCTAGGAGCACGGAGAGAAGTCGGTCGGTCTAACACTACAAGAGAGACTGCTATCCTAATGGTATCATTCCAGTACGCCATCCTTTCCCTCTTTCGTTATCTATATGCATGATCTTAACACAATCCTCAGATGTCACAGTTCGTACCTGCAATCATTCATTTCTCGAAACACACCAACTCTAACGCACCCATAACTAACAGGCTGCAGCGACGTCGTAAAAAAACCAAAACTCAACCAACACCACGGTTTCTGCCATGCAGCCTTCGACTGTATCGACTGCTCTACCACCTTCCACAGCCCTGCTGAGTTCCAAGGACACACTTCGTGCGTAACCGAAGCAGAAAAGTATCAAAAAAGTTTGTACAAGGGACCTAAATCGGTGAGTTGCTCATCCCTGCGCGTTTGATCGTTTTTTCATGTGAGCAGGCCGGGAGCTGGGGGGCAGCACCTCGAGAGAATGGACGCGGTGGGTTCCAGGGCCGTGGGGGGTTCCAGGGCCATGGGGGATTCCAGGCGCGACCACCAACGCGTTATCAGGCCACTGGTGCCAACGAAACTCCATTGGGCACGCCTCAGCGCATGTCGCCTTTTACTGTAACACCACCAGAGCCAGTAAAACCACCGAATCCAGTAGAGCCTCAACCTCCAAAAGACTCAGCGCCAGCGCCAGAAATAACTGAGACCAAGCCAAAGAAAACATCCAAGTCCGAATCAAAAATAAAGGACAAACAGGTGAGTACGCTTGATTCGTTATCTACAGTGCGGTATTCAACTCGTACAAGAAATCGGAAGATACCATTGCTGTCGAGCCATTATCTGCGCCTTCGTCACCTCAAAAAGCGGAGAAGAAGAAAAAGGACAAGAAACACAAAAAGTCCACTGAGGACGCTGTTGAGTCTACTGTCGACAATACCCCGGCACCGGTCGAGCTTGCAGGAGAAAAGGAAAAGAAATCCAAGAAAAAGGACAAGGAAAAGCGGAAAGCTGCTGCTGTTGAGGACGAGAATTTGGAGAGCCAAGAGGCCAAGGACGAAGAAGGCGACGAGAATCGGTCGAAATCAAATAAGCGGGAGAGGGACGATGGGGCCGTAGATTCAGGCGCAGGTAAGAGTGATAAGAAGGAAAAGAAGAGCAAGAAGAAGGATAAAGTCGATGAAGCACCAACGAATGGCGCATCAGATCCCTCTCCTATTCCAGTCGAGACGGAGGGGGAGACAAAAACCAAGAAGCGGAAAAGGGACAAGTCAGAAAAGGTCCCGGAGGATGGCATGGACGTCGACGTAACACCTACAGACGCTTTGTCTGTTGCGCCTGTGGAAAAGAAGAAAAAGAAAAAGAAACATGACGCGGAACCAGCTGCTGATGTTGAGGCATCGGAAATGGGTGTCGATGCCACCCCGCCGACTCGCGACGAGAAGAGAGAGAAGAAGAAGGAGAAGAAGGAGAAGAAGGAGAAGGAGAGGAGCTCCAAAAAATCCGACAAGGCTTCGGCATAGTTGGCTATTTCGTTGAGTATCTACGAGATTTAGTTTGGGTTTGGTGATGCTGCCTTCTACGCGGGGCCGATGCTATCCACTAGAAGGATGTTGACAATTATACCTGGCTCATGGCATACGAAATGCGCTAATCCCTTAGTCAGTCGTGTGCCATTAACCCCTCGTGATCACTGGTTTCCGGATTAGGTGCGATCGATGTGGTACTGATTCAGTGATTGTGGCAAGGGTTCGTCCTTCGCTCTCCCTCTCATCTCCACTCATCAGACGAAGCATACCAAGTACTACCATGCATGCTATTCAGGTTCGTACTTAAGAAGCATGATGCTCGAAGATGCTCAAGGCCATTTCTAGCAACAATATTGGGCCGTTCGCGACTATCTCAGCCCAGTGCGTGCCATCGCACTTGTCTATCGCTAATTCTAAGCAACACCCAGGTCCTCAAAGAAAGCAAGTTCAAAGAACATGGACGCATAACTCCCGGTACGTACTCCATCTCCACCAACCACAAGCATACCCATTCCGATCTCGCTTTCAGAGGAATTCGTCGCAGCAGGAGACTTCCTATCATACAAGTTCCCAGTATGGACATGGTGCGTGCAACCACTTCCTAAATCCTAGTACAGCCCACCAAACCCCATCCCCATACTCCAGGGAAAAAGGAGACGCGTCCAAAGCCCGCGATTACCTCCCCGCTGAAAAACAATACCTCGTCACTCGTGGCGTCCCCTGCCTTCGACGAGCAACTTCACTCGCTTACACAGATGCCGATGAAGACGCCGAGCGACTTCTCTCCTTCGGAGATTCTTCGGGCGCAGCCGATGAGTGGGTAGAAACGCATGCAGGGCGAAATGCCACGGTGGACTCTGCTGCGAACCCAGGCGAGATCGATGATATCCCGGACTTGGATGGTGATGGACTGGCGAGCGCGATGGCAGATGTGTCGATCGTTTCGGAGTCGGGTGCTACGGTAGGAGAAACGCCGGATTTAGATGATATTCCTGACATGGAGGAGGAGGGGCTGGAAGACGGCGAAGATGAGGCTACGGCGGCACCGGTTGTGCCCAAGGCGGGTGGCGTCATTGATGCATCGTGAGTTTTCATCTCGGATCTTTGTTTGAGCCTGATACTAGAGAGATGCGCAGGCAGGTGGGAGTCGCTAATGGCAATCTCCTGCAAGTACGAACGTACGACGTGATGATCACATACGACAAGTATTACCAAACTCCCCGGATCTGGCTTCTCGGCTATGATGAGGTTTGTCCCCATCGCTTCTCAAGCACGTTGTCCCGCTCATCTTGTGATGCAGAATCGCACACCTTTAATGCCAGCGCAGATCTTCCAAGACGTTTCAGCAGACCATGCTTTGAAAACCGTCACCATTGAAGCCTTCCCACACTCTTCAACGCTCCAAGCAGCTTCTGTACACCCTTGCAAACATGCAAGCGTAATGAAGAAAGTCATCGAGCGCATGAACGTAGGCGTGGTCGAAGAGCAGCTCGCTGCACGGAAGAATTCTAGCAAACACCAAGACAAGGACGGGAAGAAGAAATGGGGTTTCGGGCGCAAGGGGGGCAAAGAGGAGGGCGTAAAGAGTGCAGGAGAGGAAGAGGAAGTCGAGGGCATGCGCGTGGACTTTTACCTTGTGGTGTTTTTGAAGTTCATTGCGTCTATCGTGCCTACGATCGAGGTGGACTCGACGACTGCGTTTTGAGGTCATTTTCATGGAGGATATACCCGCTGGATTTGTTTGGTGTGGTTAACAGTAATTGTGTGGAGGTGTAGGTTGCGCTATGATGGGGTGGTTTGCATATGTACCATAGAAATTGTGTAGAGTTGGAATGTATGCTCGAATGTGGGCACATAATCGACTCGGATGCACTCCTGTGATGGCAGGTCTCGAATCTGGATGGTGTGACTCATAAAACTGGGGTGATATCGGACAAGCGCTGTTAGGCTTAGCGTAGTTGGTTCACATCTCGATTCCAGATGACGGCCTGGGTAGTTCGATCCACTCAATTTTTACCGACGAAACACAACGATAACATTGTGAGGAGCCCCGGGTGTTCCTTCGAGCCCGCTTCCATTATCTCAGATGCCCCAGAACACACACGTGCGATACAAGAGTATGAAAAGAATCAAAAGAAGCAACCCGCCCACATTTCGTTTGAGCGGGCTATTATAATTCCGCCGGAACGGCAATTGGTGGTTCACAGTCTCGAGCACAGTGAACGTGATATGTTGCACCCACACTTCGAAGCCGCTCGCGAAACAAGAATCTACCAGGGCTCGGATATAAATTTGGATCATCGATGAACTCAAACCTCAAACTCTCCCGTCCTTGCTCAGTCTGTTTTCTGCCTTCGCGGTGAGCACACTATCGTACAATCCAGCAACAATTTGAACTGCAACTTACCGAGTCCCATAGATATATCTGTAAAATGCCTTCCCTAGCTGCGTACTATGACATCGAGGTCGTCCAGTTTTGGCGCGGCCAGAAAGAGCGCCTGCAGCCCTATCCCCTTCACTGGGCGATCTATATCCCAACCGGTCCTGGCATCGGGAACACGTACCACATCTTAGGAAACACGGACACCTACACCATAGATTTTAGATGCAACCAACCATATCCAAACCCAGATGCATGGCGCGGAAGCTTCAGGGTTGGAAGAATAGCTGCGCATCAGCTGACCGCATTGGAGCGATATCTCGCAAGCATTCCTATCACGCGTCACGACCCCAGCTGGAACTGCCAGAGCTGGGTGTGGGACAGTCTCAGGCATCTCCGACACCAAGGTTTTGATATCAACTGGGAGATTAGGCTTTCGGATCTTCAAGCGCAGATGTGTTGCTTGCTGGAGGATTGGGAGTATGGTCTAATTTGAAAATGAGAGGAAATCTAAAGTGCGAGGGGTTTGCGATTGGTTGATCAAAATATTCGATAGCGGGAGGGCCGTGATCGTCATGCCACGAGACATGCTATGAATTCTGATCCCTTCGCATCGGGAGAGAGGCGATTTTCATCGCCCGTGTGTGGAAGAGGATGAAAGAGGTGATGGTGTACTACTAGGCAGGGCCCGGCATGGGTAGAGGATGTGTAGTGAGTAGTACTTCGACAGGAGTTGTGCGCTTAGAAGAAGGGGCGACTGCCTGCCTTCTATTGGTCTGCCAGCCAGACGCGACATTTGATCCAGGAAGTTGTCAGATTTGACGCAACGATGGATCTAGAAAGCTGCAGCGACGCAAGTTAGGCTCAAGAAAGAGACACGAGGGTATTTTGGACTTCTGAATCAGAAAACAACTCACAACGTCCGGAACATCCTCATGTCTCCGGAAATGACTGTACATGACAATGAAAAGGCGTAAATTAGAAATGACGAGTAAGTATACGGTTACCCACTCTTGTAGCTGACACTGAACATGGTAAGATTCCCATGGGCACACAAGTCCCCACCTCGACCAGTGTGCAATTATGTGTAACGCTGTATCGTAAACCAGCCGACCAAGTAAAAAGTCCTTCAAGGTGGAGCTAGAGTCAAGCGAGAGTTATAATTGAAGTTCGCTGAAAATTGGCTGAAAACCTTGAGACGTGAGTAATTCCACCTGAGGTTCCCACGTACCGGCTCTAATTAGACGTGACAGCGGGCCCTGATGGCGCGTCTTAATCGAGTGATTTATAGCTCTACCCACCAGAATGAATATTTATTCAATACTGAGGGGCCTTTAGGGATGAGTGGGTGGTGTCGGCAAGTAGGAGGGTGTGCCCGCTGCCATATTTAGATGCCGCCGGCACCGGCTGATGTGATACCCGAGCCATGTCATCATTGAAGCCTTTGAGCTCGCTGTTGTACACAGTGAGCTCGCGTATCTCGATAACATAAGCATCAATTTGCATCAGGAAAAACCTCCCCTGTGTAATACCTGGAAATTACGCGGAAATTACACGAAAATTGTGTGAATTGCTATGTTTTATTATGTTTTATTATGTTTTACCATGTTTTATCACAATATCTCACATTACTGACATTTACTTAGTAAACTGCAGTCCCCCGTCGACACCGTCACGGTAAAGTGGAGGAAAACACGAAAAAACACGAAAAAATGCGAAATGTTTGTAGCATCCATACTGTGCCATTCACGACCATTGAATATCACACCGATGTAAACAAAAAAAAACATTATATTGTCATCCAGACTCGATATATATATGATATGGTAATGATGGTAGAGTAGCGGTACTAGAAGTAATAGTAGATAGGAAGTAACTGGTGTATTAAATAAACCTAATCAGACTCGCCGAGTCGCCGCCTGCAAAAGGAACTTCAACGATGGGTGGCACTGCGTGATCGAGTCGCCAGGTGAATAGGTGTCGTATGTGGGCTGTGAAGGTCGTAGGAGTAGCAGCAAGTGGTGGGGCGGTGGGCGGTGCTGGTGTGGGTACAGGTGGTGGAGAAACTGGACGAGGAATCCTTGTCATAGCGAGCCTGAGTTTCTTGAAGCGCCCCGAGTGCTGCTGAGGTCGTGGTGTGGAAATCTGAGATTGAGGAAGGAAGTACATGCGCCAAGACGACTTGGATCAGCATGGCTCGAGCTCGAAGAAGGATCAAGACACTCACGGCCTGCGAAGAGTGGGCAACGATTGGAATCAGCATGGCTCAAGCTCAAAGGAGGATCAAGACACTCACGGCCTGCGAAGAGTGGGCAACGATTGGAATCAGCATGGCTCAAGCTCAAAGGAGGATCAAGACACTCACGGCCTGCGAAGAGTGGGCAACGACTTGAGTCAACATGGCCCGAGCTCGAAGGAGAAAGGCCAGGGTGCTCTGGGGGAGGTGCAGGGGTGCTGGGTTTGCGGGCGCGGCAGATGCGGGTGTGGGTGCAGAGGTGGTCGAGGCTTGTTGTGAACGCATGGGAGGGAGCAATTGGGTGAAGTGTGGTAGGTTTGGGGGCTATGGGGAAGGGAGATAGTCAGTATGTAGGAATAAAGAGAGTGGTGGGAATAGACCACCAAGCGTGTCGTGAATGTCATCCATTGAAGAGCTCATAGTTCTGTGCCAGTGTCACGGCTCTTCTGGAGTTCACCTGGATGTTGGGAGGAAGAGAGGCGGATGTTGGGATGGCCTCTACGTGGGCAGCAAGATGTGCGTCTTCGTCTGTGAATACACACATGACGCGGGCAGCGACTTTGTGGTGGATGGTGGTCTTGTTGTCTTCACCGATAATGTCGATACCGAATTCCTGCAGGGGGGTTGGATGGGTCAGACGGAGGAAAATGGGGCAGACATACCAGAGCTTGCGGCTGCCAGCGCTTCCACCGATACGCGTTGCGTCAGGGAAATTCGTCAGCTGCGCAGGTGGAATAGGTTGTGATGTCGAGGGCATTGGGGGCAATGCGCCATTCTGTTGAGAAGATTGCGGAGTGACGGTGGCGACGGCTGCAGCGGCACAGACATCTAAGTGAGTTATGGTGTGAAGGACTTAATATTGGAGGGACACGCAAATATTTCTGTTGAATTCAACCGTGGGAGCTTTTCACGATTAGTCAACATTGACTGTTTACACAAACAACTAAGTTCGCTGTGTACATACTTGGTACATACAGTACTGTAATATACCATTTCTACGAGTACTAGTGCTGTGTTTCCGCTCGTTCACGCTTGCCTGTGCTTGTCCATGCGCTTGTATGCACCTCCCGCCAGTAATTGCTTCAGGGTATCTTTACAGGTAAGTACTTCAAGTTTATATATTAACCAAAACTTGCAATTTACATCTACAGTACTCAGGCCGCGGCTCAGGCCACCGCTGGTGACACTCACAGTGGTGAGGACTGAGCGCAGAACGGATCTGCCGTTCCCATTCCCTCCTTCCACTCTCATCCATCATCTGTACTTGTCTGAGCCACGTCAGCAGTTGCTGACGTGAACTGGGTGTTTACACATGGTGTTGGGAATGGTGTGCATCTCCCATTCATACCGGATTTCGGTGCTGTTGTCCCGTGGCCACGAGAATGGACGAGCGACACCGTCCTCGATGCTACAGTCTCTTTCTTTATAATACTTGGAATTTCAGACTATTAGATAAAATTTTGAAAATCACAACGTTTTTCTAAAATTATAATGCTTTTCGCTCGGGAGGGTTTTCCTGATGGGCCGAGGAGCTGTTCCTGCAGAGTGGACGAGTTTAGACGTTCTCGATGCATGCCCCTCATTCCTTTTGAACGTTTTCAAAGACATGTACACTTACTTCAATTAGGATAGGACACGCATCATGAACATGTGGTTTTACATGGTGATAACTGAAAAAAACTGAGTAAAGTCAAGCAAAACTGAGTAAAGTCGAGTAAAACAATGTAATGTTGTGGATATATGGGTAATTCCCTGGGGAGGTTTTTCCTGATGTGAGGCGGACTTTCGTATATGTACAGTAAAAGATGTATAGAATGCGAAAAAACAATAGAGGCAAGCTAAGTGTCCAAAGTAACCTGAAAAATGTCTTCAAGAATGCGAGACTGCTCTTCCACATCAGCGTCAGCACCCTCCTCGTCCTCTAGATCCTCTATTCCATCTTCTACACCATCTGGAACCACAGGATGCACTGGTACAACCAGCTGAGCAGGGATATAGACAGCAGGAGTACTGGCACTTGCACCAGGTGAATCCTCGGTGCTATCCCCTGGTGACAACGAACCTGTAAAGCCTGGTAACTTGCTGATGGTATGTAGGTGATGAAGATGGTGTTTGGTGAAGCGTGCACGAATATTACGATACACACCAACTTGATGGGCAAGCGCAGGGTGAAGAGACTGAAGTTGTTTCTCACAGTTGCGCAGGTATATGTCTTTGTCTCGCAAGTATGTGACCATTCTCTTGATCTCGATATTGAGCCGCTGGATCTCTTCTTGTGCGCGTTGCATCTTAAAGTATGTGTCCATTGCCAAACGACCAGTGGGAGTGGCCCAGGTGCGTTGAGATATGTCTTGACGGGCGTCTCGCAGAAGATCGAAGTCAGAGAGAAATGCATACTCAACAACCTCGTCCCATGAAATGGTTGGGCGAGGTGGTGATAGTGCACGAGCTGCAGTATTGTAGCGGTCTAAAGCTGTCCGAATAGCTGCAGAGCGAGCCTGCAAAGCTTTGCCAATATGTTTTCGTAGTTTATAGCCTGATTGTACTGTGAGCATCAAGCTCCCACAAAACAGTCTTGACTTACCTGTCCCTGCACGATTCATCTTCGACAGCTCAAATATCCGAGCAACTACCAAACCTTCCAGAGCATCCAGCGCTCGCTGAAATTTCCGATTGGCGACGAGGCGACCTGCATCCATCCATTCTGGATCATCTGGTGTCCACCGGCGAACCACACCGAGCTTCACCTCGAGCTCCTGAACAACTTTGAGGTCTTTATCATAATTCTCGATGGCGTGGCAGCGTGCGGTTTTGTTTCTAATTGTTGTTGCAATATCACGTGATCCGAATGATGCAGTGGATGGCGTGGATATGCTCCAAGGCGTACTTGCAGCATCTAAGTCTTTTCTATTTGTTTTGTTAGTTTTTCCGCATGAAAAATAAGCTATAAATTCACCTGCTTGCTGCCAAGTTGACAAGCTTCTGCCAATATTCCATTTGCAAGGTCTCATGCTTTGGTTCGTGGTTCAACGACATTAGGTAATTGCGCTCCTCGGCTAGCCACCTGTTGAAGACGCTGTCATCCGCTAAGCCAAGCTCACACATGAGTTGTGGGAGCGTTGTCCGTCCATCGAGTAGAATATTGAGGGCCTGTTTATAGTTGTTGTGCAGGAATGTAGCTACAGATAAATGTCAGTTCACGATCTAGATAAGCGTGAATTCTACGTACATATGTTGGCGTAAACTTCGAAGTCATCTGTGTGTTGAAAATAGTTGGTGATAGCTTGGTGTCGGTGGAAAATACTCGAATAGCGAACCGAGGATGCCAGTGCATTGGATTTCGAAAACGTTCGTTCGCAACCCTCGAGGTCTTCGAGTCCAAGACCTTCGACGTACATTGTGAGATGATCGAGTTGACATAGGCGTTTGTGAGCATGGCCGTGAAAGGCGCCGACAAGGGATGTGTGGTTGAGCTCACGTGCAGACGGACCCAGCGCACTTCGACTGAGTGTTGTCTTGAACCGGCAGCCAATATCATAGCCACCACCAAGGTCCTTGCCGAAAACGTCCAGAAGTTTGGATACAACAGCTAGAGGGTACTTTGATCTTGTAAATAGAATTAGCAAAGATAGCAAATGTAAACTTGACACTCACTGTTCGCCGCTTTGAACCATGTCTGCGATAACAAGAGAAAAGCCGTGGCGACAGACGGCCATGAAAATTCCAGACTCGTCGAATACACCCCACATCCGTCTCGTTTTCTCGTCTTTCATGTTGTTCCAGCGAGCCGCGCATGGATTGTCCAAGTCCTGAGAATCAGTTCATTATAATTAGCTGAGAATATACAATACTACTTACCTCGTCGCCTGATAGCATGTCAACAGCAGAGTCACCAGCAAAGTGGTCAACATAGTCCCTCGTCAAATAGCGGTCGCCACGCACATGTTGTGTTGAGGGAAGCTCTGCAGACTGTGGGAGAGGAATATTGTTGTTGTTGTCGAAGTGGTCCGAGTCGTCCCGCACAAGTTTCTTTAGCACTCGCTTGAGGGAATCATTCCCATCCATCGTATACAATAACCTGAATTTTAGAGCTGTCTCGCCTTTGAGTGTGTAAGTACACGCTGGGCAAGCGTGCATCGGCCGCCAGTTAGGGTTGCTATGTCCGATAGCTTCGAGCACCAGTGCGTCAACACTAGCGAGAATCTGTAGGAAGACGTCAAGTGCGATTGAGAACTGACGGGATAGATATGGATAAAATTGTACCTAAGTCAGATTCAAGTCAACGACTACCAAGGGAGCCAGAATTTGGGTACTCATGCCTTGTAGGTCACATAACGTTTTCACGTAAGCCTGGATGGAGAAATGCGGGTTGCGCTGACGTGCGATACGAAACAGGTTGAGGGCTTCCATTGTCACCCCAGTCGACGGGCTGATGGGAGAACAGGGCACAACACCTTGGCGAACGAGTGCTGACGCAATGAAGGCATCGGTCGACAGAATGGTTAAAGGGAGTCTTTCGGCGTCTAATGCATAACATTAGCACGTGCACAGCAAGTACGTCATTAATTACTCACAAAACACGTCCACAACCTGCACAGGAATCGTTCCTGCATTCACATCAAGCGTCCTATGTGAGTCATCACGGTAATGAAAGAAAAATCCTCGCCCATCTGATGTGCCCTTCCCCATGTGCCAGTCCAGGTAAGCACATGTCAACGCCAACATCTGCTTATCGAAAGCTTCTGTACGACGCCTGGTCCTGTCGCGTCTGGTCCTGTAGTCTGTTCGCCGAACACGAGACCTTGCAGTATTTCTGGCGACATTTCAGCAGGGCCCGAGGTATGTTTCAATCATAATGTTTGTCAACTTACGTGTTCCAGAAGTCACCCACCAATTTTCTTGTAAGTTCCTGTAGCTCTCCACCCGCATGGCTAATCTCGATAGGCTCAGATCCATCCAACATGCTCGCGCCGAAACCATCATCACCATCAAACATGCCGCAGTCACTGAAGTCATCGTGACGTTCTTGCAGTGCTGTGAGAGCGCGTCTTTCCTCCGCACTCATTACTAGGTAAGTCATTTCATTCTGACATCACTAACAAAATAAAATATTTAAGTACCTTCCATCCGAGTCTTCTTGCGTGCGTTCACGCCCGCTGCTCTCTCAGCAATCTTTTTTGATCCCAGCAACTCTCGTTGTGGACGAAGACCACGAACCATGGGGTCTCGATGGGATATGACATGGCGAATTTTCAGCGAGGTGAGTCCTGTGCGATTTTTGGGACGTTTGTTGATGTGCCCTGGCGCCATAGTCTTCTAGTTGCGCCAGCATGGAGACGATGATCTACCTGTCAAAGTGTGCACGTGACTGTGCTGATTTCAAGTTATCGACAAAGACTTGCTCCTCTAGAAGTCCCATCATGAGCTCACGGTCCTATCGATTGCAAGGTACAGTACATCACCGACTTTTTTCATTTTCTCAACGTTTATTTTTATAGGTTTACGGCGCCCAGATCTTCTGGTGACTCACACTTGGACCAATCGAACGAAGATTACCGGGGAGGCTACAGTGACCGAGAAAGCAGCTGAGATAAGCCACACCACAGACACTGAGGCGACTCAGACAATCACTGGTCCAGTAAGTTTTTTTCACAATTATCGGCCAACTGTACTGATCCTTTCCATAGTCTAATCTCCCCATCTTGAATACTCGAGCAGAAGCGCAGCCACGAACTGCCCCATCGCACCACCCTTCCTCGCCAGCGAAGTCTATCCATTCAGTTGTTTCAGTAGCAGTCAGTCTAGATACTGTACAGACGCCTCCTTCCACACCTACGCCTCCTTCCACACCTACGCCTCCTTCCACACCTACGCCTCCTTCCACACCTACTTCCTCATCCCACTCGAGTGATGAGTTGTGGGCTCAAGTGGAGGACATATACTAGTAGGAGCTGGTAGATGGGCGCTTGGGTTATTTACTTACATGTACCTGTATCACGTTCCATCAATCAATTCATTACGAGATCGTCAACGCCAGGAATTCACTAAGGAGTGAACACCAGGAATTCACTATGGAGTCAACACCAGGAATTCACTACAACAACAACACCAGGAATTCACTATGGACATCCTCATAGGCATTTATTTGGCAATGCCAGGAATTCACTATGAAAATCTTCAAGATATATATAAGATTGGAGATCAATGTAATACAATAATGCTATGCCCATTTCCTGAGTGCCATGTACTGTAGATAATCGACTCGAGTTTGTGTCCCGAAGTATGTAGAATATCGACTTAGGTTTGTGTCCCGAAGTGTCGCTGAATTCTGTGTGAGCGATAACTGAAATTTCTGGGTCAAAAATCTCAATCATTCAACGTCTAGTCTACAACACACCTATTATACTCTGCAACAGCTGCAACTCACCACACATAATGTGCGTCAAGTATAAATCTGCAGAGGAGCGTCGAGAAGCTCAACTTAAATCTAAGAAGGAGAGCTATGCACGGTAAGTGATCTCAGTTCTCGTCACTTCAGTGCCGTCAGCTCAAAACAAATATAGTCGCCGGCTTCAAGAACAGGCGAAGTCCCGCACACGATGGCGACATCGTAAAGGGGCAGCTGTGGTAAGCGCTCAGTTGTAATTCATGTGCGCGTTACCAATGTCTGTCTGCACTTAGGATACTCAAGATCTTCTTCAGCGTCTCGACAGCTTATGGATAAGTTTAGGCTACTGCACTGGCTGCCGCAGTAGCACTATCCAATGTGAATTCTTGGAATTGTATGGGATGTCGATCGTGATTAGGGTAGACCGGGAGGGTTGGGATTCAGTCAAACCAGGATGTGAAGAAGGGCTTGCCGAGATAACGGATTTGCTCCAGCGGGCATTTCAGTTGTGAGCTGATGCCCATGATGTCGAAGGGCCTCTCACGGATCAATTACGGGACGGAATAGCATCTTTTATAGATGTGGCAGATTTGCATGTCCGCGCATGGGACGAGCTGTTGTCGTTGATGGCCCTCGGAGCTGATACATACTTTGATGCCCTTCGACGTGGTTCACTCGTCTGGCAAGGTTAAGATTATATTCAAATTAGCACTGTTTACGACTACGATATGTGAAGGACGAATATAATCGACGCACTTCTTCTGAAAACTTACCGGACCGGACTCACGAAGCAAACACTCGACGCCCCCAGTCTCTTTGTTGAGATGGGAGAGTCTCGAGGACGTTAAGGAGGGATTGGGTAACGAGGTTTGATGGGGTGAAGGTGAAGCCTTTTGTTAGTGAGAATTGGGGTGTTCCGCCTAGTAGGTTTATGGATGAGTAAAATATTGACTAGCTTGGAATCATGCAATGGACAATATGCACCGACTGTGAAAATGAGGAAGTCCACAAGCATCGCTTTGGATGAGGCGGGCTTGATGTAATTTTGAATCACGTTATCCTGATTGAAGACTCGTGGTGAGCGCAGGAGGAATGTAACGGTAACGCTGAGAGCTGTTGGCACAAGATGTCAGAACATACTAGGTGTCAAAGAAAGGGATTGTTTAACCAAGGAGCCGGACAGCAGAGTAATAGCCTATGTTTCGTGAACCTCCAGTGCAGGATTGAATCTGGGACACGAGTGAGCTTGTTACGAGGTACATGTAGCACTCGAATGATACGAACCAATGACCTGGTTGAGCTTCTTTCGGTTGTCGAGAATAAGGGTGTCGATTTGGGCATTCGTTGCTTCATCGTTGAGGCCCTGGTTCTGCAAGGATACCGTCAACATCAGCAAATGTAATGCTGGGACGCCAACAGACCTGCTGTGCTTCAGAAAGCGATTGGATGGTGCTATCCATACCCTCTTGAAGAATCAAGATCTCTTGATCCTTCTCATCTCTGAGACGCTCCCTGTACCATAGGTATGATGGGTATCGGTGGTCTGTGGGGCACGAACGAAAGACCGTGGGAGTATGATGTAGGTTTATTGTAGTTGCCGCCGGTAGACGACGGAAGCAAATTTACTTTCTCAAAATGGTAAGAACTGCTGTGTATGCATATGTACATGCCCCAACGTGCTGGGTCACAGTTAGCTGCCAGCTTCAAATCTTCACACCGACGCTGCACACACACACCGACGCTGCTCTCCAGCCAAGATGCAGGAGGTTTTCTGGCAAGATCCCTGTGACATGTGGTAAGATGTTGCTTCTTCGATTTCTGTTGTATGTTCTAATGGCCTTCTCGCATCAGTTGGCCATTGCGTGCATTGTGTATTGCGGTGGATACTGCTCTAAATCACTCAAGTTGTTTTACAGCCTGGGTACGTTTTGTTAAAACTTTTGCTCGCTTTCAGCTGATCTGGCTATACCAGTTCTCAATCCAGTATTTCCCTCGAATTCGCACCCATGTGAGTTGCGATGCTGTTATTCCATACTGCACTTGATGTATTTAGCGTGTATTTATCATACGGATCCTTGCTGCGACTCCCGTGTACCGCACCGTCAATAATCCTCGACTTTTGCTATGCACGTTGCCAACATTCACCGTGCACAAGCACGTGACTTCAATGTCCTTAGAATTCGCCCAAGGTAAGCAAAAAAAATAATTTGATTTCTGTATATTTTCCTAGTGGTTCCCTTGACGGGCTGTTCTTACAGTAAAATTTGTGCTTCAGATCCGCACAATGGACCTGCCAAATTTCTTATTCACAAGTGATTCCAACTTCCAGTGCGGTGATTCTCTGCCAGGCGAGTAGTCGCTCTCCTCGTTTGTCTTACAATTTTTTCACGTTCACCCAGAAAATGTCAACAAAGGACTAGAATGTCCCCCATATCCTCCCACCCTGGTAGCTAGTCGTCCGTTCGATGCACCCTTTCCATATTCCCAGCAGCCTTTCGACCAACGCTTCAGCATTGACTGGAATGACCCGGCATTATATCAATCTCTCCCATCACTATCGGAGCTGTTAAATGAGGACCTCAACTTGGACGACACATTGTTACCCGCCGTGTCTCGACGCGACGTGTCCTTGGACGACACATTGTTACCTGCCGTGTCAGACGCATCCCTTCACATGGACGTGTCTTGCATAGGTGCATCGGAACAGACCAGTGTTGCAGGTCACAATGCCCTGGGTGCGTCCAACCAGGACGAGGTGGCGATGTTACCCACTGTGTCTCAATGCGACATGTCACACGCTGAACGGACCAGTGTTGCAGGTCACAATGCCCTGGATATGTCCAACCAGGAGGAGGTGGCGAATGGAAATGGTGCGGGCCTCCATCACATCACTTCAGACTACTAACTCACAAATATCACCAACAGAAATTCCTGCTGACGCAAACAACTCATCCTGGGCTGCTAGGAATCCAAACCGGCCTGTTCTGATGTCCAGGGCCCCACTTAACGCTGCGCAGAAGGCACAGGCCAATGCACGAAGAGCTTCCCGAAAATTTTCCACAGCACAACGCAAAGAGACTGAAGATGCGCTCACAAGTGCCATCCAACAGCTACTTGCCGACCAAAATGATAAGATCAACGCAATTGCGCTCGAACACGGCGTCACTCAAGACAAGGTGAAGAAGCTTATGGGAGGTGAAAAGCATTACAAGGGGCATCGCAACGTGCAACTCGCCAATGCTCTGATACATGTGAAAGCGCAGGAAGTAAACGCAGGTGAGTTGTTGTACCTTTGAATCATTGCATCGTGTATTAACTTATTGAAAAAAACAATCAATAGATCGTCCCCGTGGAGCTAAATATTCGCTTGATGAGATTCGCGAAATGGTGAAGGATGACGAGGCCTTGCAAAACCTATCCCTCCAGGATCAGCAAGAATACATCGACCGACTTAACGAGCACCGCGCTCTACGAAATATGAGCGTGCGTGCGAGCAATACTGCAGCAGCCTGCGATGCCCAATCAACTTTAGATAATGTCTTTAAAATGGTACGTGTGTTACATCATTGTCTAATGCCTAGCTAACAAATACGTAGCTTGATGCCCTCGCTGTTCGAACTGGAATCTACGCGTGTCTCTTTGCCTCGCGGGGACATGTGTATGATACTGCCCAGGCAACATGGTTTGGAACCAACAATGTTATGGACTTTTGGGAGGATGTCCTCCAGATGGAGGCTGATGAAATCGCACGAAAATTGGAACAATGGGCATGTATGGCAGGTCGAAGTATGCTGTTTCACTTTTTCACTGCTACATATGCTAATATATTCACGTTAGACATTGATGAACGCGAGACGGTGCAGAACATGCAACGTGTTTGCACCCGGCTCCTTAATTCAGGTTTAAGTACGTTTTTTTCTATTTGTCGTTTCAGAATCTATGCTAACTACCATGGTTTTAGGGACTGTGGCTAAAAGGCGTGATATCCGAATCAACTATGCGAACTTCGATGTCGCCATCAAGGAGAAGCTTGGGATCGACATCAGGGGTTGGCCTGAGGGCGTACCATTCCAATCCCCCACAAGCTTAAACGATCTCAACGCCCTCCTGAAGATTCGTGACGCACTGAAGGATGGCTCCTGCCGCTGGTTCCGATTGTCTCCACGTCAACGGGAGGAGTACAGTGCCCAACTCGCTGCGCGCCGTAAGAAAGGAGAAGTTGTCGGCAAGCCACGCAAAAAGCGTGCTGATGCTGGTGTGCAACGTAAACGCAAGGGCAAGGAGAATGCACCTCCGAGGAAGCGAGCACGAGGATCGGGGTCATCCACACAGGCTCCAAAGAGCACAGAATATGTGGAGACGACAGATGAGGACAACACCAGCGGGGATGATGTTTAATTGTGTCAATAGTTGGTATTCTAGCACGGAAAAGTCTGTTATTTGACCTAGGAACTACATACATGATCATCTGCTACCTATAGAAAAAAGTCCGCCTCAAATGGGTGCTCATGTTATCGAGATACACGAGCTCGCTGTGTACAACAGGGAGCTCAAAGGCTTCAATGATGACGTGGCTCGGGTATCACATCAGCCGGTGCCGGCGGCATCTAAATATGGCAGCGGGCACACCCTCCTACTTGCCGACACCACCCACTCATCCCTAAAGGCCCCTCAGTATTGAATAAATATTCATTCTGGTGGGTAGAGCTATAAATCACTCGATTAAGACGCGCCATCAGGGCCCGCTGTCACGTCTAATTAGAGCCGGTACGTGGGAACCTCAGGTGAGTAATTCACACGCATAGCAGCCGGTTGCTAACTCTGGCTCTTTCCATTACATTTCCGGCGAGTCATTCCCTCGGAGCAGCTGCGCCATGTAAAGGTGCACAAAACGGGAACGTTACGCCCAAGAATGAGCGTGACAATTCTACTGTGTCATATGTGGTCCCTTACCATCAAAACCAAAAATGCAGCAGGTACATAGTTACCACCCATTACGAACTCGCCAGGTCTAGTACAGGCAGGTTTTTTGTTCAAACACATCGAGAAGATTGCAGCTGAACGTGACCCTCTACGTCGTGCAAACTTTGTTCGTCGTGTGTCACAGCACAGGCTGGCAAAACCCTTGTGACTGTCACAAAAAAGGGTCGACGGAAGGGGACTGGTCTGCACAAAACGGGAACTTGTCTTGTGATGATTGTACAATGTTTGGCCCCCGGGCCCGGGGCCAAACATTGTACAATCAAACATGCCGACATTCAGCACGATCAAACTTCCTTCTCCGTCGAGTACTAATCACATATAAAATCCCCCTCAGCTTACCGCAATGCCTCGAGCATCACAAATCTCCATACATCATCACCTTCTCCCCCATGTTTTATGCAGCTCGTCCCCCCTGGCAGTGCCAGTATGTTACCCCTAATCCTACCTTCTCGTCTCCTCCAGCTTTGCACAATGCTCGCTACGCAGGATGGCACCACCCCCCAATACAACTTCCCCGTGTTATCGATGCTCCCTCGCGTCATTCCTTTGAGGTTACCGCTGACCATGCCGGTAGTTGTAACTCTAGTTCTATTTAGGCTGTCAATGCTCACTCGCTACTAGAACTTCATCCCTATGCAACTCACCCCAGCACAGATGCGGGGGCGCAAGGTGATTTCGTTTTTTTTATGGTTCTACTTTCAAGCTTAATCCGTTCTGAAGCATCCGGTATTATGATGGGTCCTGATGACTCTCGACGCCGCAACGTCCCCAATTCTTGGCCATGGAGCGGTGAGTTCTCTGTTGCCGTTGGGGTCAGGTCAATTATGCGATCTGACTTGCCTGATAAAGGCGGCGCTCGCATTCAATCTCACCAGGGCTCTGAGATGCGCACTACAGGGCATGATACAGAGAATACATGGCTCATGTGTACGCGTCCACCTTCGTTTTCCGAACTTCCTAGACGTTCAATTGCATATTCTCATAGACGATCGTTCCGCGCGCCAAACGATGACACTAAACGGTAACGACACGCAAAAGGGTACGGCTCTTACGCAACTTGTTATTTTGGATTAATTCTTATGGCTCACACCAGCACACCCCCATCCGTTTCTCGCGCCACCATCTGTGCCATTGATATATGATCTGCGCTGCGCGCTTACCTCTCTTCGTTTTCCATCATCATCTCCATTTGCAGGCTGTGGGTGCGAGTTCCTCCGCGTCCCACTTACGCCAGAAAGGCCTACGCAGATACGGCTCATCAGCCCGGAATTTCCCTGGGCGTTTAACATTGGCCCCAGTGCCGGAGAAGAGGGCGTAACATGTTACGACGTTCTCGCTGCACTGCACACTGCATTGCAGTGCCCACTCACGGACACAGAGTGGGGAACCGCTAGGGGAGATAAGCGGGCGAGTCTTCTCAGAGCTCACGATCGCCGCCTACGGATTGAACCTGCGTTGCTCGGGAGGGCGCATTCTGCAGGACACACTAGCTTTGCACCTGGTGCCAATGTGCCGCATCGCAGGCCTGTGCAGCCGGAGCCGCTGCTACTCCGTATCGACTGGCTTGGACCCCGTGTTGCATTTCTGGGGCTTGTCAAAGATGATGCATTTGCGAGGAGTAGACTCATTCCGGGTAGTGGGCAGCCACCTGAGACATGGGTAGTGAAGTTCCAGAGATTATGACTTCGAAGGTCCGGAGAAAATGTACAAACATCTTACTATCAGTTATCGTTTATCGGAATTGTATGAAGTGTGGAAAATATGCGTCGCTACTTACGTTGGGATCAAATGCTAGTCGTGCAATGGCTGCTGATGGCAGCAGGAAGAAGAATATTTGCTGCGGACAACGTGCGATAATAATGCAACGACAGTGGATGGTAATGGTGAATATCTGGTCACCGGTCACTATGAGCCAATGAGAGTCAACGTATCCTGCAGTCTGTTATTCTTGATTCTCTCACGTCCCCACGTGGGTTTAGAACTTTCCATCTTGATAGAAAGATCAGCGCGGTGCCGATTTTCTTCCCCCCGTCTCTTCTCCCTGAATACTAAGCTGGATCACGAAGTCGCCTTGGTGTAAGTCATCGGGAGTATTGCTTCTTCGCGGAAAGCAGCCGCAATTTAACTTCACTTGCTGCCGTGGGTACCTACCTACTCGAGCTCCGAATCCTTCCATCATGAAAGGTCTATGGTTATATGGCGAGGGAACATATATGTGAACCCTGACGTGTGCACCATATATGCGCAGGGGGACCCGCGCGCCCACTGCATTACAATTGGAAGCATGGTGATTGAACATAAGGTGAGGCAGCTATGACAGAGTGGTTTATGTACGTGCCTGGAAACTCTGTACCGTTGGAAAGTACGCTCAAAGTTATTCTCAGATCTGGCTCAAAGCAGCGGTGAGGGCATAGCGTAATCAACGGATGTGCTTTTACGATCGCAGGTCTAGATGGCATGAGAGATGGCCCATAAACTGAGTTAACGTCCAAGCACTGGTAGCTAGCTAAGCGGTCAATTTCGCAGCGTGGTTGGTCCCTCACTTCAAGTGGATATTAACGTACGGCGAAACATAACTACGTCGTTATACAAAGTTCGTGAACGAGCCAGCCAGCGTCTCAGAAGCCTAAAATACGCACGTGCGAGTGTGAAACTTGATGCAATCCACCACGCAATCAGAAGGTGTGAACTTGCGGCCTAGCAGGACTTAGCCTAAAGACCAACATCATCCGTGCGTTTGAATGGGCTAGTTTATGACTAGTGAGATTAGAACACTTGTCTACAAGGACATTCTGACAAAGAAAAGTTGGTCACGACTCACATATGTTAGATCTAGCTAGAACGAAGGGTGACATAGGAACGAAAGCACTCTAGACCGCTGGGACCTGGGTGCCTCCACCTTGACCATAACCGCTACACAATCAGCTGCAGTGGACGGTCCACCCAAAGCGCGAGTACAATGGACATGTCCTATTACATCCGCACTTCAAAGCTGCCGCAAAACAAAATTCTACTAGGGCTTGCACATAAATAAAGGTCATCGATGAATTAAACCTCGTACTATCCCATCGTTGATCTATCTGCCGTGTCTGTCATATCTATCATCTGCAATTTCGGTGAGCACATCATCGTAAAATACAGCGAACTATAGCTCACCGAGTCCTATAGCCTTCTTCTAAGATGTTTAACGGCTCCACACCCTATAACGTCGAAATCATCCAGCTTTGGCGAGGCAAAATAGGGCCCTACAGGCACTTTCCCCTTCACTGGGTGATCTACGTCGAAACCGATCCTGGTATCGGAAACACATACCAGGTCGTGGGAAACCCGGACAACTACGCCACAGACATCAAACTCAACCAGCCATACGAAAAATCAGACAACTGGCGTGGAAGTTTCAGCGTCGGAACAGTGAACTGGGTCCAGCTCGGCGAAATGGAGAGAATCATCTCAAGAGTTCAGATTATGCACGACATTCCCGGATGGAACAGCCAGGATTGGGTAGCATCTGCTCTCTTCTCTCTCAAGTGCTCGGGGTTTTTTGGCATCACGTCGGAAGTCGGGGTCCTGGAACTTGCAGACAAAATGTGCTGGCTGCTGGAGGGTTGGCCCGGGGTTGAGAATATGGTCGAATTTATCGGTGGAGACGATCTGGCGTGCGTAATTGCCAACCGACATTTCAAGAAAACGCACAAATTGGTGTGGAGGGCGCCTGAATACGGTCATATGCGCGAGTGGTTGAAAGAATCTTGTCGTAATACCTGCCACGATTTCTGTGGAGCATTATAGACATCGTCTTGCATTCTCCATTTGTAGTTTTGTATCATCATATTGATTATCAGAGTCGTTCCCGATGGTAGAAGTGGCGTAAGCTTTGGGTGTTGGGCTTTCCAGATGGCTCGGAACGGCCTGATTCCATTCCTCGATGGCAAGCCGTAGCTTGGGTGATGTACACAAAAAACCGAGCTGGCGTACGTGCGATTATATGAGTTGGATGTGCGAGCCTGGAAGTGAAGTTGTTTAGCCGAGTAGGAGAGAGAGTGACTCAAACAGTCACTGATTCCCACCACCAATCGGGTCACTCAATTGTATACAAGTATATCTGCCTTGCAAATTATTCGCACAAAACAGCAACAATGCACACTAGCCTCAAATAATTCCTCACTCCTCACTGTTGCACCACCTCCCACCACACCTTCTTCACTTTCTCACCGTTTACCTTCTCCTCAGCCCCCACTTTAGCATCCCCCACAGCAACCCTCATCCCCGCCCAACACGCATCCACAAGCCCAGCACCACCCGCCATCCCCATAACAAGACTCGCAGCATAGTAAAAATTTGCGTTCCCACGGCCCTCGCTTACCCAGAGTACATGTTGAAGCGGAAGGAGGAGCGCGGCGTGTAAGTGGAGGAGTGTAGTGACGATGGGGTATCGTAGGTCTGTGAGTGCGAGTTGAGGTAGGGCGAATGTAGGAGGGAAGGGGGACTTACAACCGTGTACTTCAGGGAAGAGAGATATCATGCTTAGAAACAAGCCTGGGTCCGCGAGAGTTAGGTACGCTTTGAATGTCCCCAGGACGCCTATGAGGAGGAATGCGGCGTAGAGGGGGTCATGTCTACAAGTGAGTGTATCAGAACCAATCACAATTAGCACGTATAATACCCCGGAATCTCTTACTGGAATTTTATGCAAATAGGTAGTATGTAAATGACGAGGTGAACCTAACTATGTAGTTAGATGGCACATGTTCGCGCGAAGAGGACGAGAACGCACAGAGAAGACCATGAGAAAGAATGGTCTGAAGTGATCGAACATCTCGGTGAAGAAGTACCACCAAAGACCGGGATTAGGCGTAAGGTCTGGTAACGTGAGGCTGGGATGGTATGTTTATGGACCATCTGCCAGGCATTGGAAGTTGACTTACCTCGCGCCCCATGACGCACTAACCCAGTTCCAGCCTCCGCCCGCCATGGTACATGCTGCGCCTACAAGGACGAGCCAGTACAGTGTGAACTCACCAAATAGGAACGGTATACGCCTGAGGCTGCCGTGAAACAGGCGCGGGGACGCGAGGTGAGACGCAGGAGAGGTGACGAGGACCATGAGAATCGGTAGAAGCAGAAGGATAGAGGAGGGGGTGAGGTGAACTGTGAATGCGATGGCGAGGAGAGCGGAAGATGGTCTACCTGAAATTGAGGAATGCGCATGAGCCAACTTCGATGAAGGCATTGGGAAGTACCTTCAGAGGCGAACATGAGAGCAAGGAGGGTGAGGGCATTTTCGAATGTGGATGTCGACAGCGCAAGTGATGGAAGGAGGAGGTATGGATTCAGTAAGTAGCTGTGAGGTGCGTTAGATGCGTACTTGAAGTATGATGATGGAACGCACACGCTTACGATGAGGCTCTCTGCATTGGACCTCGTGCCCTTGTGAGGTGATAAACCCTGGCGTGCACGCCATATACGGAGAAGTGCCCATGCTCCCACTGCATCAGATACAGCCCATGTTATTGGGAGTGGAGGTACAATGGTTGAAAACAAGGAGAGTAGGAGAGGCGACTATGGCACAGCTGGTCAGCTCATGACATGTGGTCCAGTGAAGTGACGTACATGGTGAAAAACTCCTCCAATGTATGGGTCGATATCATTGTCGAGAAGCCAAAGACCTTCGTTTACTGGTAATGCCATGGATTAGCGGTGCAATTACTTGTTTAGCAGCGCTTTGGCACATACAGCGAAGGTAGGAGGTCAGTGGAGAGCTGAGTTGGTGGTCATGTCTGAGGAGATGTTGACCTGGAAGTGGTAGAACGGCGAGCAGAAAGCGAAGACATACCAGCACTGGAAACGCTGGTGCATCCGACATCGTGTTTGCTTTGAGAGTTTCTGCCGCCGTTGTGAGTATATAAGGAAGGTGACATGTTGAAGGGTGGCAGTGGCAGTGCCGCTTTGGCCTACAGTGACGATAAGCAGCTTCTTCTACAGCAATTGGCCCTTGCCATTCCGATGGTATATAAACCCCTCAAAACGATGCTTTCTCGAGCATCTCAAGTTATCGTACGCGTACTACATCAACGCCACCTCCCCCATGTCTCATTTCACTCGTCCGTCATGTCCCAACTCCTCACCTCTAGCCTTGCACAATGCTCGCTACAACGGGTGGCCCAGTCCTCCAGTACAGCTTCCACGTGTCGATTCGCCTTCATTCAACAAGCCCGCTGAACAGCGCGATGCGTTTGCAATCGATCCCCCCTCGAACCGTCTCCCTCATGACGGTAATGCCACTCATACCCGTAAGCAGCTATCCCTGTTCTACTTGTGGCTCTCTGTCTCAGCCGTTATTAGAACACCACCCTATTCGTCCCCAATGTGACACTCACCCACATGCAAATTCTGGGGTGCAAGGTATCTACCCTCTCCTTTGTTCTATGCCAAGCTCATTCGTTGTGTAGATATAATGTGTCCTGTTGAATCCCGACGACGCGACGTTTCTAACTCATGCATGTACAACGGTAGGTTCCTGTCATCTAATCTCTCATATAATCTGACTCGGCCGACCATCAAGGTGGCACTCGCCAAAATCCATCTCTCCAATGCGCTTTCGAGACGCGCACCGCAGTTCGACATGACAAAGAGAACGCAGCGATCAAACGTAAGCGTCCCCCCTCGTTTAGTTACAACTGCCAAGATGCCCACTTTCCTAGGTGATCCCGTACGACGAACCAATGATTCAATGCCACTTATCGACCAGGACACACAAAGCGGTGCGGCTCAGATGAAAACTTATAACCCTGATCGTTCCTAATAGGCCTCCCCCTAGCATACCGTATTCTTGCGGCGGGACCATGCGTGCCGCTGGTGTACGATTTGCGATACCCACCCACCTCTCTCCAATTTCCACCATCATCTCCGTACGCAGGACGGGGATATGAGCTCCTTCGAGTCCCACTCACGCCACGGTCCAAGCAAATACGGCTGATCAGCCAAGACTTTCCCTGGGCATTCGACATCGAACTCAGTGCCGGAGAACAGGACACGACGTTTGAAGTCCTTACTGCGCTACACGCTGCATTACAGCGTCCACTCACAGATACGGAGTGGGGTACCGCTGAAGAGGATAAACACGCAAGTCTCATAAGAGCGCGCGAACGTCGGCTAACTATGAATCCTGCTTTGGGCGGGAGCTTGAATTCCAAGGCATCCCCCACTGTTAAGCCTAGAGTGAGATTCACATTTGATGTGGATGTGAAGCCTGCGCAACGAGAGCTGGTGATACTCCGTGTGGATTGGCTTGGGACTCATGTTGGGTTTGGGGGGCTCGTCAAGGATGACGCGTTTGCGAGGAGGAGACTCATTCCGGGTGCGAGGGAGCCACCTGAGACGTGGGTTGTGAAGTTTCAGAGACTAGTATAATAGTGATATTTGGACGAAATGTACACACCTTTTATGTATTGGTTATTTATCGAGATTTTGGGACGTGTAATTGGCATCCGCATGACAGGGGCTATTGCTCTCTATATGGCAAGGTCTCAATTTTTGAGACCCAGGCTAGACTCGTAACCAGCGCTCCTTACAACACACGATTTTTTGGGGTGGTGGGGTAATCGTGTAACTGTACTACTACCCTTCATATCAAAACAAGAACCTGGGTACGAGACTAGCCCGAGGCCAGCCCGACACTCAAATCGAACATCCGAATTGTGATCGAACTTCGCCTATCTGGCTGGCACTGCAAAACGTTATCGAAGAAGAGCTTCGCAACTCACCTGCGTACATCCACGATGGTCTAGAAGTACAGGTCGAGCCTTAAGTAGGTCTGTTTAGCCTTTCAAATTTTACTGATTCGATTCAAACAACCACCAGCCAAGTAGCCCACTTCTCGCCGCAAGTCTCACGTACTGATCAAGACGCACGGCGGAGGTACTATAGCGGCCAGAGGGAATCATTGTGATTATCTCAGTTGAAGTCAAGTAACTCCGGTTTCGTGTTTCAGGATGTTTCTGGAAATCGTGGAACGGCGAAACGGAAGATGTCATAGGACGGTTCCTGCACCCCAGCGGCACCCAGCGGCACCGTGGGACGTACGTCAACTTCCGCGAGTTCCTTTTGCTGCCAAGACTAAATTACTTTGCTGATCTCCAGCGTTCACGTGGGTACTGCGAGCGCTTACTGCTAGCCTGCCTTAACTTGGAGACCCTAGCTTCCACAGAACAGAAGACGAGTGTTTTAGCAAGCGCAAAATTTGAACTTTTGAAGCTTGCGTGGACCCCGGATGTGTGCGGCCCAGAAGTTTAGGCAGCTACGACGTATTCGGCCATCCATTGAATACCTCAGGGACGTGCAGTGCAAAAGATTTGTGTATGCTATCAGCTAGCTCTGTTGGAACTAACAGTTTGTCAGACTGAGCCCGCATGCCCGGTCGTTTCTGACAAGTGTCGTTGCTACTTCCAGATATAAGGTTTCCTGTCTTTTGCCAAGTAAAGATGTTGAAAGAAGCTGAAAGACCACGAACCGGATTCTTGCTGGGAAGCCGAGGGGTCGCCCCTAGTTCTGCTGGATCATGTCAGCTAGTTCCGAAGCGTCTTCAGCGGCGCTTGGTTGAGTAAGTAAGGTGAGTCAGAAGCATAGCAACGACTTGTTCCATGGTACACATACACACTCGCCAGATTTAGCACAGGCACGTTTTTTGTTCAGATGTATGTTGTGAGTACTTACTGACATGGATATTGCGGTCCAACATGCAGGTCAACTTGATCGCACCCCGGTATAATTGAACACCACGTCCATTTTTTACACGTCAATGTCTGGACAAGTAACGTTCCGCCATCCATTGATATCTCATCTTCCGGTGTGTTTGTTGTGATGATTTGGAAATGCTCAGCTATCATTGCTAGTGTCCAAAATCGGACATCCTAAATCGTAGGCTAGTTATCCGGATTCCAGAGTCCGGTCATGATGGTGGGAACTATTGTGTCACAGTACGGGGGAATGATGCCCAGAATACTGCCAAAAATATCTCTTCTCAGTTCTGTCGAACGCATTCTGAGCTATGCAGGTCATCCAAACGTATATAATCCCTCCTCACCATAATGCCTCGACCGTCCCAAGTCTTCTTACACCCATCACCTTCTCCCCATGTTTTATACAGCTCGTCCCCCCTGGCAGTGCCAGCATGTTTCCCCTAATCCAATCTCACCTCCAGCTTTGCACAATGCTCGCTACGCAGGGTGGCCCCGTCCCCCAATACAACTTCCCCGTGTTATCGATGCCCCCTCGCGTCCCTATGAGGTCACCGCTGCCCATGCCCGTAGTTCAACTCTAGTTCCATTTAGGCTCTCAATGCTCACTCGCTACTAGAACTTCATCCCTATGCAACTCACCCCAGCATAAATGCGGGGGCGCAAGGTGATTTCCTTTTTCTATGGTTCCACTTTCAAGCTTAATTCGGTTTGAAGCATCCGCTGATATGACGGGTCCTGTTGATTCTCAAAGCCGCAACGTCCCTAACTCATGGACATGGAGTGGTAGGTTCTCTGTCACAATCGGGTTAGGTCATTGTACGATCTGACTTGGATGATAAAGGTGCCGCCCGCGCTCAATCTCTTCATGGCCCTTCTGAGATGCACACCATAACTCAGCATAATGCAGAGAATGCATTGCTCATATGTACGTGTCCATCTTCATTTGACTAACTTTCAAGATGTTCAAGTGTATATCTAGATGATCATTCTGGACGACGAGCGATGCCATTAAAAGTCAACGACACCCCAAATGGTACGACTCAGACGCAACTTGTGATTTGGATTAATCTTATGCCTCCCATCAGCCTCCCTTCATCCATTTCTCGCTCTACCATCTGTGTCATTTACATATGACCTGCGCTACCCGCCCACCTCTCTTCGTTTTCAATCATCATCTCTATTTGCAGGCTCTAGCTATGAGTTACTCCGCGTCCCACTGACGCCAGAAAGGCCCACGCAGATACTGCTCATTAGTCCGGAATTTCCCTGGGCGTTTAACATCGGCACCAGTGCCGGAGAAGAAATCGTGACGTGTCTTGACGTTCTCGTTACCTTGTATGCTGCATTGCAGCGCCCGCTCACGGACGCTGAGTGGGCCACTGCAGGAGACCATAAACGTGCGAGTCTTCTCAGAGCACGCAATCGTCGTACAAGGATGCAACCTGCATTTCACGGGAGCTCAGATTATGTGTCACGCACTGGACCCACAGTGAGATTCGCACCTGGCGCTTATGCGCCAAACCATAGGCTTGTGCAGCGTGAGCCGCCACTGCTCCGTGTCGACTGGCTTGGATCCAATGTTGCGTTCATGGGGCTTGTCAAGGATGAGGCGTTTGCGAGGAGCAGCCTCATTCCAGGTGGTGGGGAGCGCCCAGAGAAGTGGGTGGTGCGGTTCCAGAGATTATGACTCTGAGGGTCCGAAGAAAATGTACAAAAATGTTATTCCTAGCTATTTTTTTAATCTACATTTGTGAATTGTATAAAATATATGTCGCAACTTACGTTTTGATCAGGTGTAAGTCGTGCAAGAGCTCCTGATGACGCGGACAAGAGGAAGAAGCTTGAGAATCTTTGCTGCGGACAACACACAATAACAATGATCCCTGCATGCAATCATTCTTGATTCTCTCACGTCCTTTCGTGGTCTATGCCACATAGATCTTTCCATCTTGATGGGAGGATTAGCGCGGCTCCGATTCCCTTCTCCTCGAGCTCGTCTGTTTTCCGTGACTAAGCGAGGGAACATACACGCATAATGAGATTAGACCTTGTCCCTTTGCGAGGTCATGAACCCTAACGTGTGCACGGTAGATACGGAGACTCATGCGCCAATCGCATTGCAGCAATTACATGGAGGTACAATGGTTGAACATGCTAAGGAGAAGTGACTATTAGTAGAATCCAGATGACGATCTGCCTATGACATGCGGTACCTTGGTTCACTGAAAAGCCTCGGCTGTCAGTGAGCCAAAGCCAACGCGGAGGTAAGAAGCCATCTGAAAATTGAGTTGGTGCCAGGTGGTCGTGTTTTCAGGAGATATATCGACCTACAGCATGTCGATCCAGTACCAGCGATAGGACTCCCAGCGCAGAACCACAGATCTAGACCTAGCAGGAGAACAGCCACGTGCAAGCACAGAAACACAGACCTAGCGACTTACCAACCACACTACTGGCAGTGTTGACAGGTGCCTGAGTAAATTACCTCGAAGGGGCAAACAACTTGTACTTGCATTCCGATTCCCCGGTTCTGTATATCATACCCCGGACCCCGGTGCAATTGAGGCTGTAAATAGATGTGTCAACATACTTGGTGAGATCGTAAGAATCATATATCTGGGTGCAGTTGGAAGTTCCACGTGGAAATTCAAGGCACCAGTTCATCAGGTGTAGGGCTCGATCGACGTTCAGCGCACCCCGAGTCCTCCGGAGCGAGTCGCGAAGAGAGGTGATGAGTCATGTATCATGCATCATGGGTGGCGTAAGTATTAGGACGATCTACTTATTTTTATACGCCTTCAGTGCTTTGCGCACACTGCAATGGCGTGTCTCCCGGGGCGTTACGGCGAAGGAGAGCGCCGTACATAATTGGAGATCGTGCACGGTGCCACTGGTCGTACAGTAATGTCAGACACAAACGGTGCCATTGGTCGTACGGTAATGTCGGACACAAAAACGGAGATTTCTCTCCGTTTTTCTCTGCAGTTGTGTGCACAGTTCATCCAGTGGCTGACTCGGATCTGCTCCCCTGCACCGACTTTGTGGGTCTTCCCTCGACTAGAGACTCGGATGTCGAAATCCGAACAAGGAATGGAAGCCACGGAATGTGGGGCACTCGCCGCGAGTCATGATGTCTTCGTGTGGTGTTGGCGACATAGCCAGTGCAGCTGATGCCCTCAACTCAGGCATGACGCTAACAAACCGCGTACCCAGCGAGTGAGGTCCTCCCATCATGATCCAAGAGATCAAGGACTTCTAAATGTGGTGCAGAATCGGACTTCAGTTATTTACATAGTTCTAACACGTGACTAGACCGACCAGTTGGTAAGCCCATCTTGACTTCTTAATATGGCTACGACTCTTTGATCTACCGGTACCACACAATTGGTATTCGCAGAGCAACGTCCTCCCAAGTAAAGACATATTTCAGAGCCAGATCAATGGCTTGGTACAGATCAAGGTGTCTATTTGCGCTCAGAGACCTTTCTGTAAGCCCCTCCCTCTTAGAGACAAACTTAATCTGACAGGTCATACTACTATATAAACCTCCTCTCATACGTGTTCACCCAGACCCAGATACTTGCTGATATCTTCCCCGTCGGGCACCAACGTCACCTTCCACATGTTTTCTACGACTCGTCCCCCCTGGCAATACCATTGGCCTACCTCTAATCCAACTATCCCACGTCCAGCCTTGCATGATGCTCGCTATGAAGGGTGGCCCCACCCCTCACTGGAGCTTCCCCAAGTTGCTTCACCTTCGTCTACTACACGGCACGTTTCTCTTGCAATTGATGTTCCATTGCACCGTCTGCATGAGGCTAACGCCGCCCATACCCGTGAGCTTTTATTCTTGTTCTACAGCTCTCTGCTTAGCTGTTGTTAGAACCTCGTTCTGTTCATCCCCAGTGTGACGCTCGCCCCCGCACAAACTTTTGGCCGCAAGGTAATCACCTTTTCCTTTGTTCTACATTCATGCTTAATATGTTCTGTTAGCATGCACAGATATAATGGGTCCCGTTGGCTCTCAACGCCGTGAATTCTCCGGTTCGTTGGCATGGAACGGTAGGTTCTTTATTGTCGCATCTTGTCATTATACTCTGACATGGCTGATGCAGGCGGCACCCATTCTCCATCTCTCCAAGGCACTTCTGAGATGCGCTCTACGACGAACACGCGGCTCATACTATGTAAGTGTCTTGTTTGACTAATTTGCAAGGCATTCAAATATCTTTCCAGACGACCACTCCGCACTACGAACGATGACATCAAACGTTAACGAAATTCAAAAGGGTATGTTATAGACACAACTTATGACCGCAATCGTTCCTCATACCTCTTACTAGCCTACCCCCACCCATTTCTCGCAACGCCGTCCATGTCACTAACTTACGACCTGCGCTTCCCACCTACATCTCTCGGCTTTCCATCGTCATCTCCATATGCAGGCTGCGGGCATGAGCTACTCCGCGTCCCACTTACGCCAGAACGGCCTAGACATATACGTCTCATCAGCCCAAACTTTCCCTGGGCGTTTGACATCGGTCCAGACCCTAGTGTCGAAGATGAGGTCGTGTCGTGTCTTGACGTTCTCGCTACCCTGCATGCTGCATTGCAGCTCCCACTCACAGATGCTGAGTGGGCCACCACTGGATATAATAAACGTGCAAGTCTTATTAGAGCACGTGGTCGTCGCCTTGCGTTGCGAGGGAGCTCGAATTCTGCGGCACGAACCAGGCCTACTGTGAGGTTTACACTTGGCACTTATGCGTCGAATCACAGGCCTGTGCAGCGTGAGTCGCCGCTGCTCCGCGTCGACTGGCTTGGATCTAGAGTTGCCTTCATGGGGCTTGTTAAGGATGAGGCGTTTGCGAGGAGTAGACTCATTCCGGGTGGTGGAGAGCCACCCGAGACTTGGGTGATCAGATTCCAGAGGTTATGATTCTGAACGTTCGAAAAAAATGTACAAACATCTTATTGGTTACAGCTGATTTCCGTTACAGCAGTAATGGGTTTTGTTGTGCCATGGCCGTTTTGATGTGAACGACCAAATTTCTTGGTGGAGAATTCAAAATACATTCTTCAGCTACGTACAAGCGAATTTATCTGTAGTATTATCTATTTGTACCAATCAATGCAATCTGCTCGTATTTGTACTTCCAATGACCTCCTTGAGAATTCAACTCGTTCGAAATTTCGTCTCACTGTGAAGGATTGGTCATGCAAAGGTCACGTGTTGGTTGTACGAGCGTACTCATTCATAAATTCAGAATTTTCATAAGTTCACATAATGGACATTGGAGACTCGAGAGTACTGTTCCTGCGCACGATCCATCCATCAATATTTTTTGTCTCGCTCTCATACGTCACCTGTCAACGTGAAAGAACCTATCATCTATCGGCTGCCAGTGGAACTTCTACAACAAGTATTCTTGCTCATTGTTGTCGACATGTCCGAGTCAGACTAGCACTGTCCCATGGCCAGTATTTTCTCATGTGGAGATAGGCTACCAATGCCATTTCAGTCAATGTTGTCAACCCTCCCCTAGCCTCTACCAGGGTGCGTCACCTTTGGCGAGTCATTGCGTATTCAACGGCAAGGATCTGGTTGCACATCCAGGTCGTGCTCCTGGACGACTTCGATCATTGAAGCGATTTCTTCCGCATCTCCTTCAAGTGTTGGATTGCACGCTCTGGTAGTCAGCCCCTCATTCTTGGAGTGTTGCTGGTCCCATTTAAATGATTTTTCATCGTCTAGGGACCATCGTGGTGGATGGAATCTGTGGTGTTGCTGGACGTGATTCGGCGATCCATGGACAACACGGAGATATTCTCAACCGGCAACTCGTCATCTTACCGTCAACTCGAGGGCGGCGTTACTCCTCCCGATCATCATATCCTCCTGGAGCTCGATCTACTGATGGGATGGATGCATGGCCCTTCTTGCCAAGTACAAGTGATCATCTAGTTTTAGCGTCCTCCCATACTACCAATGACTCCGGATCGCCTACCAATCCTTTGGCTGTTTAGTGTGTGATGGTCCGGCATCCCGGAATTGACCTTGCCTTCGTGTCTATGACAGTTCATGCGGGTACATCGATTGACGCTGTGAATACAAAACATGTTTGGAACTGCCAAGACATGTGAGCCGGCCGCCTGCTAATATATAACAGCATGCGACGATAACTACTCAGTGGGTCTCTTAGCACTTACCAGCCATCTCTTGTCACCCTCGAGTATTGAATTTTTTGCATTAACTCACCGTCCAGCTGGCGATATCTCAATCAGCGTCGTGCCGCGCGACGAGGCTGAGTCAAGCATATCAGCAAAATGGAGAGACGGAAAACAAAGAGCAACGAGGGAGAAGGATCCACCACCCTATGGTGCACATAATCGCCGCCAGGACGCACTTTGGGAAGGGAGAAACCGCGTGTGATAGCACTCACTGACTAAACAAGAGGCAGGTGGGAATAATTCATTACCTCCTGAATGGGAGGAGTTTAAGATGCCGGATGGTAGGTCAGTATACCAAGACGACTCCCTCACAATGTCTTCATGGAATCGACCTTTACCAGGAGTGCGACTAGGTGAGCAAAGAATGCACCGCTAGCGGCGAAGAACTTATTTAAAGCATAGATTATTCCGAACACCTCATTGCTGGATGCGAATGGCACGTCTCATCAGCAGGGAGCTTGATGCCGGGCCCCGGGAGTGCACCATCGAGGCTCACTCCAAAAGCCATATGGAGCAGACTGTCCAGTTCGCATCTGGGACCTCAATCCCAACGAATCAGTCGGAAAACCACTGATGCCGCATGCACGACTACAAACTTTTTGCTCTCGCCATTTCCCGTGACGGAAAATATAATGTTAGTACTGGAGTAGATGCACATATATATGTGGAGCTTCGAGGCAGCGCTCAAACACAACGGCGATGGATCTGTGAGTGTACTTATGTTTTTTCGGTGTCTCTTTTTTGAGCGGGCTTCAGATCGGGGATGATGTCAATGCATGGCAGCAGCCCGACGCGAAGAAGGTCGGTCATATGTGTTTCTCTTTGTACTCGTATCTCACTTTTTATCAGAAATATGCCGAGCAACGGAGAGTTGCGTGTACATCATTTGTGAAAAACCTCACACTTGGCTCATTCGTCTCATGAGATTCGTGTTACCCGCCGCCCGGTCTTCCAACAGGGGGCCAGTAGCAAAGGCTCGCAGGCGAAATATGTTGGTATATTTTATTCCTGCACTCGTTCTCGCCTTACATTGATAAAGAGAGAGCAGCTATGCGACGCATAAGGGGCAATGGGGCTAACAGTTCAACGCCATCGGGTGGACTTGCTGCGGGGATACCAGCGTCTCAAGGACTGCGAACATAAACACAGGAGCCCACTGGTGGGATGGGAGACAAATGTTCACGAAGAAGTGAGCCGCTGTGCATTTTTATTTGGTTGTTGTTGTCGTCGTCCCACCTCACAGCAGTCATGATGTTATCCAACTACCTAATTTATGTAGCGTTTGCGAGGCAATCTGCCACCAACGTGAAGTCTATTAGTATCCATATGTTCTCACCTTCCTTCGTTTGATCTTTCCCCATCCAATTATTCCTCATCTTCTTGGCTCCAGAATGTCGCGCCGAACGAACCTTCGCCAAACATTTTTCCTTACTTATTATCACTTGTCTTAATTACAGAAAGCCTACAAAAGCCCCAGTATTATAGTGTTGCCGGTGTTCTTGTAACTAATTATTACATGGTGAGATTGCGTGGAACGTCTTATCCTATCTTGTAAGGTATCAATCGGCACGCGCATCAGACGATCTTTGTCGAGGGTGTCCCACACGTCAAGAAGCCAGCAAACCCTGCAAGCCACTGTTTCCTGAACGGATTATTGTAACACCAGCACAAGAGGATAGTCCTTCGCTTCACGTGCTGAGCGGAACACAGGGTACGACGGGCCTGCTAAATTACAGGTTCATTGTTTGTCGGTCCTTCCCTACTTGATCGCAACCGATGCCATTCTCAAAGGACACAGTGTCTCGTGTTACAGTCCTCGCAGACTGCGCGTTGAAACCCGTGTTCTCCCAGCACACCCGTGGAGGCGGAAGAAAAAAACGTGAACAAGCAAATGTCATGCATTCAATCTTCACTTCATGCCTGAGTAGTTCCACAGCGAAGCAAGTATTGATGTAGATATCGGTCCTTCGTTCACGAAATGTGCTAGAAAATAGCGATCTCAATAGTTTGACAGAGACTGAGACGGTGATTTTTGTTGTGGTTCTATTCCACATGTTTTTTTTTATTTGATTGTAGCGTTGTAAGCATATATAATTTACATCGTGGATTTAAGTTGTGGACGCACCACACAAGCCACATCACACACCCGAAAGTGCCACAATTCCTTATCATTTATTTCCGACCTCCTAAAGTAGATCCCAAACTTGATCCAGTACCATACCCTTCATCAGACGACTACCTGTGCATTAAAAACCACAACGCATAAAACGAACGAAGCACCCTTCTCTCACGCACATCACTCACACAACAACCAAATCCCAGCCATGGATGAAGCCACACTTCGCAAGCTCTCCCGCGCAGAGCTCCAAAAGCTAGCCAAGGTATATTTTCTTGCGTTCCTTGTCCTGAATGGTGGTCGCTGATATGGAATCAGGAGCACAAAGTGAAATCGAACTTGAAGAGCGTGGTGATCATCAGAGAGTTGGTAAAACTCTACGAGGCTGTTCCGATAATGTACGTTCCTTGCTTCATGTTCGCTATAATCAGTCCTGACAATCATTCAGTCAAGACGAAAACAGCGAAGAGCCTCCAAGAAAGAAGTCGAGATTAAGGGGAGAGAGTCCCTCAACTGCTGGGCCTTCGACAGGAATCATAGAGCAGGCGAAGGACGTGAGGGATGTCGTGCGCGCCGAGAAGGGGCGACATGTGCGATTAGAGACTATGATACTTCGCGTACTGGAGGGAGATCTCGCCCGAATGGCCAAAAGAACGAAGAAGGCGAGGAGGATCAGATGAGGACAGAGCGGGTGCAAAAGGCTATGAAAATGGAGCAGCTGCCCCTCCTACGGAAGTCGAGCAGCCAGGTGGACGTGTTAATCGCCTGCCTTCGCCGCAGTTAATCGCCAATGGAGGAGCGGCAAAACGAAAACATTACGCTTAAAACATCTGCGATCACTACAAAAAATACCTGTGTACCCCGGCTCCAGTCGTTAAATTGGTGTGTGGTTGAACGTAGTAGCCATTTCCTTGTCTAATTTTCTACATAATATAAATGGAAATCATGGTTGTCACGGTGCCGTCTTCTATGTAGTCACGGTTGGCTTCAACTTTGTCCCTTGGCCAGCTAGAGCTTGTACATACTAGTACTGTCAACGATGATGCTTCGTATACAAACTCGCATGCTTCTTCACCTAGGCTGTGGCATAGCCAACGCCTCATTTGAACTTTCGGGTTAAGAGAAGAGCTCAGCGATGGCGAGCATGGGGCAAGCATAAACAAGACGCTGGCCACGCCCAAAGCATTCAGCAAGAAGTGCAAGAAAGTGCTCCTGTGCACGATCCATGCATTGTTCGTCTCGTGCTCATATGTCTCTCCCTTCAACGCGAAAGAACCTATCATCCATCGGCTGCCGGTGGAACTTCTACAACAAATATTTTCGCTCATCGTTGGCGACGTATCAGACTATCCCAGTATCTTTTTATTTGGATCTGTTACCATTTCAGCCAATCTTGCCAACCCTCCCCTGGGTGTGCGGCCTTTGGCGAGTCGTTACATATTCAAAGCCACGCGTCTGATCGTGCTTCCAAGTCATGCTTCCCGGACAAGTTCAATCATCGGATCCATCTCTTTCATATCTCCTCAAGTGCTGGCTTGCCCGCTCTGCTAGTCAACCACTCACCCTTCGCATTGAAAACAAATGCGGACATTGCTCAGAGTTGGATAGCTCGGAAGCAGATTCTCGACTTCTTGATATCCTCCTTTCTGAGAGGAGGCGTTAGGAAACGGTTACTATGTCACCTATGTGCCTCCAGTCGCAATCTTGACACACCTCGGTTGAGAACCCTGGACCGTTACTGGTCAGACGCCCGCAGATTCTACACACCGTGGCTTTCTCGCCTTTGCATCAATGCTTGCTGTTGCTGCGAAAACGTCCAAATCGGCGCGCATATGTCTACCTGTAATAATTTACATCTATGTACGTCATTTCCACATCCAGGCCGCTTTCCTGCGAGAAATGCTCTCTAATTTTTCCTAGTCTGGAGACCATCGTGGTGGACACATGCTTGCCTTGAACCAACGACCCTCCCCTCCGCGTCTCTTTATTGGATCTTGAATGTTCAGTCGACTTCCTCTTCCTATGTTGCGGAAATTGAACCTGGTAGGACGAGTTTCATCTTTCCATACGCCGGTGGTAGACGGGTGCACCCCTGAGCAAAGTTGATTTGAACAATATTGAGCCGTTGCTCTCAGTCGTGGATGAAGTTACTGTTTGTAGGTAAGTGCTCTGTTATCCCGTCCTGGTACTTTGTCACGCAAACCTTGCCGGTCTAGAAAACTTGCTTCCGACCCGTGACTCAGTAACACAACGGAATTCGGGATTTCAACGTTACGAAAGTACACACCAAGTACACGCTGATGGATGTCTGCCGTATATTGAATTTCAAGTTGAGCCATTCTTGAGAGATCTGCTCTTTACCCTCTGGGCGTGAGCGATATCACATCCGCCGCGAGATAGGCGATCTGTCAGCCCTCTGCTCAAGAAGGGCCTCTTTGCAGGGATTCGCGCCCTTCACGATGATAAATCAACCCTCAAACAGGTCTATCCATCCAACCTTTCTTCAGCTCTCGTCTAATCCTACTGCAGAAAACAAGCCATTCAAATCCCATCATGCGACCAAACCCGCTCTCAAAGGCACCACAAAAGGTACGCTTCTCCATTGCTCACACATTCCGATAAAAGCCGTTCTCCAGCGCGCACCCGTTTCTGTCTCTGACAGGCTGCACCATTCGCCAGAGCACAAAATCGCTGCCGGTAGGCACTAGGTTGCATCGGCCCGCCTTTACAGGCGCAACATCCAACAGCAGGCCCAAACAACTGAACCCGCTTTCCTTGTCGCTGCAACATCTTCAGCAGCACCGATGGCGCACCACGCACCAAACATGCATGCAAGCCCTCAGAAAATGCACACACCAAGAGATACATGGCATCAATGAGAACACAAACGGACCATGAAAAATCTCACGCGGGAATGGGTATTGACACTTACCCTGCTTCAACGGGCATAACCTACAGTTCAACGGCTCGGAACATCTATGTTCTAGCTCTCATTGAGCACAAGGCGAAAAATCTGTTCCACATGCGCAAAGTGAACCTCGCCTGGCCGAGTCACGTGCTTATTCGGCTCGTCTCAAAACTACACGAGGTAACGACAGTGACTGAAATCAAGGCCTGTGCTAGTTGTTTAGCCAAATCGCACACCTCTTTCTGCCACTGCGTATCGCTTTCAAGTCGTCTGCTCGAGTAAATAAGGAAAGTGAGGAGGACATATCGGACTTTCACACTTCGGCGAGTGGAACACCGTCACAGCGACGGCGAACACTAGACAGACAAACGGTACGAGGAAAAGCGTATGATTGACGGGACGGTGAGGAGCTAAAGTATAGTAGCGTAAACTATGGCGTATATATAGGAAAAGCAACCTATAGCCAAATAGCCGATAATACAGTAAGGTGTCCAATCATCGAGCAGTGAGTAGGACGCCAGACAGAACACCTACGTCATGAGCGATGTCTACGTCATGTGGTAAGCGTGAGCTTACACCCCTTCCCATCATCTTTCTGATCGCTTTTTCTTCTCCCACTCGTCCAGCGCCTCGCAATCCTCCAAATCTCGGCGAGGTAGCCATTCATCGTCCGCTTCATCAAAACCGACCCACCGCACCAGATACTGCGTCCCTCGACCTCTTTTTCGTTCATCCAATATGCGGTCTATGAAATTCTCCAGTTGACCGTCTTCTGTAACAACAGGGCCAGGTTTTGGTTGTTCACGCGAGGGGAATAACACGGGATCGTTTGGTTGGTATTTGCAAAGCTGGCTGACGTGGAAAGTGGGAAATATGTTGGGCGAATTGGGAAGATCCAAGGTGTATGTAGATGTCTCCGTGTGGGCGTCGAGGATAGTGTAGGGACCATCGTAACGAGGCATGAATTTAGCAACTCTTTTATCGCCTTTTTGCATATACTCCCGGCGACGATGTCTTGTGGCTAACATTACGCGATCCCCAGCGTGCAGTACAAGTGTTTTTGCGCGAGTGTTGTTTACATGTGAAGCTTGAGATGCTTTTGCAGCTAAGAGGTTGTCCTGCGCTTCTAGTACGTCGTTCGCGAGTCTTGAAAGGAAGGCGTGCACGTTGTGTTCGTGTAGGTCGTTAGACGCAGGAGGTGACGACGATAGGGGGGGAAGCATACGTGGTGAACGTCCGAGGTGAAGCTGGAAGGGAGAAAAACCAGTGCTTGCGTTGACCGTATTCATAATATGAAAACGTACACGTGGTAAGGCTTTGACCCAACCCTTCTGATTCCTCCCAACGTGATAACGTAGACATTGATTGACTGTCTTGTTCGTTCGTTCGCTAGTGCCGTCCGTTTCGGGGTGGTAAGAGGATGACATCTTAAGTTTAATGCCAGTTAGTTTGTGTAAGGTGCGCCAAAACGTAGACAGAAAAATCTTATCGCGATCTGAGATGATATCTTTTGGTAAGCCGTTTTCACAGTACCAATGATCGAAAAACAGCGTGGCGAAGTGCTCTGCAGTAATGGTATCTCTGCACGGGACGAGTCGGACGTCAGAGTTAAGTCGGTCTGTCATTGAAATCAACATGTTGAAGCCCGAATCCTCTGGCAACGGTCCAATAAAGTCCACGGCGACAGAATCTCCACGAGCGTCCGGGACGGGTAGAGGATGCAGCGGACCGGCGGTTGATGTAGTTTTGGACTTATTCCTCATACACTGGGAGCATGACGGAATGTATGACTCGACTAAGTCCTTTCGCATATGTGGCCAGTAGTACGAAGCACGAAGGAGGTTGTAGGACTTGTCTGCACCGAAGTGACCTGCTGAGTCGTGAGCTGCATGAAACAGTTCTTCGCGTAAGTTGTCAACGCGTGGAATCACGAGGCGTTCGGCAATGTAGAATAATCCTTCAGCGTCCCGTGACAGTCCAGGTAACGAACCTAGGAGATCATTCAGTTTGACACACCAAGGGTCTGTTGCGTACCCTGCGAGGATTCGTTCGTGCACATTCTTGTTTGCATGAATGGAAAGAATCGCGGCGGTCAGCTGTTTGTTTGATATGGTGTCTGTACGGCGGGAAAGAGCATCAGCAGCACCATTGTCTTCTCCTTTAATATAATGAATATCGAAATCATACTGAGATAAATATTCTGCCCAGCGCATTTGTCGTCTCGAGAGATCACGCTGGGTTGTGAAGTTCTGTAAAGTCCGATGATCAGTATAGATGTTCACGTGCATACCCAAAAGCTCGCAGCGCCATTTCTTCAATGCCCGTATTATCGCTAACAATTCTTTTTCGTGAACAGGATAGTTCAGCTCCGCGCCACGCAGCTGAGTGGATTCGAATGCAACAGGTCGTGCGTCTTCGCGAGTTTCACCCCACGACAACATAGCGCCCGTTGCATAATCCGATGCATCGCACATCACGAAAATTTTGTTCTTGCCCGGGTTGTCGTGATTGATGCACGTGAGACATTGTGGACTTGTCACCAGTTTCTTAATGGCATCGAAAGCAGCTTCGTGTTCGCTCGACCATGAAGGGAACCGGAGTTTGGCAGCCTTAGTTGTTAGCAAAGCCAGTACACGAGTGTATGTGGCGACCTGCGGTAAGTGATTAGAGAGATATCGAACCATACCCAAAAAGGCCCGAACGTCGGACGCCTTTTGGGGTCGAGGCCAATCTAAGACACGAGCGACTTTGGAGTCGTCTACCTCGATGCCCCGACGGGAGATATGGTGGCCGAGAAAGTCGAGTTCCGTGCAGAACAGGGTTGTTTTCTTGAGCGAACAATACAGATGGGCATTTTTGAGTGCTTGTAGAACTAGACGAATGTTAGTCTCGTGTTCTTTCAGTGTTTGTGACCAGATGATAATATCATCAAGATATACGTGGCAAATTTTGCCTATTAAATGGCGAAGTGCCGACGTCATTCGTCGTTGGTGTACGGCGGGTGCGTTGCGTACACCCATGGGCATGACAGTCCATTCATACTTGCCAAACGGGGTGTGTACAGCGAGGTATTTCATGTCGTCCGGGTGAACTCGGGTCTGAAAGAAGGCATTAGTCATATCAATCTTCCCAAAAAATTTACCCGATGCACAGTCTTTTAAAATTTCATCAATCCGTGGAAGCGGGTGATTGTCCGGAATAGTATTCAAATTGAGGCGACGAAAATCGTTGACCCAACGAGGGAGAACAGTAGGGTCGGCCTTTGGTATGATAAATGACGGGGATGACCATTTGCTCTTGGATGGTCGTAGTCGTCCACTGTCGAGGTGAGTTCGGAGTAAAGTCTTCCATGCGTCTCGATATTTTTTTGGGCAGTCGTACGACCGTAGTTGAACAGTTTGATTAGCATCACGTAAATTTATGCGAAATAGAACATCACTGGGTATGGTGTCGTTGTGCGGAATGTCTGAGGGGAAGCGACACTCAAATTCTTTCTTAAGCTTGTTGTCGAGATTCTTCAAGTGTTCTTGATAGTCGAGATCTTCGATCTTCGCTTGGACGGCCGCGATTATGTCAACATCTTTAACCTTCTCGCATTCATCATCTACGATGGCTTTCAGTTCTGGAAGGACGCATTTCAATTCCCGAATAACGTCTTGTTTCATCCACATAAGTTTCGGGCCAAACGGAGAGATGCGCGGTGGTGGCGAGGGTTTGACCGATGGAGGGTGCAACAAATCGTAGTTAGTATCCTTTACAATGCACGTACGTAGCTCATGATCAATCACGATGCGATTATGTTGGAGAAAGGGACCTCCAAGTAACAGTGGTGTACACAAGTTCGGCACGATAACGGCGCGTACAGTTCGAGAAGTATAAGCTTGATCAACAGAAGTGCAGGACAATTTGACGTAATGCGAGAGAACAAGAGACTGTTTGTCTTTGGACACGGCGAGAGAAATTGAAAGAGGTTTGTGTAATTTGTGTCGACGGATTCCGAGTTTCGAAACGTATTCTTCACCAATCAGAACTAGAGAAGAACCGTGGTCAATAAGAGCAGACACACGAAGCGGTGTAGACACAGCGGGCCCATCAATAAGACAGTCCCAACGAAGGTGAGATGTTTCTAACGGGGCCACGCACTCATCGTCTGATCCCGAATCACAGTCGAAAACAGCGGACGGCATTACTACTGCAACAGTCTGGGAGTCTTCATCAGCCTCCACCGATGCTACTACTTTACCATCTCTCCGAGGTTTCTTGGCGAGTATAGTTGCAGCCGTTAAGACCTTGTACGTGGCACCATCAGGGAAGCCTTTAGGACAAGAGGACGACGTATGGCCAGCGAATGGCTCGCGGCACTTGAAGCATCCATCGTTGTCTTGTAAGAGCTGTCTTTCAGTATCGGAGAGAGTAGGAAGGCGAGTGAACGTTTTAGGTGCGGTCGTAGTAGAGTTGGAGGCGGAAGGCTTCATCTGACGGGAATTATTGTTGTTTGACAAGGATTTGTTGTCGAAGCCTGGACGCGCGCGATCTGCACGCAGCGCAGTTTCGAAAACCTTGAGATAGTGTAAGCGTCTTTCGTCGAGTAAATGTACTACCTCGATCCAATCGCGCAGTTTTTCTTCTTTTATTCCCTCCGTGTGGTAATCCGCGGCAAGGTCAGCGTTCATATGCGATTCGAGATGATATAGTAGGTAGACGTCCGACAGATGAGAGACGGTACCACGAAGAAGAGTGTTCTGGCTCTGTATCTCCACTGCCCACTCGCTGAAAGGGCGTTGTCCTTGGGTGGACGCCAGCATCTTCCTGCGAATGATGTCGGACCAGTCCCGAGGGAGGAAATAGCTGCGAACTTCATCAATGTATTTTTTGAAGGTTAGCCCGTCCATTCGTTCTTGGTCGTTCATATACCAGTCTTGAATTAGAGGGTCTTGCATACCCCAGGCTACCTTTCTGACTTTGTCTTCATCCTTCGTTTCTTTGTGTAGGAAAAACTGGTTACAGCTCATCTCCCAGGCACGTAATGCCTCTGGAGTCAGTTGTCCCGCCGTTAGGAAGGGTGGTTTGTCGGCGGATTTTTGATCTACACGAGCGAATTTGTTCGTAGTAGCCATGGTATGATGAGAGGCGGTGGAATCAGATGACTCTGAATGATAGGATGTATGCGTGTCTGTTGGGGATGGTGGGCGAGGTATTGTATTCGAAGCGACGATTGCGGTACTTGTCGTAACACCTTTTCGTCGACTACGAGTATTGATTGTAGTGGGTGGGAGAATGGTACGTTGTCGAGGAGGCAGCGTGTTGTTGTTTTTGCAGGGTTTTGACCTAAGTCAACACCCGGCGGTTTGTGGTAAAACGGGGAAGCGAGATAAGATAAGGGTGGTGACAGTAGACGTTTCGGTAACGGTAAGGATTCTGTACGCTCAGCTGATCGTAAAACAAAAGTGGAACACCGTCACAGCGACGGCGAACACTAGACAGACAAATGGTATGAGGAAAAGCGTATGATTGACGGGACGGTGAGGAGCTAAAGTATAGTAGCGTAAACTATGGCGTATATATAGGAAAAGCAACCTATAGCCAAATAGCCGATAATACAGTAAGGTGTCCAATCATCGAGCAGTGAGTAGGACGCCAGACAGAACACCTACGTCATGAGCGATGTCTACGTCATGTGGTAAGCGTGAGCTTACAGCGAGTTAGTGTAGGCAAGAACTTTTGCCAAATTTATATTGTTACTACTGACATGGGCGATCTTGTAGACTATAGTACATGCTGGTCATATTGATCGCACCACATGTCTGATTGGACATCGCGTCCATTTCTCACATTCGCACGTTTAAAGTTTTTGCCGTCCTTTCTGGATCGCGAATACCCATCTACGCTATCAAAGTACACTTCTTAGCACCGTCTGCCCCATGTTTTCTACAGCTCGTCTACCCTGGCAGCACCAGTGGGCTACCCCTAATCCCATCATCCACAACATCCTGGGCTGTTAATGCATTACGCATGATAGTTACAAGGCACGTGTATTGCATTAAGCATTGTAGCTATCAGCCAAACAAATGCATTAGTTCATGATAATGACAAGACACGCTGCTGAGTTCCTTCACTATGTCACATCAAAGCTATTCCGAATCTATCAATGAAGCAAATGCATTAGTTCGATAACCGCAAGACACGCTGCCGAGTTCCTTCGATATGTCATCAATGCTGTAGCGAATTTCTATTGACAAACACTCGATGACTAATTAACGTGGTGTACTTCATATCAAGGGGGAGGCAACTGCTATGCGGAGGTCAGGTAGTTGAAACTTGAACATGTGCCATCCACATCTTCTCGAAATGGTCCGCGAGATCATGCCTAAGTTGGGCCTGGCGAAGCGCATAGGCAACCAGTCCCTCGTTGTCCGAGTCGGCAGTACCACCATGTGTGCAATCTTGACCTTTCTCATACCACCACCCTGCATACCACCTAAGGAATTGGAGAACCCTACGCATCTCCTCGTGAAGAAGTTCAACTTCTTCTGCCCATCGCATTGACTGGGCCCAAGCCTTACACCACTCGACTCTCAGACCTGCAAACTACATCAGTATCCTTTATTCGTTCGTGGCTCATATTCAAGCTTACTATCTTGTATCGCCTCATCCTGATCGTCTCCGACTCCTTCCACCATCCATATCCACGACAATTGCCTTCTCCCTTCACTCACACCTTTCTGAGGTGCTGACATGCCACGGACGTCATCTTTCTTGTCGAGTTCCTTGTATTTGCGGTTCCAACCGACCACTCGGAGCGAGGGAGCGAGGGCAGAAAGTGCTCCATGAGCAGCGCGATACTTGTCAGCTGCTGCTGATGCCTTCGCAACTACCCGAGTTAGAGCGTTTTGTGCCCGTGTATTTGCACTCTGGCCACGGACCCAATCTCTCTTGAATGTGTACATATGATCGCGTAGGCGGAGGCTCTGTCGTAGTTCCTCCAGCGCATCCCCGGCCTGAGCAAAACGGAGCTCCCATTCAGTGGCCTGAAGGCGAGGATCACAACGGATAGATTTAGCACTCATAGTTGATGGCAGATAAAGTTTTGCGTCTTCTGGTGTGATGGGGTTGAGGGAAGGTTGGAATGAATCCGAGTGTAGCAGTTGGACTGTGGGAGTGTAGAGTGCCTGGACACGCTTCCACGCATCAATTTTTCGCTGCAGAGAGTTCCGCTGATGCTGTATGGTGGATTTCTGTGTGTCCGTGGCGTGTATACCAAGGTTGGTGATATCCGCCTTCAAACGACGCCTTCAAATGAATAAGTGAGATACCCAGTTCCTAATGCAAAAGCTACGTACTGTTCACTTTCGAGATCGATTCCAGATGCAATAAAGACGCTGGGTGAAATGTCGGGGTGGCAAGATATATCGACGCCTTGCTGTAGATCACGAGCCTCCATTTCCGCAAGCTTCAGTCGAACAGTGGCTTGAGTAATCGCTGTTAATTTGCATCTTAGTGATTGAATCAAGAATATGAAAGACCAACACTTACAAGTGACCTTCGGCTCGAACGGGTTACTAACCAAAGAGTCATTGGGGTTGCATTCCCAATACTCGATTTCCAATTTCCAGGGATCCGATGCCTTAGGTGGCAAAGCGCCGTCTAGCTCCTCAAAAGTGATTTTGTGAGCTTCTTTCTCCTCCTTTGCTTCGTTCATCTTTCGGAGTAACATTGCACCTGTGAAAGGATGAGGAAACAAAAGTACGAAGTCATTCACAAGTCACGCACCAAGTCCAACTGTTTTTTTCCAGTTCCAATCACCGAAGTGATCGTCTAGAGTATCCCGTCGAGAGCCGGGGCCCATTTCCTTAGTGCTGGAGGCAACTGGGTTGATATTTGACCAACCCCGTTCGGGGGCTTCACCATCCGTTCATCCGACGTTCTTCGAGAAATTGAAAGAATATGATGTTTGGCATTTGAAAACGTGCGCAGGAAGATGGAATTTTGGTACAAAAAACCTGGTGATTAACATGAGCAAAGGCGTGAGAGACTGGTATTGTGATTGTAAGAACCTTATAAATTTAGTGAGAGGGTCTAGATGGAGGTCCAGAGGGATTGTGGCCATGCGTTCCCAAATGTTCTTGTGCCACTGGCACGCAATATCATACGAAACATTCAGCATTTCAACGCTGCGTCCGCGGAGGGTCGAAAAAAATAAATAATCCATGTTGCTGTATCTATGCCATACGGTCAGTAATGATGGTTGCGTGAGCTGGTATACCTCACCGCTCGCCCTTCTGCAAGTCCCCGACACCATTGGGTAATTTCATGTTATGCCGCGCACAGTCGATCGTTCCCACTCCAGTCGCAGCCAGACCCTGCGAAGCTTTCGTATCCGCTAAGTTGACTGTGTTGTGTGATGCGCAGGTGCTTTTCTACTGAAATGGTCAGAACAGAATCCCATTAAGTCATTCACACAGCTTACCTCTTGTGGTTTACCACCGTGATTGAGTAAATATGCTTTGTACGTCGTCTCATCCACAAAGTAGGCCCACCCGCAACTAAGCCCAGGGTCTGTGCAATCTTTAGAGACGAGACGTCTTTTGAGACGGAAATTCGCGTCGATGGCTACGAACAGAGCGTATATCCATCTAAGGGATTGTGAAGGATGAGTAAAAATCTATGTATGAGCGTGACATGCACCTTTTGTCATTTGGAACCTCTTTCCAGTTGTCTGAAAGATTTTTGAGAGGTTGAGGGCACGCGGGGCATAGGACAGCACATTCACCGCTTTGCGTATTTTCGACACCAGCCGGATCGTGTCCACGGCCTGCTCGCTTGAGCATCTTCAGGTGGCGCCATTCACGAACAATCCGCAAGAATGCCTCATAACGATTCTGGTTCGACAGATGATAAGACGTCTATGATAAGGCACTTGTGAGTCATCAGATAACTCACCTTTTGAGGATGAAGTCCTGTGTTATCGGTCAGACGTGCAATCGAGCGATAAAATTCATACCCTGAAGCCTTTGATTCAAATGATAGAAGGTGATATTGCTCCAGGATGCGGAAGGTTGCTGCTGTGCGTGGATTGACGGTTGTAGCCGGAAACCAGGCAGCACGTAATAGTTGTTTTGTGTGCGTTTGAGCTGTCTCGCAACCGCAAAAATCCAATGCGATAGTGTGAATACCGTTAGTATCGATAAGAGTGAATTCGTCGTTGAATCCTCGCTCAGGTAACAGACATGAGTCTCCTGCAAAATGTCCAAGCTGCACACGCAGGCCCATGTCCCTCAGGGACACCGCCGTAAAATAAGAGTTCATCCACTCCTATTACAATACTGAAATGAACATGCAGTCACATTATTGTGCGAACAGACTTACCTGAATGCGATGTACTGGATTCTGAGTGTGTAAGGTGACAATACAGTCCTTACAGTACAACTCTGTACCGAAGCAATCGATACACCAAAATTGAGGGACGTGAAGATGGCAGCGCCAGCAGACAGGGTCACTGGCATAATCTCCTCTGCCCTCGTGCCGAAGGAACTCAAGTAAAAACATGTCCCGATCATTCATCCACGACGAAAGTGGATGGTCCTGAAGAACGAGTGAGAAACACTTATTACTGGGTACAAAGGGAGACCTACTGAGCGCTTCCGATTAGTTTTTTCGTGGCCCTCCGCATCCTCATTGAGCTCCGTGTCGTGAATATCGTATATATTGTAGTCAAACTGTTCATCACAAATTTCACTGATTGTCGCGCTAGCTTCAGTTTGAACCTGAGGTTTGGCCTGGCTCGACCCAGAGCTGATGACATGAGAACTGCGTGCCTGGAAGCCTTTACTGCATGATACAAATGTATATGTTTGGTGAACGCTGGGAGCTTCAGTTCCAGAGTTGAGCGGGGTATATATGTTGAGCTTGACTCGCTTCCGGCGGTTGATCTTTTTGAACGATAAATGTCGGGGGAGCATATGGACGGTCTCCTAGTAATATCAAAGCTTGGAAAGGAGCTCAGAGTCTAAATCGATTGTACAAGCCTGCCTGCCAGGAGTGAGTGCAACGTCACGACAAAGTCACAGCATTGAGTCTTGGTAATCATGTGATGTAATGCATTACTTGACAAATGATAATGCATCACTGGCACCTCTCGTACATCAAGTAATGCATTACATGCTCAATGCGCTGCCTTATAAATAAGCCTGCCAGACCGGTCAGTATTCATATTTTCATCGCTGTGTCTTTCTCCCATATTCACTCTGATGGAGCCTGCCAGACCGGTCAGTATTCATATTCTCATCACTGTGTCCTTCCCTCATATTCACTCCGATGGAGTCTGAGTCTGAGTCTTCAGGCCCTGCGTCCGAGTCACACTCGGAAGAATCTCTACCACCTGCTGATCCTGGTTTTTGCCTCTGCGAGTTTTGCATGATGTCGTCATACGACCCTTTCCCTCCAACCTCCCTCGTAAGGAAAGCTGCATCAATCTCCAGAGTTGAGTTTGAAGGCGGTCAGAAATGTTTAACGGTTGGCGCAGGAGTGCGGCAGCCTCATGCACAGTGTGAGTAGCTCTCCCAACATCTCTGCAGAAACTGATCCCACCCACCAGGTCATAGTGATTCCGCACCCTCCATTGTGCCCACTATACCATTCACGCTTGGTTCCCCCACTGTAGTACCAATACCCCCGCCGTCACCTAGTCCACCACTTACAAGTCTTACTGGCGCTCTTTTTCGGTTACCTGAAGCCTTGCCTCTCACCATCACACCCTACTCCACTGCAGAGGCAGAGGCAGATATCAGGTGGGTACATCGGGATCAGGCTATATACAAGGAAGTTATCGATGCAATCGCCGATGATTGCGATGTATACTTATATCATGGGATGCTCTACAACATGCCTGCAGTGCCTGGGAAAACTGGTCCCTATTACTGTGTCCCTCGTGGACGATACATCGGTGTATTCAATACTTGGTAAGTCCTTTCTGCTTGACATCGCACACACTGATCACTTGTATCTAGGGATGAGGTAATGGAAAGTATCAAAGGCTTCGCTGACGTGGCATATGTCGTTACTTCCCTTGCCGTTGGAGAAGTGCTGATTCGTACTGCAATCAGGAGGGGTGAAGTACACAAGTGTCGAGTATGAACTTAGCGCACATTAATGAGTCTGTCGCACTGCATTTACTGTTGCTCAGATTTTAGTTTGATCTCACTAGCAAATCGAACTTGAGTAGCCCAGTCGACGTAAGCCTTCTTCCGCGCTTCATCTGTCGTAGCCACAGTAATTGATGAATGATCAAATTGTTCTGAGACTGCACGCTACGCCTCTGATATCTGGTTCAGTCAACGTTCAAACAGCAGAACGATCTGACATGTCTGAGAGGGAATCATAAGTTAAAGCGTCTATGGAGATTTGTGAGAACCGTGGGGTGAACCATGTAGTCGCTGGTTTCGTGCACCTCCCTCTCGGTGCAGAGTCGTTTTTCATTCAACCATCCCACTTTGGCTAAGCGTCTGCGCAGTTCTTTGGGCATGTCTTCGTTACCATCTCCTCCTGGTCTGTGATAAATAGGCTTGAACCAATGTCAGTTGGAACAAATGGCAATGGGTGGCGAGCTAACTTAAAACATCGACAACAATTTTTATCCAACAAAAAAGGCTGAGATAGAATCTGGAAGTGCTAGAATGTCCAAACATTGAATTGCAGTGATCTTCACAGCACTGTCTTCACTGTAGAGTCAATGTTAAGACCACGCAGTACTGAGTAAAGTTAGAACTCACTTCCGCAAGTCGTTCTTGATGAGTTCAAGTACACTCTGTGGGGCCTTCTCCACACACCGCATGGCCAGAAAAGAAGCCTAAAATACTCATATGAGAACCATCACTTCACGTCATAAATCAGGGTAGGGCACGCACCAAAAGCACTGCGCGCGGTTCCTTGCTTCGAGGCCAGAATAAGACAAACCGCCCCCGAGTATTGTGGACGCAGAACATCAATAAAGCGCAAAGAACATGTCCAGGGAATAAGACAAACCGCTCCTGAGTATTGTGGACGCAGAACATCGATAAAGCGCAAAGAACATGTCCAGGGAATAAGACAAACCGCTCCTGAACATTATGGACGCAGAACATCAATAAAGCGCAAAGAACATGTCCAGGGAATAAGACAAACCGCCCCCGAGTATTGTGGACGCAGAACATCGATAAAGCGCAAAGAACGTGTCCAAGGAATAAGACAAACTGCTCCTGAGCATTATGGACGCAGAACATCAATAAAGCGCAAAGAACATGTCCAGGGAATAAGACAAACCGCTCCTGAGTATTGTGGACGCAGAACATTGATAAAGCGCAAAGAACATGTCCAAGATGGTGTTCATATAAAAACTCACATCTTCCTTTACATCTCTGGCATAGCCAACGCCTCCTTTCGACTTCTTTACCACAGGCAAAGACATATAATAGCTATCGTCATCAGCATCATCCCCTGTTGAAGTAGACAAAGAAGAGTGCAGATCGGTCTTCCATCTCTTATTCGTTTTTGATTTCTGAGAACTCTCTTCAGAGGTTTGTTGACGCTGCTCAGAGAATGTGGAGTCCAACATAGTGAGCTGGGTTCTCCACACGTGAAACAAAAATCCACTTTGCATGAAGGACAAGTGCGCTTGTAGTACGACATGGCGAAGATGTTGAACATACAGTAAGAAATCTGGCTATATGTAGTAAGTCAGCTTCCGGCTTTGTAATAGCAATCACATACGTGCAAGTTGATTCATTAGCACTTGCAGGTAACTCTGGGATGGTTCTAATTACACTGTCGGACTCACTGCACCAGGTGTTCGTCATGAGTATCACGGTAGCACGGGTATGTGCAACAGTGTCCGCAGGTATGGGGGTTACGGGTGGCACAGGTATGGGTATAGTGTCTGGAACTGACACCCATGCCAACACCGTACCTGTAAGCACGGTATACGGGTACGCCATGGGTATGGCGTTAAATCACTGTCTGGAGTCTGGACCTTGTTAAGACTCGTACTTCGCATAATGTTTGAGATAGCACTACTGACTCTTATGCTGCTCACAGGACTCTGAAGAAATGTGTATTAATCCAATGGTGCATCATCACGCACCATCAAACTCTTTATGTTCCGACAAAGGTCGCTCAGAGCGAGGAGCTTATCTTCGATACCATTGCCTCGTTGATACCTACCGAGGTTACTTTCAACAAGCTAGTCTGTGTGAGCGAGTTCAGGTGTGTCCTTGAACAAGTTTAGCGAGGGTCGGTTGTTTGTTGCGGGTGGTGTGAGGTTTCAATTTTGAGTGATGTGTCTGTGCTGATGGTCATTGGTCGTTGATGTTGCTCAGTATGTCTATTTTCAAGTGCTTTCTTTGCAAACCGTTGTTGCCATATGTCCAGTGTCCACAGTCCAACCGCTGCTCAGGTATGTGCTTCCGTCTTCATTGTAGTACACCTGAAGGTCTGACCAGCCGGCTTCTACGTTTGACTCCAGAGTGTCGCGTGAGGTTAATAGACCAATGGAGTATTATTTTTTGTATGTGTACTCGCAGGTAGATACCATACCACGGGTACGCTACCACACTGAGCGTTAGTACGGGTGATGCTGTACCCCTACCCGAATGGGTGCGGTGTTGATCTTCCGACCTGCGGGTATACCCATGCTATGCCCTAGGCGAAGGTGAGCATCATCGTCAACATATAGTAATTCATTCTCGTCTCATTCATACTTGCTTCTCAAATAGATATTGTTATGGGCGGCATATTGTGCTTCTCTACACATATCCTGCCACCCACACTACGTTCGAGCTAAAACTTCCACTGGCTCCAAATTTGCAGAACGCCGGAGTGATTTAATGTGCCGTCTGGCCCTTCAAGCCTTGCGGACTGTTACCTCGGATGACGCTGCATACAAGGGTGTTGACGTCAAGTGCTATGTACGTGTTGAAGAGATTCTAGGTGGGTCCATTGAGGAGTCAAGAGTCCTCGATGGTGTCCTTCTGAACAAACTGAACCTGGTCTGAATGTGAATTGGACCCCCTCGAACATGTTTGGCTGTGTTCGGTCCAATGGTCAAGCAGAACCAGACTTCGGTAGCATCACTATTTGGTCGATACTTGCACCAATATTATTTTGACGAGCCTATGTCCCCTCAAGTCCCAAGCCCTCGGGCTGGGCTGTTCAATTCCCGCTTCATTCTACGACCACTACGCTGGATACAAAGACCTTCCTCCCTTTTTTGGCTTCAATTCTAGGCTCACTTCATATATCAAAGCAAATTCAATTTCACGTGGTCCAATTCAAATTGGTGGCAAGCTCGTGCTGAGCTTTCAATGGCATAAAGATTGCTCATCACTGGAAGTATGTTCATTCCTGGCAGTATCTTGTCCCATAGCAGGATAGAGAATTTATTAGCTACACAATGGCTGATGTAAAAGTAAGTATACAGGCGCCAGGTCCAAGATTGAGATCACGGAGTTGGTAAAGAATATCAGTGACACAGCCAATAGCAACTACAGGGACCGTGTACACTAGGTGCTACCGAAACCTTGCTTTTTAAA